ACCCTAACATCAACTGGTTTTTTTTGCATTGATTGTAATTCCTTTTTATTGACTATTAATCACTTTTACTCAAGTTTTATTCAGGCTTGTTAGCTTGTATTCATTTATTCATGGTTTAACCACTTTATTCACTCTAATGTGCTTTTAATTTGCTTTTTTTTTTTTCAGTTTTCTTCGGATTTGATTTAGTCACTTATATTAACTTTTTTTTTTTCTTCTTAGATATATCATATAGCGGCCCCGAGCAACCCATGGACGCCTCTTAGAGCCTCACAGACCCCAGTAGATCCCCTACAGACCTCCCAGCCTCATACACTCCTTATAGATGTACTATAGGATCCCAGAGCAACCCATAGACACTCCACAACTGTTAGTGAGCCATGGAGACGCCATAGTTACCCACAGACATATCTCGTGACGTCACCAGGACTGCGATGACATCATCATCAACCACCATGGTGCCACATAGGGCCCCCACTACCCAGTTGCACCCCATAAGTACCCGAACACCAATTGACTTTTTTTCAATTGACTTTCATTTGTTTTTATGAACTTTTGTTCACTTTTATTTGCGATTCATGCAGGCTTTTATTCCTTTTTATTTGCTTTGTACTAATTTACAGTCACATTATTCTCTTTTGCTTTTTGTTGTCTTTATGCAGTTTTTTTTCTTACTAATTTTTTTTCTTCAGCTGTCTTGCTTTTTAGCCACCTACAGTAACATTTTGGGGGTTTAGATGCCCCATAGGGACCCAGAGAAAGTCATAGAGCCACACAGACCCTATAAACATCCTATAGAGGGGTACAGCAATTGCTAGAGACTCATAGAGCCCCCATAATGATCACGTAACAATGACACGATAATGAGGAGTGGGCTGGATGTGGGATTAACAAAATCATGGGGGTGTGGTCTGTACTGTGGGAGGGGCTAACATAGGAGTGTGTAGGTTAAGGGGTGGGTGGCAGGAGGTAGGGTAAGCCAATGAGGAAAAAGGGCATGGATTCTGGTGCTCGGCTGTGGGTGGGGCTAGTGAGGGGTGGAGGCTAGGGGGATGGGCTAAAATGCTTGTGGGCAGGGGTGGGCTGAGTTCCGGGTGGGGGGATATAGTCTCAGCTAGGGGAATGTGCCAGGTTTGCCTGGGGTTGGATATGACAGGTGCATGGTCAGAGCTCTGAGTGGGGTTAGTAAATGGTCTTTGGTAAGGAATAGGGGTGTGGCCAAGATGAGATAATGTCTTGAGTGGGAGCATGGCCTGCGTTGGGGGTCAGGCTCCTGGTGAGGGGTTATAGAAGCCCGGGGGGGGGGGGGTGTGGTCTCTGGTGTGGAAGGGTATGGGGAGGTTGGAGTTGGTAAAGAGGAAGTGTGGGGGTGGGTGGTCTGTGCTGTGGGAGGGGCTAGCACAACACAATGGTTGTACTCATTGTTTCTTGCTTGACCCTTGATGTGTCTTGACCTCCAATAGATCCTCACTGTTGAATGTGACCAACCCTGACCTTTCAGCCATGACATTTTTTTGTCTCTGGCACCTTCCTTTTATCCCCAGCAGTTGACTTCACACCTTTTTGGCCATTGCCTTTTGAGTTCTTCACACTTGCCCCCTGACCCTCACACTAACACCATCCCCATAACGTGCCCCCCCCCCCCCCATCTTAGCTACCCTGATCTCCTACCCGTCTACCTTGCAACTCTGGCTATGCCCTTAAGTTCCACTTTTACCCTTTGACCCCCATGCATTTTATGTCTTCGCCCGCTCCTGCCTCCCAGCAAATCACCGTGCCGCTCGCCTCACAGCGAGGGTGGGACATGGATATGAAGGGTCAGCGTCGTCCAATCCCCAGCCCCTTCTCCCTTCACTACTGCGCGCAGCTGAGGGGACGCTTTCCTGCCTAGCGACTGGAGGCCAATCAGTGGTGTTTCTCGGTGTGAGGGAGCAATGGCGGCATCCGGGGAGGAAAGAGAAGGTGAAGAAGGTGATGGTGGGACGGGGCTTCTGTAAGGGTGGGTCCTGTTCTGGGGTGAGGCCAATAAAGGATGGGAGCATGGTCGAACGGGCGGGTGCTGGGGTGGTGACAGAATTGTTGTGGGACCAGTGTGCAGGTTGGGCTTGGTGCTGGTGGGGGAGTCAAATGTCATAGTCCATAGGACAGATGTCATGGGTCACAGATTAAGGATTAAAAGGTCAAAGGTCATACATCAGGGGGCCGTCTCTTGGTTTGCACATTCTGGCCACCCTTGGTGCAGATAGCACTTCCCCCTCCCTGTCCCCAAGTGAGTATTTTTTTAACACGTTATTAACATGATAAAATAAGCTGTTGAAAGCAGTAATTTTTCTCACATAAACAGCTGGAGCAGGACCTTCTAATAGGAAAAATTTATTGAATACTTTGGGACAAAACCAGACAGTTTTTGAACCTCACGTGCTAGCAACCATTCTGGAACAGAAAAGCAGTTACTGGCTTTCCCCAGGCAGGCTGTTAAAATATCAGGCTGTGCTTTTAGAACAAGAGGATGTAGAATTGAAAGTGACCAACCTTTTGAACCCAGCAGTGTTCATGACAACCGATTCAGAGGCAGGGGAGTTGCTCACAACTACTTATAGACTACCGAGCAGGTGTATTCCAGTCATACCGACCCACAAGACACATCCCTGAAGGATGTGAACTGTTCGTGGATGAGTGCTGACATTTTCCCATAGTTTTGCGTGACCCTTCTCTTTTCAAATGCAAAATTCTGAGGTCAGTTGCTACAGTTGCAAGTTTTCATCCTTCCAGGGATTTGCTTTTGAGACCCCTTATCAGGATCACTCTCACGGCACAACCGAACCCCTTAAGGCTCACAGTTACTTCTTCCTTTTGCTCATCTCTGCCCTAGTCTCAGAATTCCCAGTGTTCCCCCTGGTCCCCCAGACTGGGTAAGCTGAGTGCTGTGGAAAATAATGACTAGTAATAAACCACATTGTAAGATGCTGTGCATGATAAAGCAGATGCTAAGGAGATCAGATTAGGGGACTGGTTTTGGTGAAGTGACTATGGATTTTTTCCACTTCTTCTGTAATGGAGCCCCTTGAGACAGGTGCTGACAAAAAATGTCCCATTGCTGATGCTTCCCCTCGATTGATAATCTGGAGCTAGGCCAGAGTATCAGATTGCACTTCAACATGAAAAGCTAGAAGTCTGATCTGGAAAGAATTGGAACTGCCCATGGAATGCTGTTAGACACACGATCGAATAGTAGTTTGCTGAGGAGAGGATGACCAGGCCTCAGTGTTATCTGAGATCAGTATAGAGAAAACAAAATTTGCAGCCATGGCAGCAACTGCTGTCTCTTAAATGTTGCCCTTTACAGGGCTTGGCACCCTGAACTGTAATAGAAACTGTTAGTCTTTCTTGTGGCCAGTGAACAGGGCTGAAGGAACTGAAAGACCTTGCAGAAACTGGGGAATGGCTGCTTGTTTTGGTGCATGTGGATTTATGTGATTGCACATATATCTGCACACACATGCCTTGTGCATGTGCTCTGTTACTTTCTGCTACAGTCATTTCAGTGTTGTGATAATTCCAGGTGTCAAGCAAGACAGGACACAAAAAAGTTGCCCAACAGTTATGTCAAACAACTCAGGGCTCTTGGCTATTAGCCCACACAAAGTCATTTTCTTCAGCAAATAAGATTTGCAGATTAGAACTAATGTCCAAGATAAGTCACTAAGAACATAACTAGATTTTATATTTAGAATTTTTATGCTCCTTTGGTGGCTAAAATACTATAATTTCATATGCTATTAGGCTATGAAACTACATCTGAGCACAGATTATTCACGTTCACTCATCCCATTTTAGAATTCGCATCTGTTTTAACTATATAAAATCTTTCTGCACCTAAGGCACTTCTTTAATCCTTGTTTCATACATTCTGATGGCTTACTTTGCTTTTAGATTAGTCCCTTTATTAGATTGTGTTTTCTCAAGGTCTGAAATGAGTATGAGTTGAGATGAACCTAGAAAAATCTTACTTTCAGATGAGGATTTCCCAGCTCATGCTTCAGCTCACAAATGCTCATGGGCACACCTATGCATGTTATATGGGCAAACAGTACTGGTCACACAAAGACACGTGCACCCTCCTGTCAGTCTGTAAGATCTAGTGAATGTTGACCAAATTTGCCATATCATGCTGTTTATTCCATCGCACTCAGGTGATGTAATTTAGCTTTCTTTTCTTTTTACACTCTGATGGTGTAAATTTGCTTAAAGTGTCTTCCAGATTACCTTTTCCTGTGAGGCTTTCAGCATGAGGTACTGTCTTGTGTTGCAGTATGCAATAATGAGTAAACCCCACTGTGGTTTGGGCTGGTTTGACCAAAAGGTGTTACATGCACAAATTCTGGATCTGCAGGATGATTTAGCAGCTTAATATTAACACCCATCAAACAGCAGCCCATAGAATGTAAGAGTGAGTGGGGAAGGGAGGGAGGTGTACAAGTTTGTGTGCGTGACAGGACATTTGAGCTTTCAGCATGTGTGTCTAAAGGTGCATTCCTGTCTCTGTTCCCCCAGAGACAGCTCTCCTCTACCTCGCTGCTCCCCCCTCAAGGAAGAGATAAAATGTGTGCACTTTGGTATCATCATCCAAACAACCTGTGAAAAACCAAATATTCACCCGTCCTCTCCCCGCTCTGTCTCTTAGCTATTCCTCACCGGACCCCATCCTTCCTTCCCCACAACGCCGCCGCCCCGCCCGCAGCCCAGCTCGCCCGGCCCTTTCAGGCCTTCACAGCCCTGGGCAGCTGTGCCAGTGCCCCCGCCCCTTCTCCCTCCCCCTTCACCGTGCGGCCTGAAATTGCATCTCCCCGACTCACCGAGCGCACGCAGAGCAGCGCGGGCTCGGCGGCAGCTGGGATCGGGCTTAGGGCAGCCCGAGCCCTCCAAAGAGAGGGAAAGAAAAGCGGCGGCAGGAGGGGAGGCGGCCGGGCGGCTGCCGCCAGCGGCGCCCGACCTGTCCCACTTCACTGCCCGCGCAGCCTGCGGTCAACAGGCACCATGGCCGGCGAGCCGGAGGATCTGGGCAGCCAAGAAGCGCAGAACGTCTGCGAGGCCCTGGGGCGCTACGAGGATGCGCTGCGGGGCGCCGTGCGCGAGATCCACGTGGACATCCAGGTGTTCAAGCAGGGCGTGGGGCGGCAGGTGGAGGAGGTGCTGCGCCTCGCCAGCCCCCTGGCGCACAGCGTGTCCGAGCTGCAGCAGGAGAACCGGCGCTTGCGGGCGCAGCTGGAGCGCCTGTCCCGGCAGGTGGAGGCCCTCGGCCGGTCGGCGGGGCTGCCGCAGGAGTGGGCGGACGAGGCGGTGCGGAGGCCCCAGGCCGCGGGACCCGGCTCTCCGGGACACGGTTCGGCCGGCGGCAGGTTTTCCAGCCATGCCAAGTTGTCTGTTACCGGCCGGAGCCAAGTAAGTGCTGGCCGCGGCCGGGGGCTGGGAGGACGAGAGGCTGCCTGAGCAGATGGCTCGCGGGTGTTGCCGGGCTTTTCGCTGGCGCAGGGGAGCGGCAGGAGCATAGGGCTCTTTTGCATTGCAGGGCCAAGAGGCTTTTGGGAGGTGCTCTGAGAAATGGGCTTGGTACCACCTGGAGATGTTCTTGATTATGGCACTGCTTGGGCACACTGGGATCCTGGTTAGAGTGGGAGCAACCTGTCAGCGTGGTTAGAAGTGAGAAGAGACGCTGACGCAGTCTCAGCTGTCAGTGCACATACGTACAGGGACATCTGTGCATCTTTCTGGACTTGATTAAGGGGGGTCTGTGTGCCAGCAGTGCTGTTTGCCAGTTGGCAAGCTCACAAAGGATAACAGCTTAGCAGTTGAGTTGCCAGCTGAGCAGGCAGTAACATGTTTTCCTAAGATACTGACTTAGCATTCTGCAGTGAGGCAGTTTTGCTGCATTACTCTCCTGCACTGCTGCAGCTGGTCCATGAGAGGAGGCCTCAAGCAAGCTGTTATGGTCTCCACGACCTAAACTAGTACAGACACTTTCCTCCCAGTGATAAAATTCTCTTTGCAGCGTAGTGGAGCCTTGTAACTTGGTACGTGGAAGTCCTAGTTAGTGAGCAACTCATCTGGTGCTGAGATGTTTTATGTAATACTTTTTCTATGTGTCAGGCTTTATGGAAAGAAATAGCTCCTGTGCAATCTTTGATACCAGGAGGTGGCAGCCAGACAGTACATCATGATTCAGTCACACAAAATGGTCCGGTAATAGAGACCTGGCTTTCACAGGTGACAGCCTATTTTGTGTAATCTTGATTAAGCCATGTCTTGAGGGTTCTTCAAGACTGAGCGTGAAAAGCAGGTCTGTGGTCTCTCCAGGCTTTGGGGATGGAAAATAAAAACTTGGAACTGAAATGAACTCAAATTGGTGGGAATGAGCAGGGAGTCTGTTGTGTTCTAGCCTTTTTTGTGACTACTGACTCAAGTATGGGCATTTAGGGTTTCACGCAGCTGGGCAAGTGAAAGGGTAAAGCTGTTGCTTGATGTGTTGTTTCAACATGGTTGTGGCAACTGCTGTCTTTTCCCCTGCATGACGGGGGTAAATAGCATACACACAGCTTGTAGATCTGTTCCCTTTTATTCCATGAACCCATCCACACTTGTTTGTATTACAAGGAACAGAAGCGAGCTGAACGACAGGGAGGGGACAAAGGGATGTGGCTCCTCATGCCATCTCACCAGCCTCATTGCCTGTCCGCACATTGTAGTGTGTACTTCACAGTGTGCGAAATCTTGCATCAAGGTTATGGCAATATTTGGCTTTAGGTCTTGGTCTGCATTAAAGCAAAGAATGAGCTTTTGGAATTGGAACCTTCTCACTTTGCTTTGAGGGTTCAGGGAAGATCACTTAGGTACTGATAGTAACTCAGTGCCCTCACAGCAATTTTCCGTGTAAGGCTGGACAAGTTCCCGGGTTAGCACAGCTGACCGAGAAGGAATCTCAGTACTGAGAATCATGGGAGGTGTGGCTAGGGCTACACACACCAAATGCATGCAGTGAAAACATGATTCTGTGGGTAAGGCTCTGATGTGGCTGTGCCCACATGGGTAAAGAGCAAGCCTTGGTTGCTGTGCTGGTCACCCAGATTCTCTGTAATGAAGAAAGTGGTGTTCCCTCAGGTGCTTGCAGTTTGTGGTCTATATGGCCACATCACTTGAAGCAGAGTACCATTAAATGCCTCTATGTATGTTTTCAGAGAAATGAGTACTCATGATAAAAACTGGTGATGATTCTAGCCTTAGTAAATACTTCTGTGAGATATCAGGAACAAATAATGCTGACATGGACATAGTCGCAAATAAAGATGCTCTCTTTTGTTCCTGAAGAGATTTATTGGCTGAATTCCTTTTTACTGTGTGGTTGATGGCAGTGTTTATCCCAACAAAAGCCTGTATGCTGTTGCCCTCAACATTTCTAGCAAAATACTGGAATTATGTTGAATACTTGTAAACTCAGTTACTGAATTTTCTTATGCATAGTACCTTCTGATAAATATAAAAGTTTCAAAATAATTTTATTTTCATAGATTAAAAGATCTGAACACAATGACAGATCCAGTTTAGCAGCAGTAAGTTAAAACTGTGCATATGGAAGCATTCTCTGTGAGAATAGCAGATGACATAAAAGTAGAAAGTATTTTTTTATTATTAAGAGAGACAAATGTTAAAGAAGCTGTTCTTATGGCGATGTGTTGTGAAAAAGTTTGGAGACTAGCTTTGCAGAAGAACTTATCATTCCTTTTGGGACTATGCTGAGTAACTAAAGAATGCAGCTTTGTTGGATGTGAGCTTTTCTAAAAACCTGACTGTAATGCAGCCTCAAAATCAGAGAGATGCTACAAAAATCAGTGGAGCTTGGATAGCAGAATTGTGTTTTTGCTTGTGAGAAAGTTCTGGATGGTTTGAACATTTCAACTTCCCAATCTAGTTTATTTTCCTTTCTTTTTAAATAATAAAGAGGAAAGAGATTCAGAGCAGCCCTGTGGAGAAGGACTTGGGAGTGCTGGTCAATGTAAAAATGAACATGAGCCAGCAGTGTGCGCTTGCAGCCCAGAAAGCCAACCATATCCTGGGCTGCATCAAAAGGAGTGTGACCAGCAGGTCGAAGGAGGTGATCCTGCCCCTTTATTCTGCTCTCGTGACACCTCACTTGTGTGCAATTCTGGTGTCCTCAACATAAAAAGGACATGGATCTGTTGGAACAAGTCCAGAGGAGGGCCACGAGAATGATCAGGGGACTGGAGCACCTCCCGTATGAAGACAGGCTGAGAAAGTTGGGACTGTTCAGCCTGGAGAAGAGAAGGCTGCATGGAGACCTCATAGCAGCCTTCCAGTATCTGGAGGGGGCCTGTTGGGATGCTGGGGATAGACTCTTCATTAGGGACTGTAGTGATAGGACAAGGGGTAATGGGTTAAAAATTAAACAAGGGAAGTTTAGATTCGATGTAAGGTGAAAATTCTTTCCCGTGAGGGTGGTGAGGCACTGGAATAGGTTGCCCAAGGAGGTTGTGAATGCTCCATCCCTGGCAGTGTTCAAGGCCAGGTTGGACGAGGCCTTGGGTGATATGGTTTAGAGCGAGGTGTCCCTGCCATGGGCAGGGAGGTTGGAAGTTGATGATCTCAAGGTCCTTTCCAACCCTAACCATTCTATGATTCTATGAAATTAAAAGGAAGCAGAAGTTTTATTATGAGTTGATATACTGAACTTCATTATGGATTTGATTTGTAGAACTTGTAATGTATCTTAAGGGAAGCTAACTTGGTTGTGAAAAGGACATTCTAACTTCCAGCTATCTTAGGTGCATCTGAAGCCTTCTTTGGAAGTCAGTGGAAATCTGTCAGTCTTGTTACTGGGGCTATAAGCACGTTGTGCTGAACCATGATGTTGTGTTATTAAGTATCTGAGTGGTGATGGTGGTTGTTTAAAAAAGAAAAGAAAAGTCTCATGTTTCAGTGGTTTAGGCTCAGGAATGTCTTGGTTCATAATTCAACCTCCACGCTTTATCTAGTGGAGCATGTAAGTGCATCTGGGAACATAAGGCTCAACCTTTAAGTCAAGAGAAGGATTTTCCTTGACTTGAGTAGTGTAAGCATTTTAGCTCAAATCCTGCAATGTGCACCTGTGTTCCAAAGAAACCAGTTGGAGATTGACACTTCAATATCTAGGAGGATCAGAATCTAAGCCCTCAACTGTTACTCTGACAACACTGTTTAGGCTGCCTTACTGTAATCTACTGCTAGTAAACAAATTCTTAGCAAGATCTCAGACCATAGTTACCAGGATTTGTCTGGGATTTGTACTTGAGGTAATGAAAGTTCTAGTATCTCAAGTAATGGATATTAACAGTCTGTCCACTCTGCAGCATCTAACACAGATTAAGTGCTTTTAAATAATCACGAAGTTGTGTTAGCTTTGTGTGGTGTCCTTAGCTAGTTTTGAATTAAGTGTAAACAGCAGAGAAGGTCCGTGAAACTTACTTTTCTTGATTTATCTTGGATTGATCATGACGGTGTCTGTATTTTACATGGGATATCGTTTTCCAGCCTATAAATAAATTAACAATTTGTGATGAAACTATGTAATAAATAAGTAAAACTAATCTTTTGCTCTGTATTTCCTGTGTATGAAAAGCAGAGACAAATTTTCTTACAAGTAAACACTCCGCTTCTTTCCATTTCTGTTATGTTCTGTTGGTTTCATAATTACCTATAGTATAAAATCTTTTTCAGTAATCTAAAGTCTTTTTGTCTGTCTTTAAAAACAAAACTTGTTTGGATTGAGTTTTTAAGAATTTTTGATTATGTTTATAAAAGCACATTACAGATTTACTTATTTATTTATTCATAAAATCTTTTGGCCAATCTGGTAGCTAAATACATGTCTAGAATAAATTGAAACTTTTGAATGGACTTTCTGTTGGGGAATTTCACTCTACAGCTTGTATGTGCTGCTTTTTGGAAGCTACATTTTTTAATTGAAGTAATCGTGTGTCTGCAAAGCACTTTCTTCTTTCTTTAGTTCCCATGAAACTGGATAACTCTCATAATTTTTTGCACACACACTCATGAACCGATGGGGAAGGAAAAATTCTTGGCTGATTTTCTGGAACTGTATTGGCAATCATAGGGAAAAATACGGTGGTTCTCCCAGAAATGATATCCATACAGAAGCTGCAGATTATAATGCAGCTGTAAGGTTCTGGGATCACATTTAGTTTATGTAATGCTTTTATAGTACATTATCAGAATGGTGTTTTTTTAAATGCAACAAGCAGGAAAAAACCTGCAGAGCATCAAGTGTTTTATGTAATCTCAGTGTCTCCTCTATCATGCAGTCTCTTCTGTGTATGACCTTCACAGTGGATTCTGCTATCTCTAACAAAAGTGGAAGGCTCCTCCTAAGTGCATGGGGTCTTTGAGGACAAGCACGTGAAAACTGATACAAGTCCTGCATTGCCAATGCATAGTTTGTAGGTTTGGCTCTTGGGGTTAGATAGTTGCTCCCTTCTTATGTTGTGGTCACTAGCACAAGGAGGGCCTGTTCTTGGCGTGTGTTTCTGGATATTCTTCTAACTTCTGCTGCTGTTTGAAATTTAGCTATCATGTCTCTTGTCTGTTCTGACAGAGTGTAGATCTGGATGACCGCCACAAATCTGAGTTCAGAAGAGTTTTTAGTTCTTCCATCATTGAAAATGGTCATCAGTCTTCAGGTAGGAACAGGGCATGAAATGAAATAGCAATACTTGTAAAATAACTTGATTCTGGCAGTCATAGAGCAGCCCTCAAATGCTGGAAGCATTAGAATCTGATACGGTTTCAGCATGGGTATTGTACTGTAGCACTGATACAGTTTAACTTTATTTCCTAATTAGGAGTTTAACTTTTAAGCTTTATTGTTAAGCATGCTCTATGGTGTTTCATGAATTAGAAACGACTACTGTCACATTATCTTGGGGCACTAATGATTATAAGGCCTGCTATCCTGGGTGCCATTGTAGCCTTGCATCCCAAAATATTTTGCAAATTACCTGTCTGCATCCATTACCTTTAAGTGGAGGAAGAACTTGCTGTCTCCATTTTAGAGAAAACAGGCACACAGCATTTCATAAAACCATGAAAAGAGCAATAATGCTGACCCGTAACTCACAGCAGGAGATTGGGGGTGGAAGCTGCACAGAGGAAGAGGAGGAGTTTAGCAAATGCAGCTGCTAGTGGGCTTATGATCTGGAGAAGTTGAGATTCATGTAGGACAGGTATGATTGCTGCAAGGATCACTTACACTAGGGTTGTTTCTACAGCATGCTGTAAATGGTATTAATGTCGCACAGGGAGAAGTAGGTGCAATAATTACAATAACTTGTAAAATAAAGTTGTTACATGCAAATTGTTTTTTTAACTTTGTTACAAATCTGCAAATAAATTTAATTCCTCTCTCCTCTTCTTCTTACCCAGTAGACCAGGCAAAAGTCTCCCATGAACTGACCTCTTTTCACATGTCAGAGACATCCCCTGAAGCCCATGCCCCTGCAGTCACCTTACAGATGCCCCATCTTCCTGTTACTGCAGTAACCAGGATACCAGAGAAGTTTTCAGGAGAGACTGTTTGTTCAACAGGAACAACTAATGCATCTGCTGGCCTGCTGGGACAGAGCAAAAGCAAAAATGCAATGGCAATGAAAACTTCCAACCAGTCAGGTAAGAGAGACAAAAATAATTTGTTTGATGAAGCTGTGACCTATTTCTTTACTGGTGCTACAGGGCTTGTCCTGTGACTTTGTGGTACTTATGAAACTTCATTTCTACGCTACATATCTCATGGTGGGACACCCTGACTTAGAAAATTGTGGGTCCTAGATTCAGCTTTAGGCTGTAATGTCATATATGCTGAAAATTTTTGCTGCCTGATATAGTTGAGTTTATAGCACAGGCTATCTTCTAGCTCGGTTACTGAATAAGTATCTCTTCAATGCTATTTTAATGAAATTCACAGGAATTTTTAGTGCTTTGAGACCTGAGGCCCCCTGAGAAGTTAGGTGGGTATTTAGCTAATGGGCTCTATATTTGGAGGGAGGAATGACCAACAGCAGACTGACACATACACACAAGTCAAAGTGATTTCAGAATTGTACTTACATCTTAATTTAGTTAATTTTGTGGTGCTTTAAATAAAGCTCATTTGTATTGAAGTCACTGTATTTTATGTACATTTAGTGATGGTGACACTTACAGATCAGACTATATGTATTGGTCAGAAATTAGAGAGACTTCAGATTGAATTGCCAGCAAGAGAGAGGGATTATTTGCAGGTTATTCTTTCAACTTGTATTTTATTAAAGGAAAGACTCTCTTTATCTTTTTTTCTGCTGTTTCAGTGAAGGCCTGGAATTCAAGTATGGTGACAACAGTGGGTTCATCTGCTACTGGAGGTGAGTGTTCTTATCAGCATGTCCATGTGCAACACAAAGTGAGGGGGATTCCATGTTCCACGTCTGGGGAATTCAGATCTGAGCATATAGTTCCAATTAATAGGTACATGGTAATATTAAAATTGCTAACAATACTGCATGCAGGTTCAGTTTCCCAGGTATTATGGATGGTTGTTCCACTGTATCAGATTCTCAGTCCATTCAAAGCAAGAGCTACTTGTCCTTGTTTGCACAGAAGTGTGCATGTGTACTATTAGGTAATCTCTGCAATGGAAACAATAGGTGCCAGGAAAGTGTGGCAGAACACAGTCTGAACAGTGAAGATTTCAGCTGACCAAGTGAAAACTGTGCCTGAAATCAAGGTAATGACAGTTGGAAAGTGGTGAGCCCACCCTATGGAGGGTGAAGCAAATTCCTTGAGCAGAATAGCAGTAAGTAGTCTTCTTCATGTATCAATGTGCCAAAGGACAAAATGCCTTAGGAATTTTCAATTTCAGTTGAAATAGATGAGTTGAGCTCTATCCAAAAGTATTTTTAATTGTTGTCACCAAGCTTTTATTGTCTATACCATATACTGGCATTTCACAGCGGTCTCAATGTCAGTTTAGCAAAGATGTAGCTCAGCAAGAATGGGGATCACCTGAGATTTGCATAAATTTCTGGCAATTGTTTGTGGTCCCAAATTTGTCACATTTATATGTTGGCATTTACTAGGGCATTTTACATGAGAAATTTAATTGATCTGGATTCCTTCTATAAGCAGCGGGGAGAGTTTGCACTTTCAGAGTCTTGTTGACAGTAATCAGGTTGGATTGCTTCTAAGATGCAGTCTTCATACACAGGAGGCTTCAGTAAATGAGTTGCTGGCTTATGCAACAAGTTCTGGCTTTAGTGCGTTAAAAATGGGCAAGTCACTCTGTTGCTGTGCATTTACAGAGCATAGCTGGTGTCCAGAGCTGACCTATAAGAGGCAAAGCACAAAAAGTAAAACCTCTGGAGGATATGATGGTCTGAAGCCATCTTTGCAACCCTCGCAGTCTGTTTGACTTTAAAACATTTCCTGGTGAAAATTAGGTAATTTAAATTATACTCTCAGTTGTAGCAGACTTCCTAGGGCTACTTATGTCTACCAGAATGACTACTTCAAGATGAGCTGTAGCACAATTTCTTTCATTTACTGTAATGTTGTCAATGGCAGCGTACCCTCCTGCTCTGCACAAGGGCCTGAAATGATCAAACCTTCCCAGTGCAGTTTTACCAAAAGCATCTTCTCACAGCCCTTTCTGGCATGTTTATACCATCCTTGCTGCAGGGCAGTGATTCTGCAGAGGGATTAAACCCCTTGGGAAGATCCCATCCCAGTTTATTAGATAAAACTAGAAGTAAGACAGGCCTGCAGCTATTCGCTGTGGTGAGTGTGGGGCTATCTCTCAGGAAATGGTTTGGAAATGTATGAGGAAAGGAGATAAAACAAGTTTCTGCCCTAATGTATTTTTGTCTTTCCTGCTTTTATACAGAGAATACTACTTCTGTCACTAAATCTGACTCAAGCGTGAGCTGTGGGACAAGTAGTGGAACCAAAACTGATGAAAGGTACACATTTTACTTCACATTTTGTTAGGCCATTGTGGTCAGTATAGTCTCAAGGGGCAGGTGTTTTGCTGGTGTGGAGAACAGGTGAATCCCAGATGCTGTATTTTAAGTGTTGAATGTATAATTGTATGTTAACCTACTTGCCCTATTACATTAACCTAGTTAATACATCCTGTATGTGTACTGTGTCCATCAGCATGTAAATGGGCATATTCCTCTTAACAACATTTCTACTTTCAGGGAATAACCCATCAATGACTACTGGAATAATCACACTTCCTGTACTAAAACCATCCTAGTGATGTACTGTATAATAGTATTTTTGTTCAACATGGCAGTGCTTGAATCATAACCTGAATTGTCTCAGGTTAAACAGTTCCTTATTTCTAGCCATACCTGTAGCTGGCGTACCAGGTTATTTATTGATTGCACTTCTCATGTAAAATCAGCAATGTGCCCTATATAAGATCCTATATGTCTAGCTTCAGGACTCTCTAAAACCTTTGCATGATTGCTTTTTTGTGCCTCTGGTTCCTGTGCTAGTGCCATATCTCAGCTGATCCTCACAGCTTTCTTTGCATGACACATCTGGTAGGCTATGTATCAACATCTCACCTATGATTGAAGCATTGGATAGCCTTAGCACTTTTGGTTCCCTTGGTTTTGGGAGGCTTCTTCAGGCTGCCACTCCGGTGCACCAAAGAACAGGTGAGTTCCAGATGCTGTATTTAAGCCCATAAAGTTTGTGAGCTTTCCTGAGGGCTAAATAGAGCAGAGATGGGAAGGGATAAAAATCTTTTGTAGGGCAATCTGAAGCAGCCCTAATTGTGGATTTCACCACTGTTACAGACTTAGTAAAGCTCTCAGTGTCAGCAGTGGATTTTTGTTAGGAGGAGCCAGTTGTCAGGCCCTTTGAAAATACTTGTTAAAATTCTCATCTGTGTTGAAATCTGTACATTGGGCTTGTTTTTGGAAACCAGCGTATAACTGCCATCAAATATCATTAGTTTGCCTAGCCTAGAGTTTGTGTATAAATGCATTGCTGAGGACTGCTACACATTCTTGATTAACTTGGAGTCACAGTTGCTTAGTATAGGATTACATGGTATCACAATTACTGCTGTCATATCCAGGTATCCTCAGCATGCAAAATATCCATCAAGAAGAATGGGAGGGCAGCTAATTTAAATCTCTTAAATTGGGCTTACATCTGCCTTGAAAATTATGCCAAATTTGTCATTACACTTCTGAGTTAGTTCCAACATCCACACTTTCATATTTGAGTCATGATACACTGAGCACCCTAGAGAACTTGCTGCCAGATCTGACCTCCATCTGTACCAGAAATTAATGTGTGACACTGATTCATTGCTCTTTGCCTCAGTTTCCCCATATCAACATTTCCAAATGTGACCTGTTGCTGGTGAAGTGGTTTATGGCTCAAATAAACACAAATTAGAATAAAATCCTCTATTTCTCGGTCAAATGACCAGCGTGTGGTCAGCAAAGCAACACTGACCCAAGCTCAGAATTCTGTGTACTCTTAACAAAAAATTTGAAAAGTAATTTCTGAATTGCTCGTCATTTGTGACTTGCCCAGCTATGTGTTATTTGTAAAAGTACCTTTAATTTTTACTTAAATTGCTTTTCACTCATTCAGCTCCTCTTGAAACAGCTCTTTTGGGAGGTTTAGAGTAGGCAACAGTTGGATCTTTATGCTGACTTCTAGCAGCACCAAGCATTTTGTTTAACAATATACTTTCCATGTTATGTTTCTCCAGTGCCAGTGACAGTTACTGTGATGTGAACCCCAGCTCTCACTCCTCTCCTCCCCCTGTACAGCGCCAAGTTGAAAGGAGGCGAGAACTGGTGCGGTCTCAGACGCTCCCACGGGCTACAGGAACACAGGCCAGGAAAGCGCTTTTTGACAAATCTGAGTATGGAGCTGGAAGGTATGTTGAGGCATGGGTTTGTTAATGGGAAAATAATTTGTCGATTACCAGCAGAGGACAGGGACAGCTGGGTGAGAAGACTTGACTCTCAGTGTAGGATTTTGAGCTAAGGAACAATACAAGGTCATGTGTAGCTTCCCTGACTTCACAGACTGAATGCTGGGAATTCACATCTATACATTCTCCTGGCTTTGAAGGTGTTCAGCTGAAGAAGCAAGGGCCTTTTATCAGGAGAGAGTGCTGTGGAAGATGCCTTCTCTGTTATTAAAAGAGACTAGGAATATAGTGATTTTGTGTTGCCATTCATTAAGGACCGAAAGATGGACTGTTCTCTATGTACCATGTTGGGGGTATGATTTAAATAGAAGAGGCTTGGAATCAGTCCTGGTGTTAGGGAAATGGAAATTAGTTTTTCTTGCAGGACCAACAAACTGAAGTTTCAGCAAGATGCTTCTCAAGTATCACCTGGGCAGGGGCTGACCCGGGCAAGGCTGTGTAGATGGTGCTTACAAGTAGCTTTAAACCTTTCTAGAATGTAATTTAATCTGGTCTCTGTTAATTTTCCAGAGGAAAAGGTGAATCCAGAGCTAAACTGAAGAGGTCGCAGAGTTTTGCAGTTGCCAACGCTAGCAGCATTAAACAAATTCTGTTAGACTGGTGTCGCTCAAAAACCCTAGGATACAAGGTGAAGACACACTGGCACTTTCATCTCTTTCTTTCTCAGGAGAGTTTGCCAAAAAAGTGTACTCAAAAAGTGCATGTAAAACACACTAAACAATGAGTTAACTTGCACAAGGCCATCAAGTTCTGTGTGGGTAACACAAACATCATGGTTTGCATGGGCAACACTTCCAGACAGTGATTGCATGAGTGAGATTCTGTATGTCTGTCAAAGCAATGCATTAGTGTTTGTCTGAAAGCCTACATTTTTCTGCTTCTGGATAAAGACTTCAGTATACACTTGCATTTTTTTTAGTTACAGGCTTTTGCATTCTCATTGTATATGGCAAGATCTGAATGACATTTTGCCAGTATGTGGAGACTATGGCCCTTTTGCTACACAGCAGACCAAAGTACCCTCTACTGGTACTGGACATGTGAATTTGTAGTAAATAGTTGAGGCTGAATCATATGGTGTTAGTGAGCTAATTTCTATGAGGTAACATCAGCATAGCTAAAAGAATTCAGCAGTTGAGATTTTAGTAATTTTACCTGGCCTTAAACTGAAATTGCCAAAGTAATTTCCATGAGAAAGAAAATTGTGTGTGTAATATGTTTTTCAGAGTTATTGTAAAACGTGCATTATTATTGCTGAACTCTAAATTATAGTATATGTTAGCAGAACCAGTGAAAATGACTGTCAGTTGCTTACCAGAAAAGCTGGGGCTTTAATTTTATATGATGGCAAAGTAGCATGAGACAGTAGCCCAAATACATTTCCTTTCACTGTGGCAGTGGAAAGTAACAATAAACATCTGTTCTAAAAATCAGGTTTTGCAAGAGGTGTAATGCTTCCTATATTTCTACCTATCTGTGTGTAAACAGGCATTGAATTGGGCCTTACTGAAAGCAAAGCAAGCAAGCATAATCTTTATCTAGTGCTATTCACAGCCACAAAACGAACTGTTCTTCCATTATAAATGCATTACAGGGATAATCAGCATCCTTAGTTTTCACAGATACTCAGCTGGTGCATTGGGCCTGCTCTAGAGCTCACATTCTTCCCAGTATTTTCACTGGGGTTTGGATCAGGCACCTTGGCTGTGTGTCTGCTTTGCATCTGAGCATTGCATGCAAAAGGCTTTCATTTGCTGAGTGTGCTGGTTTTTCTCAGAATACAAGTAACGTCATGGATATACTAAAAGGGAAGGACAAACCATGAAGCCTGTGCTTTGTTGCCTGGGTTAGTGGGAGAGGACAGAAAACTTCAGTAAGCAAAAGCAGTTGCACTTCACTCTTCACCCATACTACATTAACATGTATAATTTTTTTCATTATGACAGCACATTGATCTCCAGAATTTCTCCTCAAGCTGGAATGATGGGATGGCATTTTGTGCTCTTGTGCATTCTTTCTTTCCTGAGGCTTTTGATTATAATAAGCTGGACCCAGCTAATCGCAAGCAGAACTTTGAGCTGGCCTTCACCATGGCTGAGTGAGTATTACATTAGATCTCTGTGAAGTGCTTCCAGTTCAAGTCTAATGCAGGTGGGCAGCAGTGAAGAGTTTAAGCATTCTTACAGATACTGTATCTCTAGCTTACATGTGTCATGCCAAAAAAGATGATAAAGTCCTGCCTAGAGAATGCATAGGACATGAGGCTCAGCAGTCAGAGGTGGTTTTACCAGGCACAGGATTATTCACTGGAAACAATCCACAGCCACATGGGTCTTCATTAGCACATTTCATCTCTTCTCATGTTTCTCTGTTCTTTTGGAACTTGGTATATAATAACCAGAAGAACTCAAGATTTGCAAGCTTGCATGACCCTGCTTACTGGGAATTGGGCAGGTGAATGTGAGATTGGGCTACATGCTACAGATAGCAGGGATGTGAATGGCAGCCAATGAAAAATAAACAAGGCCCTCCAGGGCTGTGGATCAGATCCCAGTACAGAAGAGGGAAAGAACCGGAATATTCCATGGTCACAAAAATAACAATCTCTCACCTGAGTTTGACCATTTCATAGTAAAATGGAATGCTGCTTATAAACCTCAGGATTTCTTAAATGCTTCAGTGATGCTCAAATCAGAGCAGCAAATGAATCTTGGCCCTGGTTACAGGCTTCAAGATTTAACTCTAGATTTACTGTATCTGTTTTATCATTACCACAGGAAAATGGCTCATTGCGATCGTCTGATAGAAGTGGATGATATGATGGTGATGGGTCACAAGCCAGATCCCATGTGTGTCTTCACGTATGTCCAGTCTCTATACAATCATCTACGACACTTTGAATAAACCCATTGACACTTCTCTGGACTGAAGGGTTAAGTACACTGCTAATGGAAAGAGTGACATTTTGCAAATGGAACACTCTTATTCCTTACTTTTTACTGTCCCTTTGCTTACATTCAGCTGTGTGGCTGACTGAAGTGTTGCTGAGCAATGGCCCAAAGTGTTGCATCACATCAGTATTATTTGTCAGTAATACAGAAATACATTTTTAAAAGGCAAAAAACACAGGGAAAAGTAACTCTGGTGCTAGCAGGGGGTTGGATTTTTAATATTCTTTAAAGGTCACAGGAAGCTAAATTGCTGTCCCTGTCTCTATTAGGTTGGGGACACAGTCTTATGCAGTGACAGTAACTCTGCTACGAAGGTGTTCCCTCTTAAAATATGAGTAAAACTCCAGAAAATAGCATCTTCAGTTCCACTTGTCTCTTAAACATGGCACAAAAAAATAGCAGATGGACAAGGAAAATTCCAAGAGTACTCAACTACTAGGGCATTACTGCCTCTCCTCCAACCCTAGCCCCCACTATAGCATAAGTACATGTACACATCAAACATTGTTCTGTTCTCTTAAAGCTGAACAAGAACATAGCCTCTTACCTGCTGACTGGGATGACGGATAACTGCCGTGTTACAGAACAGCATTTGTCTGTAATGGTCAAATCTAAAGTGATTTGCTTAAAGGCTTGCTAAAACCTCTGCTTGCAGTACTGGATTTATTTCCTGATTATGAAGAACAGCAACAGCTGGGCTCTTCTGTGTATAAGAACGTGTTTGTATGATTTAAAATTGGGGATAGGGTGGGGTTGTAACAAGGTACAAAATCCTCTGAACACTCATAATAGAAGCAAGACTGTAATGTACTTTGACCTAGACTCTGGGGGAAAACAACTCTCCAGTGTGCACAGGAATTAAGTCTTGATGACGTGCTCAGTCCTCGTGCTGACTCAGAGGTGGACAGGCAACGTGCCGAGAAAGTATGAAAGGTGGGAGTTTTGAAATGCCTTGGACTAATTTCCCTTTTCGGTTAAATCAGTGTTAACACCACAGTGCATTAGGATTATCCCAGATTTACTGAACAAAAAGGTCATGTGTCACCCTTCCTGGTTTTTTCTTTGATAAATCAATGGAGTTTTGTTTTCATAGTGAATGTTAAACCACCAAAAAAGCGTACTTCAAAACAAAAAAGAAGCTTTTTACAAGTATTTCTACCCTAAGAGCAGGCTCACAGAAAGTAAAAACTGAAAGCCATATGAGCCCTCTGCTCATGCTAGAAAATGTTTATTAACCTGCATTTGTGCTTTTTGTAGGTATTTATAAAGATTACTTTGGTTCTGTATTGGTGACTATTTGTAATAAAATGTCAAATGCTCTCCAGATTTACTGCTTCTCTTTAGAATGAAGGGTTTGTAATTTGTCTTTAGAATGACAGGTAACAAAGTAAACTTGGTGAAAAGAAACTAGAGCTTTTCCTCAGATGTTTTTTATTCTAGTCATGATGCTGTGTGCTCTGAATTTCAGTTTTAAAAGTACATAAGTTTAATTCCATTTGGAATAGGATTTTAGTTCAGCCTCCCTTTCTAGTGAAGTTTGCTTAAGAAATCCTGAGTGAAGTAACCACTTCTGTTAGCAGTCTCGGGAGAGAAAACAAAAACAAACCCCAAACACCAAAAATTTACAAAGGTAAATCGTAACTTAATGTGAAGGTCTGGATCATTAAGTTCTGTTTGAAGGGTAGCTATGCTATTGCTATGCCACTATGAAAACAGTTTGAAAGATTTAGTATCTGAAAGATCCTAGGTCAAACAGGATCCTTGGTATTGTTGATCTCACAGCTTTAGTCCAAGTGGACAGAGGTTGGGTGGGCTGTTCATATTTATCGTATGACTTAAGGTTTTGGCTTTGTCTTGAACAACCATAATTCTGAGAAGGAAGTGTGCTCCTGTTGCTCCATGAAATGCATCTTAAGGATAAACACACTGTACTTGTGTTTTGGAGAGATGATTAACGTAAGCATGATCAGAAATCTATCCACAACTGGCACATGGGATACACATATTTGCATTCTTACAGCAGAATACTTTCAATTGACTAGCAGAGCTAAGTTCCATCATAGCTAGAAGAGGAGAAATACTGGCTTTATACATCACATTCCTGTATAGTCCCAGATCATGGGTGATTTTCCTGTCATGTGAATGTTAAAGACACATGTAAGTGGTTGGCCAGTTCAGGCCTACTAGCATATTACAAACAGTGACATTATTGCCAATTCACTAGGGGGGCAGGGGTGTGTGTTACATCTTTTCTATGACTTAATTTGCTGTCACAGCTAACCAGAAGCTATTTTACAGATGGTTGTTTTAAGTCTTCCCACTTCAGAGAGGTAATGGTCAAGATACCTGATGCTTGCCAGCAAACTAATTGCAGGGTAGCAGAAGACTGTAAATTGAGTTTAACTGCTGGTGGTTTGCATGTAAGAAGATGAGGGAGATGGTGCTATGACATAATTTTAACCTTGACTATGAGATTGTATCATTATGTTGACATTAAAGTATGTAATGTTTGCCTCTGCTGGATTTTTTTGCATTTAAGGAGGAAAAAAAAAAAATGCCAAGAGAGTGTGTGTATATATGACAGCAGATGTATTCAGCATGAGTGATAGAGTGAACAACATGTTAAGTCAGTATAGTATATGTTTTACATAGATGGACTATTTCCTGGCTTTTCTAATGTTTCTGCACTGTATCAAAATTCAGTACTGAGGTGATTTATTGTAACTGGATCCAACTTTTAAAGGCCAGATCAGTTCGTTCTGTGCAAGATTTTCTCAGCAGAGACGTAAAGGACACAAGGACACCCACTTTTTAAAATGATGGTTGTGTACAGGTTCCCACAGCAGGGAAGTCCTCCTTGGAAGCACAATAATTGTATGGATGCCTTTCAACACGTTTCCCTTTGTGTGACATTTCCAATGAGGTGTATGCTTGAACCAGTGCAAAACTCTTGGATACGTGTAATTAGGTATAAATATAGCCCACATGGTTTAACCTCTGTCATTAATTTAAAGCTGGCCTGATTTGCAGAGATAGTTTCAAAGTGTCCAAAATAAAAGTTGGCATTGCTTTATGTAAGGTGCATTTAAAAGTCACTTGTGGTTCTGCTAAAGTAGCTCTGGGTCGACTGACATTGAGTCACAGATAGTTTAGGTTTGAGGGGACCTCTAGTCCCTTCCAACCAGAGGAAAGGCCATCTAGTCCAGCCCCCTGCAATGAGCAGAGACATCTTGAACTAGATCAGGTTACTCAGTACACGAAGCCTGGCCTGGAGTGTCTCCAGGGATGTGGCATTTACTGCTCCTCTGGGCAACCTGTGCCAATGTTTCACCACCCTCGCTGTAAAAAAATTCTTCCTTTTATCCAGTCTCAATCTACCCTCTTTACTTAAAACTGTTCCCCCTTGCCCTACCACGACAGGTCCTGCTATAAAGTTTGTCTGTCTTACACACTCCTGTTTTTTAAGTACTGGGAGCTGCCCTAAGGTCTCCCCAGAGCCTTCTCTCCTCCAGGCCCAACAAGCCTGGGCTCTCTGTCTTTCTTCATAAAGGATTATTCCAGACCACATTGAACACTGGAATTCAGACCTGTTACGCAGTCTGCTTTACCGTTTCAGAAACACTGCAAGCGAGCAGTTGATGCTGCAGTATCAGCCCAACCTAGTGAGCTCTATCACTTCAACCCGCTGTCACAGCAGTTTGGATGCCCGTTTAATCCTCTAAAGAATGGGACTATCCGTGATGATTTTAATGCATCTAATAAGGACCACGGTGACTCGTTTAGGTTCCAGTCTCATTAATGTTGGTTAATTGTACTCCTCCGCAGTGTTTTCCAGGCTGAGGGCTTCAGCGCTGCCTCGCCCAGGCCCCACTCTCCCCATAGGGACGACGCTGAGACCGTTAACGGGGAGAGCGCCGGACTGCTGCGGCGGCCGCTGATTGGCTGCGGGCGGCTGGGGCGGGGCTGGGGGCGAGGCCGGGGCCGTTGGCTGCCGCCGGGCTGTTCTGGTGCCGTTCCTCTCTGGGCTGCCTTGGCCTCGGACTGGTTCTGCTGTTACCTGGCGGGCAGTGCCGCTGCCAGCCTCAGGAAGTCTGCAGTGATTTAGCCCCTGAAAACCATCTGAGGTAAGAATAAACCTTCCCCATGCTGTGTAATTCATATTGAAGGACCGGTTGTAAAAGCCAGGTGTAAATTTGGTATTAACACTTTAAAAGGAAATATATTTTTTTTATGGTAAGCTAACAATGAGGAATAGCTTTCGGGTTGGTCACTACAAATGAATTACTGTATGATGGTCTCACTCACAGGGTGGGTCAGGACAGCACCAGATACTGGATTTTCAGAACAAAGATGCATGCAGGTCTGTGGGTCTCACTGAACGACACTGGGGATTGCTCAGCTTTCAGAGTGACCGAGCACGTTTTCAGAAACAAAATGTTCATTGTTTTCAACCACCGCCAGCCACTGCTCATCATTCTCAGTTTATTATGAGTCATTCTGTCACCCATTTTTAATTTGCTCATGTTGCCTTTAAAGCCTTGGAATGTTACTGAGAGTACATACAAGTATTAAAACTTTGTGGAAGCCAAACTAATATGCAGCCTGATACATACTCTGTACTCATGGTGGCAAAAGTAAACCTTGGTTCAGACTAGCTCCAAGTTCAGATCTGCGTAAGTCATTAGAAATCTTTCAGCTGTCATGGAAATGGCTGCAGTTCCTGCTCCAGCTGTTAGTGTGACAAAAAGTACTGCTTTCAGCAACTTGTCTTAGCATATTAATAATTTGTTTGAAAAATACTCACTGGAGAGAAAGAGAGGGGGAAGTGTTATCTGGACCAACGGCAGGCAGAATGTACAAATCAAGAGACAGTCCATGGAAGTATTGTTCTCTTGTACAAATAGTGGCATACTACACATGTAGTATAATATATATACTGATAAAACTGATACACATATAAATACCATATAATACATACATACCATATATATATACCATATAAACTGATTTACAGGTCTGTCTCAGAAGTGGTCTATGTAATTGATTCTGATCAGTGTTCAGCCTAGTCATAGTCTTGCTTCACCTTGTGAATCGTAAGCATGCTGAGCATCTGTGACCACAGCTTTATATCCTCCTGTATCAAATCAGTGTATGTTTTTAATTTTCCTTGCTTGTCTTGCACCCCATTCTCTGCTGCTTCTTGAATATCTAGGTCCTCATCCCAGAGTAATGTCAACCCTATGTTCTGAAGCCTGTATTTTTCTTTGGCTAACTCTGAAATGCCTGCATTTTTCTGTAAGACAGTGTTTCTTCAGTTAAAAAAACTTTTTTTGCTCCTCTGGAGTATGTGCAGATTTCCGTTTCCAGGGCAGCTGGAACGAGAGGCACTGTAGTTACCAGTTTTAGTGATCACTGAATTTAGCTCCTGTTAAATTGAAGGTCATGAGCAGCTTTCTAGCTGTCACTTCACTGTATTTGCAGGCAGAAATTGCAGTTACTTCCCACCTTTCTGTCTTGGGCAAGGTCAACTTCTTCTGGGCAATGCTACTTGCTTCCTTCTCAGTTTGCAGTCTCTTTGGACCTTGCTGGGAACTCTGAGAAACCCTGCTCTCATCTGAACTACATCAGAGATATTCAGAGGGGGCATAACTGTGCCATCTGATGTAATGCTCTTTTGTCTCCTTCATTTCTTCTGTCTGGCTCGCAATCTCTTTTGTCCAGGAAAGGATATAGTTGCCACAAAGATGCGCATACTGCTAAGGATATTTTATGACTGACATTTTAGATAGCTAGGGATTTACACATTTGCTTTCACAATCTTAATGCACTTCTGCACTAAATTGATCAAAAATTGCTGTCCGAAGCTGCGGGAACCATCTCAGATAATGTACAAAGAACACATTTTTATTTCCACACAGATCTTAACCAGGAATTGGTGAAAGGAAGCACCACTGGCTGCTCTGTGCTGGCACCTCTCCCACCAGAGGCAGTAACAGGAGGTTGCTGGAGGCAGCGCTGCTGCTCCCATGACAACCGCTTTGTTGCCTTCCCTGCTGCACTGGCCCGCCTCCTGGGATATTTAGTCGCACTTTTAAAAAGAAACCATGCGCTGCTGCTGTGGAGATACAGGCTGGAAGGCAGCTGGGAGGAAACCCCTGCTCGTGAAAGGGAGTTGAAGACGTGGCACTTAGCCAAGGTTGGACCCTGGGAGCCATGTCAGCCTACAAGTTCATGAGGCAGAAAGGGGATTGTTTTAAGGGTGAATCTTAAGATGTTATCTGCTGAAGTGTGTGTAAAGCTGTGTGTTGCTGAGGAGCAGCTGTGAGCTGGGGTAAGAAATTGTCTCAGGAGCGCTGGATGAACATAGTGCAAGAATAGGAAAATTGATAATCAAACTGTTGTGACTTTGCATAGATCTGGGGCATTGTTTTCACTCTGCATTAAACCCATGTTCCCAGTATGCTTTGTTCTGCTTCAGCCCTCCCTAGGCTTTTCCATTTCCTCATTTACCTGCTGTATTTCCTCCTCCACCTTTTTTTTTTCCCCCTAATGACCATTACATTTCTTTTTTACAACCTAAAGTTCATTCATGTCTCCAGCCATATTCTTAAAAGGTGTTTAATTCTCCAAACTGTGGGAGATTATATTCTGTATTTGTTCACTTTTTATCGATTTTCTGTGATTGTCTGTTTAGTAATTCCATCCTTCCTTACGCCTCCTTTCACTTCTCCCTCCTATGGCAGATAGCCCATCTTTTCCTCTTAGTTCACTTTCAACCCTCTCCTCCTAGCTTCCATTCTCAAATTCTTCTGTTTCTTAATTCTCCCATTCCAAACTTTTCCTCCTGCACCTTAGCAAAGTCTTGGAGAGCCCTGTGCAAGAAGTCTTTTCTTTTCATACCTGTGTCATTCTGCAGGTGAAAAAGGCAAAAATTTTTCTCACCCTTATGTACCTGCGTTTTTCCCTTCTTGTTTCTGCAGCCAAATGTAATGCTATTCCTGTTTCCAGGTTCCACATCCCAAGAACTGACCTGTGTTATTACCAGAAACTTTCTACAAAACAATGGCCAGACTGTTGCAAGCTCCACGCAAATTTCATCCCTCAGAATGGGACACTGCAGCTAGGGTGCAGTGTGCCAGTACAGAGTCTCTGAAATCAAGATCAGAGCGCATGATAGCTGAGAGTCAGAGGCTGCTGGATGAAATAGAAAAGACAACTCAGAAAACCCAAAGCGATGTCAACAAGAAACTAGGTAATCCCAGGTAATCTGCAAATGTCAAGATATGTTGAGCTGTATGTTTAAGGAAGACTTAAAAAATCAGTTGCTAGTGAATAGGAGTATATGTCAATGTCATGCTCTTTGATTTCATGGAAAAACTAAAAATATTTTATGAAATATTTTGAGGCAGACTCTTTATTTTGTAACACATAGATAAACCACACAGAAGGCTATTCCAACCAAACTTCCTGACACAGGGGTTGCAAAACTGTCCACACATCAGCCTACAGCATTACATGCACTCCACTATGGAATAAGTCTATTTTTAGTCATATCTAAGATCTGACCCACAGTGGTCTCGCATGCAGAGATGGGCTTGTATTAAAACCTGCTTACAATTTTCATTCTGCAGAGCAGAGACAGGAAGAAATAAAATTCTGGAAGCAAGAATTAAATAACAAACTTGAAGAAGTTGTGCATGAGACAGAGTTACTGTTAACATTCAGGACTCGCCTGGAGAAATCATTGGAGAGCTGCAAAGAGCCACTTGTCATTGCCCAAAAATGTCTCCTGAACAGGTGAGATGATAACCAGAAGAAAAGCATTCAGGGAGAGAAAAAAATAATAATCTAGGTTATCAACCTTTAACAAATAATAGAAAAGGCTGTAAATTAAGGACAGTGGAGTAACAATCTGATTTATTATAACACTGGGGAGCCCAGGTCATAAAGGAAAAACTGTGTGGCAAGAAAAAGTCTTCAGTTTGGAAAGCTGGGCTTCATAATCTTCTGTTAGCTGCAGGCATTTCAACAATGGGGCTGATGGATTTTCCTCTTTTTGTTTAGGCAGAGGAGAGTTGGGAGTGACTTGGTGCATGATGAAGTGGAACAGGAACTGGTGAAGGAAGCTGAAATCCTCCAGGGGGTTATTGCTTTGCTTGGACGTACATTGGAACAAACTGATGAGCAAATCAGGTGCCAAGTGTGTAACTGAACACTGATAAGCTGAAAAGTAAGACAGTCATATTCCTGAGAAGTTGTAGAGTCAGGCTGAGCACAGGTCCAAAGTTACCTTCAGTGCTGAACAGTTACAAGGAGGTCAGTCCTAATTCGTACCACTGAAGTACTTGCACAGAACACATGGTCTTCTCATGATCCAGTCCTGTGCTTTTAATTCCGATTGAAGTTGTACTATCAATGTATATAGAGGCAGCCTCACACTCTTGATTTTGGGACTTTGCAACTGACACTTTGTACATTAAGAATTCCATAACAGCATTTGTATTACTTAATGCATATATTCATGCATGTTATGGAAACGTGTAAGTGCCTACACTTTGGCTTAGAGTCTGGTTGTTTCTCCTTCTAGACTAAACCGTTCAGCAAAATATAACCTGGAAATGGATCTGAAGGACAAGTTCACGGCTTTGATGATTGATGGTTACTGTACTAGCTTGACAAACAACACTCCTGATACCAGATACACTAATAATGCAGCGAGAACAGAAGGAAAGTAAGTGGTTATTTAGTTCAGTTAACAAAAAGTAACTATACAGCCAGTGTGAGCTGTCTCTGTAAATAGCAGGATTATTTGTGTAAAACGGACTACATCTGTCCATCATCTGTCTGTTGTAGATTGGGGTTTTTTTATACTTCTGTCCATCACTTTAGTATCTATCTGTGTAACATGTCTGAAATAGCCACAATAATCATGTTCCCAGTGAACTGAAGTTTTTGAGGCTCACAGCTAAGGAAAAGTTCACACATTACTTAAACCCAGAATAGATTTCCTAATCTAGCTTCCTCTCCTCTCCCAGGGTGTCCTAATGGGGAGAACGCTGGACTGGGACACCCAGGATGTAGAGTCAGTTTCTGACTCGGTCACTAACCTGTCAAATGTGCCCCTCCTGTGTGGGCTAGTTAGTGTGAATGGTTTAGACAGAGAAATAGCTACCACAGAAAAATTAGCTGAGAAGAGGAAACATACTGAGAAGGCAGTGTGCGAGAGACACTCTCACAAGGACACTATGGCCTCTACAAGAACTGACAAACTCGGAACACAAAGAGACTGACTGCTCTTCCTGCTAGTGTGTAGCGTGCATCAGTGACAGGTTGGATAACTCAGGCTACAGGTAGAATGGTCTTGGCTGTTGTAGCCAAATTACAATTACAGCTTTATATATCCACCCAATAAAACAAGGAACCCCCTGAAGAACTTTCCAGACACCTGCCTGCGAGCCACTGGTGCACAAGTGTGACCCTCTAATCTTGGGATACAGTTGGGGGTTGGCTTCCCAATTATTGTTCCAACCACATATTATAAGTGACTGTCTTACAGGTAGTGAATGGTGTAAGAGAGTAAGTGAATGTTCTGTGTCAATAGTTACCTTTGATTAATAGTAACATCTGAATAATATTATTAACAACAGATTGCTCAATGAAAGTTGTTCTAAGAAATATTGTTTATAATCTGTTTCCCCCACAACAACATATAACTCTATCAGGGAAAGGTACAAAGTTGCAATGTGACTAGCAAATTCATGTCCATCCTACCCTTGTCTACTTCCTTCCGAGATGCTTGCAACATTTATTTTGTATCTAGAATTCCCAGGACAACTAGCACTAACTGGGACATACAGTTAATAGAATTGCTTTGTTCTCAGTTTTGTGGAGTAACTATAGATTTATGAAGTCGCAGAGGGTTTGATGGCGCCATTCCATGACCTTTTATTTTTAATCTCTTTCAGTTTTGTTAGCCCTGAAGACTGGATAGATTTCTCAAATATAAATGTTGAAAAGGCTGACAAGCAGCGAAACAATTCTCTGTCATTAAGGGTGCTTATTGATGGCATCCTCTCACAGACAGCGAATGACATACGCAAGCAATGTGAGAGGGTGAATGCTGCGTTTAGAAATAGGGTGAAGGAAGTCAGGGATGCCAAGCACAAGCTAGAGACACTCCTTGCAATGGTAAGTGGTGCGGGACAGTTAGTGATAAAGTAGAGACGATGGTCTCAGATTATCTGCCAGTTTTCTCAATCCATTGGTTTGAGCTACTTTGCTTTAAGAATTTTACCTTCACAATACTGGTAGCCCCTGCCACTTCACACACCCCCCCAAAAATGTTGTCTTACATTTCTCAGCTCTGTGCACACCACTAGAGAGATGAATTTCTGGAATCACATGATGTAGGTGTGGCTATAGACATCAGTAAAGTCAGGATTTCTCTTGTGATTTTTAGTTACATGGCAATCCTACAGAATTTTCATGATTGTAATATAAGAGCATAATAACTTATAAAATCAGGGTCAATGTGCTTGATATTTGATACATGAAAACTGAGTGTTAATATTAAAAAATAATTGCTGAGCATAGATCTCCAGTTTCACTCAGGAAAGTGTCACCTGCTCTTAAAGGAATCGTAATCCTGTCTGACCTTTGTAAAATATCCTTTGATGAAATAACATTTTAACATAATGGGTGTTATATTTTTTATTACTATAACTAACTATTAAAGATATTGACAACTTTAACCATTGTAAGAGCCAGTGTGCAGCACTTCCTTCTGTTGGACTTGTTAAGGTGATGGATGAGACTGCCTCACAGGAGAAGAACATTGCAGCCTTAAAGCAAGCAATTGCTGATAAAGAAGGACCTGTTAAAGTGGCTCAAACCCGCTTGGAAGCAAGAAACCATCGCCCCAATGTGGAATTCTGTTATGACACAGTGCAATACAGGCTGATAAGTGAAGTTGAAGAAATTACAAGAAATATTCAAAGGCAAGTGGAAATGGGCAAAAGAGAAAATCTGTGGTATAGCTTGCTATGTTAGTGAGTCAAAGTAAATCGGATCCCAGCTACTCTCCCTGAAAGGCTGGGAAAGGCAGGACACTTTAAAGGAAGCTGCATGTCTCTCTGTGAAGCCTCTTCCATCTTTTTTTTTTTCTTCAATTCCTCAGAATTCTTATCCTATATGAAAAAAAAACTACCACTGTGTTTTCAAGTAATGTCTGTCTTGTTTTCCCTGTTAGGTTACAGGATGCACTAGGAGAGGCTGAGACAGAGCTGAAAGCTCTGAGCCGACAACAGCTTTCCTTGGAGGAGGAGATCAAGGTGAAGGAGAATACATTGTACATCGATGAAGTGCTCTGCATGCAAATGAGGGATTCTGTTAACATTAACAACTTCTGAAGCCATCACACTGGGAGATTGTGTGTTCTCCAGAGATTCATTTCCTGCTGAAATTTTATTGACAAACCTCCAGATTTATTGGTTTGGCTCAATGCTGTCCTGGTTCTAGTTGTGCAAGATAATTAAAACACATCTAGTACTTACAGCTCTCTGTTTTACAGCTATCTATGCTCTAGAACACCTGATGAAATCTGCCACTTGGTAATAAGATCCCAGAATCAGAAGAAATTCCCCTTCTGCCATGTTATTTATCGTGTGTGCAACCAGTGGTATCTTTTGCCGTTTAAAAGTGTAGAAACTGTGGAAGCTAGAACAGGAGTCTCCTCATAAGTCATTTGTTAGAAGCTGGGTGAGTGGGAGGGGTGAGTAGCCATGGAGTTTTGTAGCCATGTCTTAATATCTACTGTTAAGGAGCCACAGGCTATATATCAAACTTAACAACTTGTAGGGACTGGTGATACACTGGATAGTGCATCTGACTACACCTGAGTCAAGATAAGGCAAGGCTGATTTTGGACTAATCACTTCCCCAACCCAATTCTCAGTTTCCCTATTTGTAAAATGGAAACAATGAAATGGGCTTTATTGGTAAGGTGTTTGATGCTCTGCAGTGAGAACTACTGAAAAAAACGAGGATGGCCTTATATTCACTTGAGATGAAAGGGCTCACTGCTTCCTTTGGTTCTGGCAAGGAAAAACAAAGCAGGAGCAAGAATAAATGATGCTGGAGACACAGGAAACCAGTTCCCAAGTCCAGCGTTTTAATGGATGGAGTGTAAAATTGTCCCTTGCCTCTCTTTCATTGTAATGGTATCTTCCTTTCGGAGGCACTACTGCCAAGATTTAAATTCCTTACTAACACCCTCCAAAGGATCCATTCATTGCTTGCAGATGTCACTGGGTTCTTCTCTCTCCCTGTGGTTTACACCAGTGGGTAGGTGATGACAAAATAATTAAGCTCTGACTCAATCAGGTATTTGAACTTCCTGTAAATATCGCACAACAGCTGATCTTCCTCACTGCTGTCTGGTCGGGCTGTGTAAATCCTGACCTGCATGCATGACAATCATGTCTCAGATATATGGAGCAGGCTAAGGCCATTAAAGCTCATGACAAGAAGCCTTTGTCACTAATGAAGAATATAGAGATGCCAGATTCCTTGGGTTTGACTTAGATCTTGAGGTTTTACTCTGTTTTTACTCCAGACTGACTGCAAACATCATCTGCCAAAGACATTTTGGGAAAAGCAAGGTCTCTTTTACCCCTGGAACTGATGCATCCCTGCGATCTGCACTGGTCTGTGAGGATCTACAGAGTTCAGAATCTAGCACACAAGGTAGCATGACAGCATGGTTTACACCAGCTACAGCTGTGGTCTGGCCCTAGCTCAACACAGCATCACTGATGTGAGATGTGTTTAGATCTTTTTGCAGTTTAGTGGGATTCAACCCACCTGCCTTGATTTAAGAATGGGCATAAACACTGGACCAGGGTGATTGAGAATCCCTAGCTTGAACTAGCAGTGACAGAGGGAGCCTCAGCCTAGGAAGGCCTTGTGATATTTTTGGGACTTGTTAATTAAACTTCTATGGTATTCCGTACATGGTAAAGTACGCTGGAAAGCCCCATTGCTGTTACTGGTTCTCAGACGATAATGTATAACATAATATGGTAGAGGTAGTTAACATTTCTGTAAGTGGCCTTTCTGTAAGCATGGGGACCTCACCTTTCTCTGGGTATTGGAGAGGAAGGGAATGGGAGTTCTGAAGCACAAAGTCTTACCTTTATGGTAGTCAAAATGCATTTCCTTTCTGCACGGTTTTGTAGCAGCCTCTCAATAAAGGTGACACTTAGAAATGCCCAGGCTTCCAGGAATAACAACCTCTTGGATGTTAAGATAAGCTGCAGCAGCTCATCATCCAGCAGCTCGTGCACATTGTTTAATTCGAGTGTCAATTTCTTGAAAAATAATGAACATGGTTAGTACTGCAGAACAGAGCTTGTGAGCACAGCCAGAGAGTTCAATAAATAAGTTTCCCAATTGTATGAACTCACATGACAGTCATCAGATCAATTTTGTACCTTGACAGCAGAGAATCAGTTTTGTATTAAGACAACAATAGATGCTACAATAATCTTCACTCTCCTGTTAAGATGGGGGTTCCCATGTGCGTTACATATAGTCCTAGGGCATAGACAGCTTCTATTACCATTAGAAAATGCTGCACCCACAGCTCACACCATGATCTGATTTGACATATTGGAAATTATCCCAGCTATGACAGCAGATTGAAAAACAGTTCCTAGAAAGCTTTACAGATCTCTGTGTTTATTGGAAACTCTACAATGCTGTCAGCAACAGTTGAGTATAAGACCATGTGCTTCCCTCAGGCATACAAAGACCTGATGCTCGTTTATATGGGTCAGGTGTTGTACTCCTTTGGTGACACATCCTTGGTACTTTCACATGGACACCAGTTAATTTATGTGTGCTGTAAGACATTTGTGCACTGCCAAAATGTAACAAAGCCATCACTGTAGGTTGATGCAGGCTACAGCACTGCAAGCAAACAAGGTATACAGACTATTTTCTTCATGTGCAGATTTCCCTGCAAAAGGGTAGGATTCCAAAAAATATGAAAGGATTACAGACTTATCCGTTACCAAACATGAAGGTGTCTAACCAGAATAAGCCTAAGGCTCTTACAAGAATGACATTTTCCTGCCTGAAAGCTTTTTTGCTCACAGCTGATACTACAACGACCTGTACTTCTCATGGTTTAGCTTTTTATGAGGGCAACCTGACATCAGCCTGACAGCAAAGACTAGCATAATGGGAGTTGTAACTGGACAAGGATGACCACCTGAACTAGGCTATAGCTGGAGCACCAGAATGATTCACTTATGAAAATTACCCTTGAAAAAAAAAACAGAGGAGGTCAGGAATTCCTATTGATGACTGCTGTCATGCAGAAAGCTTATATGATTACTTTGCTCAGTTTTGTGATTCTGCAATAAGGTGTCATTATTGCTTCCCTTACCTGCAGAACACACCAATAGGCTGGAAGGAGGTTGGTGAGGGTAGGTCTCATTGTCCAGTCTGGGTTACCGAAATAGGGGCTCCGTAGGCTGATGCTCCTTACTGGGATCTCCACTAGCAGGATCCTGGCTAGGTGATCATGTTTCATCACTCTTTCAAAGAAGAAGTTCACTTTCAGTTTTGGGGCTCTCTTAGCCAGGTTTGCCCACGACCTTCCCAAGACTACTTGGCCGTGTGGGTCATGGATATGACATTTGATATTCAAGGTGCACAGGGAATGCGCGCTGTGCTCTTGCAGGATGTCCAGCAGCTCATCAGAGACGCAGTTATAATTTAAAGTCAGGATGACCAGGCTGTGGAACTTGGACATAGTTTGATGGAACAAGGTGCTGCTGTAGACAGGCAGGTGGAGACTGAAGTAATCCTCAATAGCTATTTCAGATACAAAGCTTTTGTTTGTCACGCAGCTCAGAGAATTTAGAAGGTCACAGCCTTCTTCCAAAGTTACTCTTGCTCCTTTTAAGTTGAGATAATCAAGCTGTTTGCTCATTCTTTTCAGGAAGGTAGTTAAGTTCTTGATAAACTGAGCCCTGACCGTATTTTTCCAGATCGAGGAGTCTAATTCCAGGTACTTGATGCTCAGGGACACAAGGCGACTGTTACACTTACCCAGATGTGAAAGAAGACCTCTCATAGTCACTTGAAATTTCCAGGTAAAGGCACTATCGGAAGGATTTGATAATTTGATCTCGAGGTGCTCCAAATACTTGCCAAATTTCTTGACATACCACAGTGCACTTTGAAGCTCCAGTGTCCGTGCCCTTGACTGTCTGCCATAAAATGTGATGATTCTTCTTCTCCAGAGGGATCCTGAGTACATGGCCCAACTCCATTTCTTACACACCAAGGCAGCCTGAGATCTGTCTCTGTCATCTAACCAGCTGAAGATGTTCCTCAAACAGACATTAGGTAAATGAGCCCAGGAGCTCTGCTCAGGTTCACAATCATCTTCCATTGAGAAGACAGTTTTTCACTTCTCTTCAGAGTGTTGACCCAAACCTAGATGAAGAAAGCTGTGGGTAGATTTCTTGCGCCAACAGAACAGGGTTCCAAGCAAATGGTTCAAAGTTTGCTTCCTCACATTCAAGACAACAATCCTTTCTTTGCTTCTGTACTTAAGATACCACGGTCAAACAAGCTCTTAGGTCTAAACTATAGTTAACCTAAATAAAAACAAAAACAAAACCCACAAACAACAAAACCAAACATAACCAAACAGGGAACAAGCACAGTACAAGCACAGGACACATCTTTTAACTTTCTGGCCTTCAGTCTACCTAAGCAGTGAAATGGTACCAACTGCAGACAGAGCAGCCACAGCCTGCAGAAACCTTTGTTTAGCATCACCTGTAATTGATAATGTTTTATGGCCTTATGCCTAGTGTCAAAAGTATCCAGTGCTTTGGGCTGCTCACATTCGAACAGTGCAGTTGGCGCAAAACTAGTGCAAATGACTTTTTTTATCTTTCTGGGGGTTCTGTTCCATGGCACTTGTCTGAGGCAGTGCCCTGCCTTCCACAGATCAAGGCACAGTCCCTGCTGAAAGTAAGAAGCCACATGAAGCATTCCATCCATCGGTTCAAGCAGGACATTCAGTCACTGGGCTCCAACGCACGGGGCTATCAGGTCAGAAGACAACCGGGTAGCGGTGGCGGACAGGAGTAAACCACCGCAAGGCAGCAGGTTACCTACCAGCTCCCCCCTCGGGGCCGGGCTAAGCACGCACTCAACTTCCCGCACCTTCCGCAGCGTTCAACCTCGCCCCGCACCTCAGCGTCCGAATCCCGCTCTATACCCCGGAGCTCTGAGGAGCCCGGCCCACTTTGTGACGTCACGCCCGCTCCTCCCGCCCCCGGCCGGCGGCACCGCCACTCCCACGGCGCAGGCGTGAGCGGCGTTACGGCCCCTGCGTGTGCGGGGCACAGCCAATGGGCGCGGAGCCGCGGTGGGTGGGGCGCCGTTCAAACGCGGCGGTGGCGGGGCTGTGGCGGTCGTGTCTGTGAGTATTCCCCGAGCAGCGGCGTGCGTTGGTTCTTTAACCGGCCCTGGCGAGAAAAGGGCGGGGCCGCCCTGTGCCGGCTCCCGCGGCGCGGAGCTGTGGGCAGCGAGCGCGGGGAACGGAGCCGCGGGCTGGGGCAGAGAGCGGGACACGGCCGGGAGGGCGCGGGAGCCCCGCGCTGCGCTCTTTGGGCGGGGCGGCCGGACTGCACCTTGCGGCAGTTCTTGTCATGGGTGTGCACAGACCCGAGTAGCTGTGGCCATCAGTGCTGCTCTCCTTCAAGCCTCCGAGTGAAAGTCTGCTCACCTTTGAATGTGTTGCTTCACGAAAATCTAACTGAATATATTTTTCAACAATTCTCCTTTTTAACGCTGCTCTGTCCCTTGCTGTTGGTGTCATTCTTGATTGTTTTAGAAATAAGGCTAACCAAGAACTGGAACAAGATGGCATCTGTGCTCCAAAATGTAAAGGCAACGATGGCCTGGCGAAAACACCAGCTCCTAGCTGACTTCGATGAGAATGAGAGCCCTGTACCTGACAAATTCAAGAGAAGGGCTTCCTTCACTTCTCTCAATTCCATCTGCATGTCTTTACGGAAGCGAGTACCATTAAAGCAGGTACAGCTGAATGTTCCTAAGAGCTCTACTTGGAAAAGCCTGGGAGCAAGACAGAAGTGCCAATCTCTTCAGAGTATTAAAAGAACGACAAAAAATGCTTTTGGAACAGTGTCCCAGGTACTCTGCCTTTGCAGTGGGGTGTAGATAACAGTTTAGGTTTTGCTTCAACTTCAGTACTAAGATTTCTAGACTTTATACAACATGCTGTATTCCAGAGACTCTGTCCCACACACTTGCACACTGTAGCTACTCATAGCTAGTAACTAGTAGAATCTTTAATACCCTTGCTAAAGTACAGACAGGCAAATTATGCATCTGGCAGAACAAAGAGGAAGGAAAAAAGAAAACGTATGAGATGCATTTCATCAAAACATTTATTACTAATTAATGCTTTTCCCCTCCTGTATGGCATCATGTATGGCAGAGCAGCCTTCACAAGGAGGAAGGTGGGTAGAGATCGCCATTGCTTGCAAAAAATTTTTTCTGAAAAATGTGTAGCACTTTGGATTTACTTATTTTTTTTCTTTACTCCTTTTCCTGTACCCATACAATTTATTAGCATGTTCTTCATTCTAGTCAATCTAAATTTGGACTGATAAAATCTGCTAGATGGTAGAAGGGTAGTAAACTTGAGCTTGCACTTTCCTTTGGTGGAGACCTCTGTTTTTTTTAGGTGCATCAAGTATATGCTAGGGCACCTGCCTCTTTCCTGCATAAGAGCAACAGGAGCTCTGTTCCAGTGCCACCTGAAGTCCTTGACAAGTTTCAAGGACTGTGGGAGCAAATAACACTTCCAATGCAAATGGTACAGAGGGTTGAGACCATTTATGCTAGACTAAACCTGATTTGAGAATAAAAGCTATGGAGTCAGCTCAAATATTCCTTGCTATTCAAGTTCTAAACTCCAGGCTAACTGAGACTGTTTAGCATAACATGTCTAATGCTGCTTTCAGAAAATACAGAAGTCTTGCCAAAGTCCAGTAGACTCAATGGTGACCTTTCCAGTTGAATCCATCAGCAGAAGTTGTTCTACCAAGAAAAGAAGCACTACACCTCGAAGCCCTTGCCATAAGAAGAGTGTTATTCCAGCAGCCAATTCCAAAGGCAGCACAAGATCCAACAAAAGAGTCTCGCTTGCACCAGCATGGATGTCAGAACATAGAGAACAGAGGGGTTTCTCATCCTGGTTTGGTAAAGATGCTGTCTCTCTCCGGAGATCAAGAAGAGCAGCAGCACTGAAGAGTCCTTATTCATCACCTGCATCTGCCAGCAGAAAGATGTGAGCCACATTCTTTTGTAAACCTTTTATTTTTCCCCCCTTTTTTTTTTTTAATTCCTGTGATTAGAGCATTGTGTAGGGCAGGAGATGAAGGTTGCTGTCCTGTCTCCTGAAAGGCTGTGTTGTTTCAATAATTAGGAAAGTAGTTACAGATCCTGTATAGACAGGGCCTGAGCACTGCATAAAGCTGAAATATGAAACTTAACTTTGTGCTGTGACAAGAATTTTTTCAAATCCCTTTCCCACTGAATAAGCTTACACCATGTTATTCAGCACCAGTCCCCATCAGGCACTAGAGACAGACCCATGTTCTTTGTTAATTACTTCCTGGTAAAGGAAAATGCTCTCAATGCAACTCACTCCTACTTAGCTCTAACTTTTCCAAAGTTGCTATTTGTATTGCAAAGATACATGAAATAGCTGCACTTAGGCTGAGCTCTTTATAGAGTGTAGAGAGATTCTTGCCTCAAAGTTGTAACCCAATTTAGATAAAAGGGTGTGAGCTAGGGAAAAACTTCATAATGTGCAACACAGGTTTTTGTTTTGGTCAAAGTCGCATAAGATATGTCAGAGCTAGAAGCTGAGTCCACGCCTTGTGAATCTGAACCCAGTATTTGAATTGGAAGATAGTTTTCTTGGGGATGAATGCAGATGTGAAGCGGTTGGTCAGTGGAATCAAAAGCAAGGTTTCTACAGCCCTAAACTTTTCTGGATTAAGTCTGGAGGCAATGAGAGTTGTTACTTTAGGAATGGAGGCTTGGGTAATGTCAGCCTGTCCTGTCCCATCTTTAGTGACAACCATTCTGTTTGCAGAGAGTTTGACTGCAAGTTGGAGCTGATCTCCTCAGGGATTTGCCAGTTGCAGCATATCTCCCAGGCATTTGATGATGCCATTGTGCAAGAGGAGAGGTAAATACTGGCCCTCAACTACAATAGTTTACCTCCCTCTCAGACATCATCAATGTAGGCTGTGTGGTCCTTGTAACACACGATGAGAAACAGTTGCAGAACTTTCTCAGCTGTAATGTAGCAGAGCCCTTCTTTCTTCAAGACACCTGTGCAGATTAAATCTGCAGCTGGACTTGCAGCTTCTAAAACTCGTCAAAAGCTCCTCTTGTCTTCAGGTTTCTTGCTGTGGAAGTCAGATTTTCCCCAGCAAGAGCTTACCTTTGACTCTGTATGAGAAGAGTACCTCCCTGCCTTTGTCTAAAAGAGGTGCCAGCCCAGGCTGAGGAGGGGGAGAGGGAATTCCATTGCACTGACACTGTCATTGGTGCTTGCATATTTGTCAGAAAATCCTTTTACTGTGTAGCATTATATTAACAGATAGTCTATGTGCCCACAACTCAAAAATTTAGAGGCTGCAGAAGCTTCTTTAAACAACACCTTGGTGGTACACACAACTACCATGAGGTAGTAGCCTGCTCTGTTTGTAATGGTTATGTCATTCTGAATTAGACATATTAACACAGTAAAAACCAAAGGTCAGAAGCCTTGTCACAGGGCAATTCCCAAAACTACTTCCTCTCTCTAGAATGCTTGATGTCAAGCATTCAGTAGTTAAATGTCAAGCACCTAAAATCCCCTAGAGAGGGCTAGCATTAATTACTTTTATTTACAAAGAGGCAAGGGCTTAAAATCCTTCATAATTCAAAAGGTAGATTTTTACCAATGGGACTATTTCAAATCTTGTATTAAGTTAATGATCATACCCATTGAAAGTTCACTAAATCTCACTCCTAATATCTCCCATCTGTTAGTGATATGACAGTTTCTCTCATTCGTAACTGAAGATAATATCAACCAGGTAAAGTAGTTCATGTACCTTGTCTACACCTGCATGCATCTGTGGGGAGAAAACCTGCTTTTTGGAGAGAGAAACCCTTATTAACTCATGCTTCTTTAAAGTATTATGCAGAACCATGGGGTTCTTCCCTTAGATTCACTGTGGCTGTCTCTGCCACAGCAGATCATTGCGCAGTTGTAAAATTTCACCTCTACACAGTGGATTAGTGAAATCTTGTGTGTTTGCATGGAAGTTGGGCTTCTGTTCAAACAGCAGCTTTTCTCACCCAGATCAGAAAACTACTGGTACTAATGTCTTTGTCACTCAACCTCAGTTCTCACTGATTACTAACAAAGATCACAAAGCATGACAGAACAAACTATTACCCTCAGCTGTCTAACTTCACAGCTTTTCTTTTCCAACCCTAGCATTGTCTTAGTAGTTAAGACTAGCTATCACAGTAAGAGCAATACCGGCAGTGCTAGCATTTTTAAACACAGCAATTGTACCTAAATGGACGGGAAGTAAGTTTCTAAACATCACTTTAAGTGTCAATTCACTGAACCAGGTAAATGCCTATTATCTTCACTGAGATCTCTATTGTGACATGAATATCTTCACCCATTACATTGGAAGTATTCCTTTTGTTAAAGTTAAATCCTGAACACTATGTCCTGTTTTAGCAACAAAGATAGGGGTACCATATTGATCCTTGTACAATGTCCATGGTTGTAACTTTTCAGGAAAAGTGACATCAGTTTCAAACGCTTGACTGAAGCTTTAAGCAGTGATGTGTAGTGCTTCCACTAGGCAGTTTGGTCCAGTTCTATTGCATGTGAACATGCATGCAGTGTGCTCTGTCCCTGCTGGTTTGTAGGTTGTCTACTGGAATAATTTTTTTGGACTTTTGCCTTTCTGTTCTGGTATCAGTTGCTGTGGGTTTTGTTGTTATGGGTCCCTTTTCATCTTTTCCATGAGGAAACAAACTTTTGGTTTTGAAATGTTTATAGTGGCTAGCTCCATGTATTGTTCTAATATTTTTCATTTTAATGAATTGGATATCATAAGAAATGCTCCTGTTATTAAAGTATTGCAGTACTTCATTTGTATACTGCCATTTATGCTCACTGTAGGTGCTAGTGTTTAGAACTTTTATACAGTGAATGCATATAGGTCCCAGACTTCTTCCTCACTTCCATCTAACAGTTTTCCAGCAATTTGTGTAACAACCAGTTAATTAACTTTACTGACTTCAGGCTGCTAATGGTAGTTATTCTTCTGCAGGCAACATGCAGTAACAACCTACTATTGTCTAATGGCATAAAGTTTGTGCATCGACCTCAAAGACTTTCTCAAGCTATCAGAAGGCAAACAAAGAAACACCATGCTGCACTTGGTACCTAGAGATGTAACTACTGTTAGGTTATGAGCACATTCAAAGGAGAGCTCCGTATAGGACTTGAAAGGGTGCATTCTATGCATTGAACAAGCCATTACATTTTATGATCTTTCCTTACAAGGCAGGTCAGGACTTCCATTGCTTTCTCTTTTCAAGTGAACAGGAGAATCAGAGTTATACAACTGTGTATTTCTCCTGCTGAGATGAGGTACTATCTGGAATGTGACTTTCATAAGGCAGTAAGTACTTTGAAACCTATGCTGAACTGCCCAATAGGAATGGCCAGAGCAAGGGCCACAGACTAATGAAGGGTGATCATAGATAATAGTAGTAGACTGGTATCCAACTGCCATGAGTTACAATTTAGAGTAATTTGCATACTGAAAGTATTGCTCCATTATTTTGAAAGCCTAACTTTTTTTTTTTTTCCTGTATATGAACAAACCAAAACCAAAATGAAACAACAGTGGCTTGAGTTGTGACCACAACTCCCATTCCAAGCCAACAGGCTTCTGTGGAGTCATTCACTCACTCCTCAAGAGAGGAGCCACATTAGGACTCTTCATTCATGGCTTTAAGGAGTGTTATTAGATAACCCTAACTAATCCCATTTTATGTAGTTGGCTTCCAGACAAAGCAGAGCAACTTTGTTTTTTCTTGCTGCTGTTTTAGATAGAATCATAGAATCATAGGGTTGGAAAGGACCTTAAGATCATCAGGTTCCAACCCCCCTGCCATGGGCAGGGACACCTCGCACTAAACCATATCACCCAAGGCCTCGTCCAACCTGGCATTGAACACTGCCAGGGACGGAGCATTCACAACCTCCCTGGGCAACCCATTCCAGTGCCTCACCACCCTAACAGGAAAGAATTTCCTCCTTATATCCAATCTAAACTTCACCTGTTTAAGTTTTAACCCATTACCCCTTGTCCTATCACTACAGTCCCTAATGAAGAGTCCATCCCCAGCATCCCTATAGGCCCCCTTCAGATACTGGAAGGCTGCTATGAGATAGCATCGGACAGTTAATAATTGCTTTTGTACTATACCATCTGTCTTAGTTATATTCAGAAATCAATTACCATAATTAATGTAACCTCTTACAACAGCTGTTATTGGCTAATATCAGAGTGCATGTATTTTATGTGATGAAGTTTACTAAGCATTTGATACCTGTGTTTTGCTTCTAATAGTTTTTTTGTTTGTATGTTTTTTTAAAGTAACATTAATTTGACAAGCCTTTTTTGGTAGGTGATTCAATTTAATAAAGTTTAGTCTTTCAAATGAAAGCAAAGATTTCTCAAGCTTCTAAAATTCATTCCCAGGGCTATTTCCCATGGTAGCAGCTTTAGTTTCTCAGATTACATTCACTCTTTAGATGAACCTTAAAACAAAAGATTGATTTTGGAAACTACTCTATTGGATACTATTTGAGATACACAGTTTTAACTGGAACTACTAGAGGTATATTAAGTGTAAACATTGGAAGCAGTCCTTTTCAATTCTGATTTATGAGTAAGTATTGATTTTAAACTTGCTCCTGATTTTTCTTTATTGTCAAACCAGTGTGTTTCAAAATATTGAAAGAATATTTCAGTTACAGAAACACAAAACCAACTCCGACTTCCAGGTTTTCAGGTGACTGAAAGCTTTAGTTTCTAGTATTTTTTGAGGTTTTCATGCATGTGTTTTGTGCTGTGTTTTTTTTTTTAATCCCTTTCTATATGGAATAGTAGCATGAAATTGTTCTTTGCATATACTGAAAGTACTATATAGCCTTCACAAAGATGGTGTCTCATTACTGAAATATTTTCTCATATGACTTTTCATAAAGCTCCAACCCTTGTTCCTCTTGAAATGTCAAGCTCCAATCTATTATTTCAGATATCCAGATGTATTAAATGGCCTCTATAATGTTTCCACTGGCTACTAGGACACGTAAAATGATGATCCAGTACTTCCCACATCACTGGTAAGAAAAATCAGTGACACTGCTTAAAGGCAAGGAAGGTTTTATTTAAGTGACTAATCTGTTATAAGATCTTAAAAACCAGCTCACATCAAAATCTTTACCAGTTGTAGAAATCTTACTCCTTATTCCATGTTAAGAAATTTATTACTGTACATTTTTGAATCTTTACAAGGCAGCCATAAGAAATATAAACACTTGTCACCAGATAGAACCTTTTCACTGACAAAAAATATTTAAAAGTATGCACTTAATAAAACTATAGACTGAAAGAACACGTACAATTTCAAGTTTCCTCTATGAATTCAGTTGTAAATGGACTGCCCCTTTCTTCTGCCACAAATAAAAACCAAGTTGTGCAGGAAGCTTGGCTTTCTGTGAGAGGACTGCCATTATGGGCCCTACGCCAGTCCTTCCAGAATTACCTTTTCTGTAAAGTTTGGAATCTGTAAGATACATTTCAACATTGTAGTCTCTAGTGTACCATCTCCTAGCACACTCCAGTAAACCTGCCTCTCTCTCTCTCTCTCTCTCTCTCTCTCTCTCTCTTCCCCACTGCAAATTCTGTGCATCCTTACAAATGAGAAATGAACTGTCAAATTTGTTTCATGTTTCCCCTGTCTCCCACAGTTACACCTGGTTTTAAAGGTAGCTTATTGAGATAAATACAGATAGAGAGTAGACTGTAATCCCTTACCTTGGGCTTGAACTAAAATGAGGGAAAGAGGAAATACCAACACCTGACTTCAATTCCAGAGTCCATGGCACAGGATTCTAGCTGCTCCAGGCCATTTCTTATTTCTGAAAAAAAGAGCTCTTTTCATCCAGAAAAATATGTTATTACCTCCATATTTATGGGGGACTGAATTCAGGATCATCTGTAAGAACCTATATTTACACTTCAGTGATTAAACATCATGGAAGTCAAATTACCTTGTTAAACCCACAATTTCTGCTGAAGCTATGGACACGGACCATGAGGAATCGTTCTTACAGAAGCTGAGGAGGTAAGTTGAAAAGCTATGTGTTTATGGTAATTCTATCCTGCACCAGCTCCAGATGAGGATGGAAAGAGCCACTTTCTCCCCTGCATGCCTGAAATGAACAATTCCATGCAAAAATCTTTGAGTTCAGATTCCATATTTTAAGCTCTAATCACAAAAATTAAGCAGTGTACAATCTCCTCTCCATTATTAGGCTTATTAAAAAGGTGCCTTTACTCCAGGCATCTAGTACTTTTTTAATGTACTCACCTTTTTGTGGCTAAGATGCAAGAGGGGGAATAAAAAACCTGGGGAAGATCCTATTTGTTCAGTAACAACTGTTGCACTTACAAATAAAAAAAACTGGAAATACCTATTGATTTCATATATTGTTAAAAATGCTTATATTTTAGCAGATTTAAGACAAGAAACAATATAAGAAGAAGGAAATAATTTCCTTTTTTTCCTTCTAAATTTATTCTGTCAAGTACACGATGACACTACAGTTCTAAGTATTTGAAATTTACTCAAATGCACACATTAGCAGTGCCCTGGCCTAAAGACTTCAGTGTATAAATGGGACAACTGTGCACTAATAAGGGCAAACAAAAGCCATTTTGCAGAATGGTGGAACTTCCAGGTAAAGTGTAGTCTGCTTATTTCAATAGTATCATAGAATGGTTTAGGTTGAAAAAGACCTTAAATATTATGTGGTTCCAACACCCCTGCCACAGGCAGGGACACTATCCACTAGACAATCTAATGGATGAATTAATCTAGTAGGCTAGGGCGTGCCATTTTTTTCATCTAGTTTACTGATAGTTCCACTTCTACATAATCAGTGAAAGTTTTAACTGCTTAGAAGTGAATTCCCTAGGTACTAGAGGAGCAGGTGAAGTAACCCGTAAGAATTAAGACTATTCATGAAAACAAATCAGCTCTCGTGAACCCCAATGAATAAGAAGACTTATCAATGCTATATCGTTTTTACACCTAACAAAATTTTATGCTGAATAGATATAAGCCATGCCACAAAACTGAATAGGAGTACTTTGGTCAAGCAAGAACCTGTTCCAAGAGCACTAGCATATGCAAACACTTAAAAAGAGAAGTTATTCAAAATAAGCAGTTTTAGATCAACATTGCTATTCAGGTCTGGAATATTCTGCACTCTTTATACAATGACATCTTTTTTTCAAACTTACCTAACTAGACAACATTGAATAAACAGCCATTTTTTATTGTTCTGGTTTTGAAGTATACTGGTTACAAATTTGCTGTGAAAGCAGAACCAAAACTCCACTTCAGATGTCTTCACGCACACACACACGCGCGCATGCACACACACGTGCGCATGCACACACACACACACACACACACACACAACACCACAGTTGTGAAGGTGTGTTTTCACAATATCTCAGATAAATCTACCACTGTTATTAAACACAGCCATTTTTTTACAGTAATTTAAAACTGGATCCATATCAACAGGACAAAGTAAACGCATCTAATTGTGGCCTACTTTATACAGACTTGTACTGCTGCCTTTGCATCCACTGGAATAACAGTTGTGTTTTACAGTTTCACTTATGCTTTTTCTATTCAACAGGCTGAAAAAAATGTGCTTTTCCGTAGCAGACTGGAGGCACTAAAGGTGCTGAAACTATTGATGTGTCTTGCCTGGGCACCCTCCACTCCTGCCTGACTTCTCTGTCCTTTTCCCTTCTGTGTGCATGTTAACAATTCCATAGCCTATAGAGTTTAAGTACGGACTGCACAGAGACTGCAGCAATGAGGACTTGCAATCAGAGAGTAAGATGACTAGCACCAAGCTTATCCTCAGGAAATGGCCTGCTTACGAGTACTGATTATCCTCCCATGAAAGCAGAAGCAAAACAAATCCAATTGCAAACTAAATGCCCATAAACTGCCTCATGCAGTTTCATGTGTACGGAGTGTACAAATTTAAAATTCTGACCAGTGATTCGTAGAATGTTTTAAGAGAAAACATAACTGAAAAAATACGTATAAAACTAGTTCTAGGTTTTCGTCAGTGATTCACGAGGGAAACCTCAGCGATCACCCCAGGCATAGCTGGGAGGATAAAATAACCAAAAAAGGTGGTGGTTCAGGATGCAGAAGGTCCAGCTACTGCCACAATGTCTGCTGAGCTGCCAGCCCAGTTGCAAGATGTTTACAGCCACATCCATCTTGTTCACACTCAGCTCCACCAGAAGCAGTTTTACCATTTCAGTGTCAACTGGCTAGTGCTTTCAGAACAACTCCATCTGGGATCTGATGTTTCACAAGATCAGCTCCTAATTAACATGAAGCCTTGACCTCCGAGCTAAAGCCTGTATCCCTGTTTGCCAAAGTGTTTACCTGAAGGCATGACTTCAGGAGATAAACCATTCTATCCCTGAGCAGCAAGTAGTGTTGGAATTATGCAAAGGCCACATAAGCTCTTACATACTGTAGGAAATGAGGTTAAGGAAAATATTTGCAGCTTGGTTTTAATACCATGTGTATAACCTTTGAAACTGTTACTGCCGTTCTAAAACATGCACACACATATATATGCGCTAGCATTGCTCATAAGATTCTTAAGGGAAGTCAGCACAGTGACTACTGTAAAGGTGACCCAGCTATAAATAGAAATACTCAAAATCAGAGTTTTCATGGCATGCTGCCTGGCAAAATGACATCGTGTCTGCAAGAGTAAAAGACAAACATTAACAACCTAGGAGATTTCTCCAGCCATGTGCTCAGATACTAGTTCTTTTAATACAGTCACAGAATTACACACACCTTTCTTGAAAGGAAGGAGGCCTTCCTACTACAGCAACTTAAAATGAAAAATAGATTTTGACGTCTCTTGGATGATAGAGGTAGATGGCTAAAGCAACATTAACTTTGATCTTTGCAGCAGGAACAGTGATTACTGTCAAGAGTCACGCTACACAACACTTAAAAAGAACTTTGTGGTCAATGTTTCTTTCAGGTCTCCTCACTACATTTAAAATTGTCTCTTGGAAGCCTTGGATTCCCATGTTTTTTAAAAATTAACATGCTAACAGCGAACTGACTGGCAGGAGATGGAGTCTACCAGTGCAATCTCCTTCTAGCTGCATCACACGAGAAGAAACAAACTATGTGATTAGAATCACCGCACACAGTGGGCCAAGACAGAACACACAATAATTCCAAGTTTGTGGGTTAAAGAACTGTGATACTACTGGGAAAGCATTTGTAAACCTGAACACTATTTCAAATGCAGTTTCTGGATATCTTTCATTTAGGTTTTGTAGTTGGCTGACTTGGCAACAGCATAAAACCCCAGCACCCTGTAACATAATTAGCTACCTGCTCCCAAATAGCATGAGCTACCGAACTTCTGGTATCTTTCTTAAATCTTCAGCAAAGATTACCCCTTCACTTAAAGGAAGCATTATAAAAAGCAAATTACTGATGTGCCTTTCAGGAAATTTGAAATAGGTAACTGACAATCTTGTCAAATTATGTCTAAAAAAAATAAATCAAAGATCTCCATTTATAAGCTATTTTGATGCCTATTAAGGCAAAAGCCACATTACTATGCCCTTCAAAAAGCACACTGAAACTTCTGGGTGAATAGAGAGCACAAACTTAGGTTTACTTCTGCACTGTCTTAATAGTTTTCCATCACATTTCTTGTTTGCTTTACATGTAAACTTTCAAAATCATTACTTAAAAGACTTTATGAGACATTGTTTCTGGTTTAGCTATGGACTAGGAAAACGTGACAGTAAGGTGGGGAGGACACGAGAGGGAGGCACAACACCCTCCGCCCCAACTCCCTGATAAATCAAGCAAACCTGAAAAAAAGAAATCTCCCACTGACTTCAAGCTTTCTCAGTGCCAACAGTCTGGTTTTAACTTTCAAAGAAAAGCTGGTTTATGTGCACTTGTATCTTCATTGCAGGTTTTAAAACATGTTTCAGTCATGAGTGCAGTGGAAGGATCTGCATGAAGAATCTGCAAACTGCTACTATGTTAAACTAACAACACTTTAGAAATCTTACCATTTAGGGAAAAATTCACACATTTTACTTCTAGTAAGTTCATTGAGAGATGTGAGACAAATTTAAATCAGTAGGAAAACATCTATTTGGCATCTGTAATTTGGCATGTCCGTTCTTTGAAGGTCAAATGCCGTAAATCGGAATGCTACAGATTGTTACAACAGCTGCTATAAAGAGTGAGAAGGTAAACAACTTCCCATAGGAATTCCATCACTTTTTCTCTCTTCCAGTGTAAAGATTCTACTTCAGAATAATGAAAAAAGTAATTGCTATGAAGTTTGCAGATCCCTTAGTAAAACATCTCCCTTTAGCTTACCATCTTAGGATCTGTCTCTTGGACTGAGATGGTCAGAACCATCTCCGTACTCAGAGTAGTCCACACATTTTGCACAGTCACAAAGTTCCACAAAACAATGTGATCCTTGCACACTTGCGCATTACTCCGTATACAGCAAGACTAACCACTTCAAACTGTGGTGGACACATTTATTTCTAACATGAAGATTTTATGATTTGGTTCATAAGTGCAGTCCTCCCATTTATGTGATGTCCAGCACCTCACATGAACATGAGTGCCATATTGGGGTCTGTTGACCCACACTGTAAGTAGAAAGGAAATCTTGGGTTTAAGGCACCCAAAAAAGCATCTTGCTGTACAAATCCTGACCACCCATTATTGTAGTTCCCATTACTGTTTCCCTTGAAAGTGTATCATCACGTTACCAAAAGTGAAGTGGAAACATCAACATCTATTTGATGTTGAAAGCGTAAACCTTCTCTATAACCTATGGACCTACTGTTTATACTATTTTGGGTGCTGCCAGTTAGCTGATACCATAGTCCTTCTGAGGAAAATTAGCCTGTTACAGCTTTTTCTCTTATTGCACGTTTTATTATATCTGTTGTAAAAAAACCCTACAGATACTTCCTGTTCCTTTGATGTTATAAGCACTTGAGATTGTTTTATATTGGTTTAAAATTTCCCAATAAACATGTCAAGAGGAACAGACTGGAAGTTCCCCAGTTAGTGTAAGAAGGCAGATTCCAGAGCAGGGAAGACTCCGAGGTACAGGTTTCCCTTTACATCTTTAGTTTGAAGCTGCCTAAATAAATCTTTGAGGCATGTCTACAGGTTTAATGGGGTGCACCCAAGCTTCCTAGGGGACAGATTCAAATTTATGAACTCCACCTCGAACCCAAGCAATGGAGGGCAAATGCCTGTCATGATCTTTATCTGATTCGGGCTGGCTCTGAGCACGCTCTGGCTTGGGGGTGGAAGAAGGTGGGTCAGGTTGCTGTACAGACATAGTCCTGCGGAGATGGTTTCTCTTGCGCAAAAACTCGGGTTGAGAATGGAGGCCAAAGCTGCCTTTTCTCAAGATCATCCGAGAGTTGTTCTTTTTGGGTCGTGAATGGACACTGAACTCCAGCGAGGCCAAGTGGGCTGCATAACCTTCACTGAGGAACTGAAATAGGAGAGAAAGAAAGGAAGTGACAAATTATTGCTGCCTCAAACTATGAGCTCTATGAGGAATTAAGTTCCATCTCTGGCATCCCAGTTAGATGCCTCCAAAGCACTAATACTCCTCTCCCCTTGCTTCTTTTTTTTTTTTTCAGTGACCTGTTCTATTTTGTCATTCAGTAATATGTTATACATGCACTTGCAGATACAACCTATGAGCACTCAATTCTCTTTACTGTCCACCCTACCAGAAAATGCCTCATCTGAAACCAAAACTGCCCTTCTTTCTCTGAAACACTGTCTCTGCTCTTTATTGAGTGGGTGTGTGTTTGGACATGCATTCACACGCATACATTTCCTTGTTCCCCTTGAACTTTCTGATTGAGTAGCAAGAGTTACTTACTTGACACTGTGCCTGGTATTTCTTTGTTGATCGTCCAACTATGTAGATCTGGGATGGTGACAGAGCCAAGACATTGTACACAGAAATGTCCTTCATGGAACCATATGCAGCACAGATTTTGATGTGGCACTGAAACAAATATTACTTCCAAAGTGAACACTGTACTGAACACGATGCACTGCAAAGATAGCACTTGTTTTGCAATAAAGTAGCAGGTGAGTCCATTGTTAACAACTTCATTTTGTAAACCACAGAAAGCTAAATCTGTCTCTGCCTTCATGCTATCAAGAGCTATAGATATGCATATAGGAAAGAACAGGTGGTTCATTCCTCATGCCAGGAGGCCCCTTTGAATGTTTTAGCAGCATTCCTTGGTTTTTAAAAAGTGAGAAATGAGGAATGGCAAAAAGACTTTCTTATGACCAGTGAGACTGACTGCTCAAAAGGGAGATCTCTAACTTTACTGAATATCTGGGAAAAAAAAACCACCAGATTTTTAAGGTTATGAACAGGTTCCTAGTACCTCTTGCATGAGATTCCGGAGGAAAATGGTCTTTTGTCGCAGCGGGTCATGAACAAGTCCATCTGAGAAGAAGATCATCCCTTGTGGGAAATTGTGTTGTGACAACCATGAAACCACACGCTGTTTTTGCATATCAGGACGCCCAGTAATATAGATAATCAGATATCCCAGGTCCTGCCAATGCCTGTCAGAAACAGCAGGTAAATGATGTAGGTGCAGAAACAATACCCATAAATCAGGTCAGCATTTCTTTGATTAGCACAGACCCAGTTAGAAGTCAGACCTTACCCTTCAACAAGTGGAAAGCAGCATGTCTAAGTCTCTGCTCCTATCAACAATTTAATTAACAATGTCTACATCTTGAAGAAGAGGGAAGGGAGCAAGAAAGGTTTTTATTCAATACATACATGTATAAAATATGAGAGCTATTTTAAAATTCATGTAGAATAGGCCTTGCTTCACATCAAGGCTTGCTGCCTTTGAAACCTCTAACAAGATTCCTGCCATTTCAGCTGTAAAGAGTGAAAACCCTTGAAAACTGGCATGCCCCCATTCTCGTGCAAGTTCCAAAATGAGACCTGTATTTCCCCATCCATTGCAACACTAACAATCTTGCAGAAATGAATTAAAAGGCCTTTTTATTTTTCTTCCCCCAAATGATCTTGCATTCATGGCATCTGCTATTTTTGAAGCAGAAGTATGTCCTTATTTGAAGACAGTAAAACACAAAGCACACTCTCATTTAATCACAGTAACTCACACAATCATTATTAATTCACTGCACACACATTAAGGCCATATTCCCAAAAGACAACTTTTAATTTTATGCAACTTAAACTACAAATTTCCAAGTAAATCATAGCATTCTAAAATTCCTCTGAAAATCAGGCCTTTAAATCCTATTCTGCCCTCTTCTTTTCTATTGTGGTCAAAGAGGAAAGTCAGAGATTTAACTCATGAAGTGTTCAAACCTCACTTACCTGACGACATCAACAGCCCCAGCTCGGACTTTGGGGTCACTTCCCATTATTGAAACACTTGCTGCAAATGAACCATCGATGCTGAACACAACACATTCCATTCCTCGGGGAAGCACAGTCAAGTGACTTGCAGCACTGCTCTGGTCCCCTCTGGAGAGTCAAAGCAATAAATACAATTAGAAAGCAAAATGTCAGGATGTATTTTCTGCATGTTTCAGACCTGAAATTATATCTGTCTGGATCTACAGCTTAAAAAAATCACTCTCAAATAGGGCTTCTGATTTCAGTCCTCTGTGGGGTAATTAAAACCTACACTTTTAGGAATAGCTTTCCAACGAGAAATTTGGAAGCTGACCTTAGTAAGAAATCAGATGTATATAAATATCCTTTGTACTTTCCTAAAAGAACTAGGAAAACTACCCCCAAAACCCCTGAAGTACTCAAATCGCTACCCAAACATGCTATCTATGTATGTACATATATTTCCATACATGTACACATATAAGACATGAATGCTGTATATACGCACACATACACCCCCATAGCACACAGAAACTGGCTACATTTTTTTGCAGCAGTCTGAAGTTACTGGAGAATTATTAGAAATTAAAGGGAAGAACTGATATGCACCTTTTGTGGGCACGTATTTACACAAAGCACCTTTTCTCCATTAGATAAACAGTTGGTAGCACTAGCATTACCCATCCCTCTGTCCTTGCAAATTACAATGGGAATGTCAATCCAGAGAAATGCAATCAGAGATAGCTTTTCTCACGAAAACACATGTGTAATGCAACCTTCTCCTCATGATGTATTTTCCTCAAGAGGTCTGGACATTAAGACATTAATGAAGCACAAAGCATTCAAAAGCTCTTACCACCCCATGACCTCATGTTTCCTAAAAAACATGACCTCAAGACAGCATCTTCTTTCCTTTAGAAATATGATTATTGTATGATCTAGAAATTTATACCTGGTGATGAATATTCTTACAGTATATGTGCACAGCTTAGTGAGAAAAGAGCAATTTCTGCTTAAAACTTACTCCTGCGGTCTAAAAGCCCATGGGAGCTCGGCTTCTGAATACACCTTAATTCATTTTTAAGTAAGTCTTTCTTCTTGAACTGATTGTCTGTTCTATTACACTGAGGTAAAACATCTATTTCTCCTCAATTAACACTACATAAGATTTTCAATTGACTTTGGATTTGGTTAACTGGCTGGTAACAACACATTCTGTTTCGGCTAAATTCATCCTACTGATTTAGCCTCCAAAGTTCAAAGGAAACTGTAGAGCTACTCCCTAAGTGGCTAGGAAATTTTATTCTAAGTGCAATATTAAACTGAAACTCTGGATTAAATTAAATTGGACTTTCATTAAACATGAGGGTTTTTTAAAAGCACACATACCCTAGTCCTGCACCTAGGGTAACAAATTTTATTTCACATGTCTTCATTCTTCATGCTTTACTTGGCCTAGAGACTTTAAGAAATGCTGGATAGAGGAGAGCTGACATTGGAAGTCAATGAACTGTTTTCAGGTGCTGTTTTGATTAATTTTTTTTTCTTTTTCCCAGTTTAAATTAACTCTTTTGATAGGCCTAACATCAACAGATAAACAGGTGATGGCTGAGAACAAGGCAGTATATCCTCTACTGTTTATTTCAGTAGAAAAAGCTTCTTTTCAGCCTGAAGAACACATAGCAATACCCTTTAGCAGTCTTTTCCCCAGTGAACAGGCTGCAAAATATGCCAAGTCATACATTCTTGCCATAAGAAGCCTGATTACAGTTATCCAGTCCCATATTTTGCTAGACCAAGCGCTCCTAACTTGAATTGCACTGTGGATTTGTGTTGCAATAGGAATAAACCCATTGGCCTGGATGCCTCCAAGCTGGCCAGTAAACAGAGGACCACTACTTCAAATCTAAGCTGACAACACAGTGACAGTCCAAGAAAAGATAACTGACCAAAATCTCTCTCCACATCCCCTTCAATCTTACACAACTCACTGTCTCCCTGATTACAATAACCCATCACAGCTGTAGTTCCAGCTTGGAGCCATTACCTGACCACCATTTTGATGGGATACACACCAACTCTTAGTCTCTTCTGTTTGGGTATGTTGTAGGATATCCGGCCACTGCTGTTGGATATCTCTGTGTCAAAGTACACCCACCTACCCGAAGATGGCTCCGTCATTATGAAGATATCAACCTGCAAAGCCAACAAACCGGTCATCTAGTGTGATAGAAGGGAACACATGCCCTCTATTTACAAGACCTGTCAAGCCTAGATTATGTTACTATCTCCAACTATGGCTTACACTAAAAGCTTACAAGGAAGTTTGAAGGAACTTCAAAACTCAGTAAGATCTTCCAGGAGGTTCTCTCAATTAGAAATGCTTCCTAACACAGAAGAGGTTATTGCCTTCATCATTTAAAGCACTCAGCTTAGCACTGCAGGTATCAAACAAAGATACAGAACTCAGAAATTTGGCAGGAACTCTAAATTAGAAAAAAGATCATTTCATCTTGCATGTGTGTGTTACAGTTTTGCATGCTAAATCTACAAAATGGAAAATTTCATTTTATTATTAGCAAAATTTAATCTTTCTCAAGTCACAACCTTGCCTACAAATGCAAAACCTAACCTCTTCAAATTATTGGGGTTTTTTTTCCAAAAGGTCTCATCAATATGGTTTTCTTAACTGAAATATTTAATCAAAATTAACATAAATTGTATTAAATACTTTGTCAGACTTGGACTGGCACTTTTTACCAATACGTACATCAGTAAATATGAGGGAGGTATTTGTCAAGCTCTCCTTCTGTACTCAGCTTTTACAGAACTTAGGCCCACAAGTTTCATGTGGACTTCAGTGCTCAACATGCTGCCAAATACTCTACAAAATTCACCAGCAGCTTACAAGATCATGCTGGGGATATCCTTGACAAAACTCTGCATATATGCTCTTCTTAGACATTATGATGTTATGTGACATTGGGATATAACTATGAACAACACTAGATTTATTCTGAACTTATGAAATTCAGAACTGAATTCTTCTAAGGCATAAGATTCAGTGCAGGGAAAAAATGACAGGTACTGTTGAATCAGAGCCTGTTATTAATAATTAATAATCCTGTTATTAGGATTAAACAACAGGTCTACTAATTCCTTCTGCTTCCTGACTGAATTCACAGTTTGCATACAGATGAGTACCAACTGCCACTTTTAAAGTCTTGGATGGTATAAGTAGGAGAAAGCTTTATTTTGTACCCTAACTGATTCTTAATTTCCATCTTCCAAATGCATCACCAGTGGTGAAAGGGCCAAGGAAAATATTTTTGTGATTTGCTAGGGAAAAGTCTCACTTCCTTCCAACCCACACAGGAATATAAGAACTAACCAGGAACAGAAATACTTTCTTTTAAGAATTATACTTCTAACTTTGTTTTATTCAGCCATTCTGTTCTGACATTCTATTTTTCCTCTTTATTACATTTTCTTAAGTCAAGCCAATAAAGATGGGGGCAGGGGTTTGTGTATGTGTGCTTCACAAAAACAATTGTTAAATTTGCACAGGGCATTCTGAGAAAGCTGCACAACTGTGGTCCTTTCTGATCAACATTTTCTTTTTATCAGTAGCAATGTGAGAGCTACTAGAACAGCATTCTGATGACCGTGCCCACTGAACTGTTCTGGCTCACTTTTCCTTCTCCATATTATGATTATGAAATACAGCCTTTTTATGTAAAGTTACTTGAGATCCTTGGAGAGACAACACGAAGTGGAAAAAAACCATACAGACAGTATTTCTGTTAGTTATGAAAGCCCCCAGAATTAGAATGAAAACTATCAGTAATTCATTACTGAGTATGGAATTCTCAATGCAGTCATTAGTAATAATCTTAATATTTTTAATTAATAATTTCTTTCAAGAGATTTTAATAACAGGATTCTATTCAATACCCAAGCATAACATGAATCTGCTTTCCCACTGTGGAAACACAGCTTATTGTTCACTTCTTCTGAAATGGGAATATGACTTCAAATACACAATGATCTACTGACAGAGGAAAACATTTTTGCTGAAGCGGTGGGGGCTACTGACATACTTCCCCTCCTGTAAGGCTTTCTCTGGTATTACATGCCTGTGCTACATTCAGCAACTGTTTTGCACAAAAGGTGGTTCAGAAAAACAAGGAAATTGATTACTGAGACTTTACCTTTTCTCCTGTTAAAGCCACCATATCCAGAGGGCCATACATAAAGCGCCCAACGAGCACCTGAGGACCATCTTCTGCTGCAATGACGTCATTAGCTCGATGATTAGCAGTCACATTCTGAAACAAGAGCAGAAGGTAGGAAGGGAGGTGTTTGCTTTTGTAGTGAGGCTACTGGCTCTATTATGTTATTATGAAGAGTCACACAGAAACACAGTCCTGTACAGTGTGTCTGAGGTATATCACAGTGCATGGTAAAGCATCTAGCTAAACTACATTACTATTTCAGCTGGAGACAGATTTCCAGTAATGGTGGGCTCCTGAACAGACTTTCTAGTGAGAGTGCTCAAGATAACCAAATAAGAGAGAACATTTAACGGAATCCCAAGTATCTTCCATTTCAAGTGGGTCATAGATTCATGTGATTATGTGTAAGACACATGCATCTTAATTGACATTTCTAACTGAAGTAGCATCTGAAGAATGAAGGAAATATTTTTTTCTTGAGTTATGGATTCATCTAGAATTTAAGAAAACAGAAGAAGCAACTTCTTTGCTTAACTGAAACTTAAGGTCCCGCTGTTACTTAAAGAAAGAAAGATACTCTCTCCCAACATGGAGCGATAAAGCAAGAATAAATTGTTTCTATTTTCTGTTCATTTCTTTGCCTCTGGATTACAGCAGCAGTTTCCAGCTCTTTAGTAATTCAGTTACATAAACTCATGCTTTGGGAGATCAAACTCCATTTAAATTGCTGCCAAACTCAAGTTCTCCAGCTGCCATGTATATTCAGATTTACACTTACTCTCAATTTGACATGTGTCCTTTTGCGTAGCCATTTTTCTCGTGGATTGGACAGACTTAGTGTTGCTGGATCCAAGTTGTCATTTTCCTTAAAAATTACATTTTCGTACCTCATCACCTGAAATTATATAAATATTTTAATACAAAGTGTGTGGCCTGGGAAGTCATGGTACTTGGCAAGGAAAGGAAAAGTACACTGCCTTCCCAACTAATGACACTGCAGAGCCAAAAGCACAATGAAAGTAGAAAGAGGTACAGGTCATATGTTCACGTTAATTGTACAGACTAACTGCTTTCACCCTGTTGGCCAACACTTACTCTCAAGTACTTACTGAACAGCTTTTCCACTCACAACAGAGCTTGCACATTCTTCCAGAGAAAACATTAGGTGAAAACATTAGGATGGTGTAAGTAACAGGCACATTGTCTGCTCATGGTCTGCAAAGTCAGTAAAGGAGCTTAAGATCATAGAATTATTTTTTAATGTCCTTTATGGGGCAGAGATCTGATTCCTGACTCCATCTCTACTGATTTTTCTACATATACTCAGACAAATTGCTTCCTATCACCTACTGGATATTACTTACCACTGCAGTAGGCGACAGGCTCAGGATTTGACTTGTGGCTGTTAACATCTGAAGTTAAGAGGACTATAACTTGTCAACATGCAGAACTCTAGCATGTCATACAGTCTACACATTCTTAGAATTTAAATATCACACACTTATCAAGAACTTGCATGTCCAGCTCAGATTTCAGGATACAACCTGAAACAACAGGTTTCAAAATCTGTGGGTAATACGCTGCTTCAATTGAAACCACAAGCCCTGTCTTACTGAAATCCGAGGTTGCACTCTGGGATCGTGGACAGGATGAGGCTACTTCATTTTGAATGAGAAATAGCTTAGTCTGCCTCTTCCACAAGCTAGCAGAAAATTACTCAAGGTGAACAGTTGTTTTCTTGTGCTGAAGTTTTCCACCCTGGATGCCCTCTCTTGAAAAGTGGCCTACAATCATTTTCAAAGACATCTCATATGAAGTCCCTTTAGTAAAACCCTATTTCATTCAGCCTTAGCAACGCAGTTGGCTTGCAACAAATCACAGTAATGCTGAGAGGTTGGTGTGCTTTTTAACAAATTGGTGTAAATTCTATTCACTAGAGGTCATGTGCAGGAAATGCATGTGCCCACAGGACATTCAGAAGCCATTAACCTTAAACTTAATCCCCAGTCAGGGCAGAATGTCCAGACTATGCTGGAACTAATCAGTCTTCTATGTAGTTCTATAAGCTCACATATTGCTTTACAGGCACATTTTAAATGCTTGAAGGGCTTATTAAATTCTAAAAGCTCCAAGGCACATACAAGGCTAGGTAAGACAGAACAATGCAATTTGATACAAATGCACAGAAATAACAAGTATAATAAAGCAGGAATGATTGTTAACAGGCAGCTGGATAAAGGAGGCATTTAAAAGGCAAGATGGGAAAATGTTCTGATGGATTCAAGGAAAAAATGTCCTGAGAGAGAAGATGAGATGACAAGAGCTATAACAGAGCTTCCAAGGAGAGGAGAAACATGTAGGTACAATTATCTAAGGCCCTTGAGCAGAAAAAACAGGGGCTTGCATCCTTTCACTTCCAGTAAAAACCTCTCCTCTACTGTTGAATGAGCATCAAATAAGATTCATGTTCTGGAAACTGTTCTCATTCATGGAAAAACTCTTCTGCAACTTCTGCTTGCCTTCATTGATTCTAATAATAACAGTTTTTAAAATTAGCTTTTAAAATTCTGCACTACTTAGTGATACCTTTTGACTGGAATCTGATATACCAAAGGACGCTCTGAAAGGACAGCAAGAGGTGGAAGGACTCCTAGAATTTCTTAAATTAAAAACAGCAAGGAAAAGCTTTGCAAGTGGTATGGTTACCGGCCAGACTGGGGGCTGCATACTCCACTCAGGCTGCCATATAAAGATAGGGGCTCAGTACAGCTGCACTTTATGACTCAGCAGCACTTCTGGACTGCAGGGCACTCAGCCAGTGAGTTTCCATTCCCAGAAGCTACCAGGCGAGCCTCCAGGGAACTAACATCACTGACACCAGCACTGGGAGCAGGAGGTAGAGGGAGTTAACACTCAGAGACCAGCTAAAGAGGCAGGCACACAGATATCTGCTGAACTGGTTCAATGAAAAAACGGCAGAGTTTTCTGCATTGTTCTCATTACTGTTTACGTGCCAGCACTTCATTATTCATGGACGTAAAAAGCACACAGATTTCTTGGGTTAATCTAAATTAAACTTCTTGTCACTGCCCTTTGGGTGTGGGTCACTTTGCATTCTTGGAGGGACACTTACCCTACAGGCTTCACTAGAACACCAGTTGTTTGGTTTGGTTTGGTTTTCTTTTTACCTGAGATGAGATGTCTCAGTCTCACCACTTTCTCTGGAGGTCTGAGCACTGTATTATTCCTAAATCACTGAAAGCTGCTGCCTAATTTCTGACACAGTAGGAATAAGAGACCCATCATATGACTTAGAAATAAATTCTGAGGAGACAGTGCATACAATGCCTTGAAATACTCCAGTATAGTTACATGAGAGACTTGCCTTTCTTACAGGAGCAGTACTTTCAAACTTCTGGTTTATTATCAAATGTATGCTAACAGTTTGAGATTTACTAGCAAAATACATAATTAAATAAGGCTGGAGATAGCCTATTCCTTCAAAAAATGGTAGGAAATTAATACATAATACAGTGTTATACTGATCTGGAGCATGGGAGGAGTGAGTAACGCATGCTTGACAGTGCTTTGTTCCCAGTCACATAGTCACTAGTGCTAATGATGGGCTCGCTGTTTCCTTCACCTCTCCAGTTAATACACTTCTGTCATTCCTATATCCCGTTGTACAGGATCATTGTATATGATGCAGCCACAGTTAACCATGTAACTGAACTGAAGATTAAAAGATTAGTCACCCTTGGAAGAGACAAGTAACAATCACAAGGTTATTCATTCCATAGACAAAAGAAAAAAAGATCAATGACCTGTCTTAAAATGAAGGCCACAACGTCTGTTGATTCCCAGTAGCTGGAATGGAAGAGATGAGGCAGGGCCACAGTTGGAAAGGCTGTCAGCACATCTGGACAATACAAGGCATAATCTATTCGTTTTGTTCCCCACCACTTTGCAGTAACTACAAAACAAACCAAACAAATTAGCATCACATTTCTATAAGATATCTTCTTAATAAATCTTTTGCTGTCATTATATTTAAGCTGGATAATTGAATGACGTCTCCTGCTTTTTAATCTTGACATTTAGAGTCTGTTAAAGGTATCTACAAAACACAAAAGTAACTGTTTTCACTGAGTGCATCATCAGTTATCTGTCTGCAATCTAAATAGTTCTACTGGGTCATAGTTTTTAGGAAGCAGAAATCACTTCAGCATGGTTCCGATTGCTTCCATGAAAAATGTGCAGTGAAAGACCGTCACTTTTATGATCACATTACAGAGTAAGAATTGCAAATGGTTCCCAAATAGTGAAAGGAATATTGATATATGACTGGATAGTCATATATCCATTCCACTATTCCAACAGTCCATAACAATACAATATAATGATTTAGAAACATTTTATCTATAGTTAACAAATCTGATACATCTGCATTTCTTCATGCCTGGAACATGATTCTAAACCCCTGTTATATGAAATCCTTAATGACTATTTGTGAGTGGCACCTTAATATAAAACTGACTTAATTTCTATTACTTTATCTACTTAATTCTAACCAGAAGAGGAAACTTATATATTATACAAAATGGTAGCAACCTCGGCTGTTCTCATAATGCCCGAATTTCCAAGCAGGTAATTTTCCTTTTCGTAATAAACTTTTCCACAGAAAGGATGTGGAGGGAAGGAAGGTTTGCTGCTGTATCAGACATCACATAGCACCAGGCTTCACTCACTGTTGGTGAGGTATGCTGACGGCAAGCTTTCTGTTGACCCTGAGTTTTCACTTTTTGTGCTGGCCAAGCTCAACTTTCTTGTTTTTCCCTGCAGCTGATCAGATGCATTTGGAGATCCAGGACTCTCCTGAGAGAAAGGTATGTTCAAAGAGCTGTTCTCAAGGAACAGAGCACTGTGATTGTGAACAGCATCACCTGCAGGTTACAGAAATGAAAATAACAATGGCAACAACAATACTATTATTAATAATAACAACAATACAATGGGATTAAGAACATGGCTTTGAAACTGGGAGTGGTGGTGGTGGTGTTGAATACAGAGATAATGAGCATTTTCCTAAATAATACCAGATTTAATGACCTTGGATGAAACTTCCTCGGAGGAGGGCAGCATGACCAGGTAGAGAAAGCCCACCCTACTGCCATCAAAATGCAGTGGTGGCTGAGTGTTTTGGCCAAGATTTTCTAAACTGGGTAGTGATGTTGAGAGGCTATTTTACCTCACACTCAACCCTACCCATTTTAAAAGCATTCTCTGAGAAGAGCTATGCAGCCCCCAGACTCTGTGATACTTCTCTTGTCCTCTTTCTGACATAAGCAAAATGATTTTAGGAAGAGAGCCTTCAGCAAGACTATCTACTGGTTTGCGTGTTCCCAAATGGAAAAGAATTCTTTTTTATTCATGCCTCTCTGACAAACTATGGGCCATGGCTAATGCCTCTACTGAATGAAACAAAACACAGCCTTCCTTCCAAGGTGTTCTGAAACAAGACCAGGCTGGACACAGGGGCTTTGAGCAACCCAGTCTAGTGGGAGGTGTCCCTGCCCATGGCAGGGGGTTGGAACTGGATGAACTTTAAGGCTCCTTCCAACACAAACCATTCTATGTTTCTATGTAAGAACAGACGTGCATTTAAATAAAAGCACTACTGGTAAATTTGCTTGAAGCAGACTGCACAACTTTCCTGTACCTAGGAATAGCAGAACCTCAACTGAGAGACACAGAACATACAGAAAAGTGCATAGCAAAAGCAGCTGACCCCTCAGTGTTGGGTTTTTTTTTCAGAGAACAAACCTCCTGAATTGATTAAAACAGTGAACAAAAGAAAAAGGAGAGAGAGTTCAATGCACTTACTACAGAAAAAAGTAGACGGCCCTTGGTGACTTACTGCTCTTTTTCTGAGCATATTTCAGCCCCATTCAAATAACTGTAATCATGCTGTGCTTATCTCACATGGCCTTGAGTAGGGCACTATGTCATGTAATTCTTTACGTAGCAAAGGCCTGGAATAAGTTTCTTGTCAACTTTCCAAGTATTACCAACTCCCAAAGCAATGAATACCTCAATGGTGCACACAGGAGAACACAACAAACTGTTGCTTTCAAGGACACCCTTTCTTAAATAATACACTGGAAGGCTAAGTGCCTATAGACTATCAGAACTGGTAAAACATGTCACCACTAAAAGAAAAGAAATAGCAGCAATCTCCTCCCTTCCAAAAAGCAGATACAGCTAGGAAGATTTTGACTTGTTTCAAATAAGCCTGACTATCTCAACTGCATGGGATAACACATGGAACTGCCCTGCAACTGAATCAGAGAAACATTTAAATTCTAACACTTCATGGTGTGTATGTCGTTTGGACAGATTATATTCAGCTGTAGTTTCCAGGGGAACATATGTCTTTTCATTGGAAAATTGCAATATACTGTTCTTTCAAAGGACTCTTGTTGACGTCATACAGGAAGGAAAGCTACGCGTGGCTACAGGAGAGCTTTATGGAGGTGAAAAGAATGAAAGGACAATTCATTACTTCCCTTGTCTCAGGCAAACTATATGGACTTCAACACAGACAACTGAAAACACAATGCTGCTTTCCTATTACTTACCTCACAAGACGAGGAATTATACACTCTTTGTAGTGAAATAAGCAGCACAGAGAAGTAAACAGTCTGAAATACTAAATATTGAACAGCAAGGCACCTGGTCCTTCTGACAACAAATCTCAAATCCTGTGGCCTAAAAACCACAGCAAATCAGTTCACTGAATACAGAATCCATGCACATAAGCAGTAAGAAACAGGGAAGCTTCCAAATTGCACCCCACTAGGTGTCTATCTGAATCAGAAACCTGGTCCAAACATCAACCAATAGGAAATTCCACAGAAGAAGGTGCCATGAATCTCATAAATGAGAGCTATATCTCATGCATATAGCTAGTGCTCGTGATTGGCAGTGTTCTGATGCATACTTTCTGCTTCCCCTGCCAAAAGAGTCACTGAGTTGGGTTGTGCTTTTAAAATACATTTCCTGCTCCTGAATTGTAGCTGCTCTGCTGAAACCATCATAAATTTACCCCAATCTAATCCTTCCTCCCCCATTATAATACTGTAAGAGTTTTGGTTTTTCATTCCCACTGAAATGGAGATGGGGAGAGGAGTAAAAATAGTAATATTTCATAGAATGGAAAACATGTTGTCAGCCAACATATCTGTTTGCATTTTCCATATTGACTAGCTTCAGACCAGCTTGCTAAGTCTGGTGCCACAAAACCTGTTGTTTATTTTTTAGTATTCCTATTCTAAGATCAGTAACCCTTTTCCTATGAAGAGATCAAATCAATAAAATGGAAGAAATAATTGGCAGGTTTTTCTCTCCTGTTTCCTGAATTATCTTTATTTTAAACAGGCAGGGCAGCCTGCCTTTAACTCTGCAGATCAGGTCTTTGTTAAATTGTAAAGAATACAGAGTACTGGTTAAGAGAGAAATAAAATGCCTATAATAATGTGTTGTTTTTTTTTCTAAAAGCCCTGTGCTCAACTTTTGATTAGGACAGTCTACTTGCATAATTCTTCCATTTAAAAAACTGAAACAGATACTTTCCACCGAAAACAGCCTTTTGCAGGGCTCTGAAGGTCACTAAAGGTTCTTACAATTTATCCTACTAATCCAAATCTATTACTATGCTTGATAATGACTAAAATAAAGGCAAATCAGTTTACACAGTCTCATCTTGGGTAATCATGATAGTTATAGCCAAAGCAAAGAGGCAAAGCAACTTCCTCAGGCACACCCTGTAACCATCTCAAGACAAAATTAACAGTATCTGATGCATTTACAATCAGAGAAGTACTGTGCTTTTAGCCCTTCATTTCTCTCCACAGTGAAGCAAAGCAGCTAGGCCAGCTCCAGCTCTTTCCTTAGGGAGAAATTGCTTTGCAAGAGAAAAACCTTGCAATTATTCCAAAGATCCTGCAAAGTAGAACGTGGGGCAGAGGCACGAACAGTGCCGAGCGTTCTGACCATCCACGTTCTGCTACATCACATGGCTCAAAGGTAGGATGAGTTGAAACCAGGTGTTTTGAATTAATGCAGAACAACCCTATTTTTAACCCTGAAGTAGATACAATGCATCACATCATCAGTAGCACAGCAAAAAAAGGAATTAAAACCCACATGCTAGTGTCAAAAGACATAACTGGTGATAGGTCAGAGACCTGTCACAAAGGTAAGGCTCACTTATACTAGCTACAAAAGTACTTTGATTATGTAATGTCAACTAGGCAGCAGCTGAGAAAGCTATTGTTTAACAGAAGGTCAGGGCAACATGGCTTTCTCAGGGCTGTAACATTGCCTGAACTTTGTGCCTTGCCCTCAGAGTAAAACCCGAACCAAACCCAACAATTAATAAATTGCATTTTTGTCTGAACCATTATCTACTGCTATGTCTGCTATCACCACAGGTTTATGAAGACGTTTCCTCCACCTGCCCTGGATGTCTGGCAGTGCCTTCAATGCACTTCCTTTTACTTTCACTTGTCTGTATATCAGATAAACCCTATGCACAGAGCAGCTGGCTCCAATAGCTTCATTTGATTGGTAAGAACTGAACAACAGCTATAGAAATACTGCACCATTCCCCAGTTTTTCCCATTTTCTCCAGCCTGTGCTATTGCTGAGCTGTTTCTATGACTCATATGATAAAATTCTTTTCTAGTAGTAAGTTTTTTTTCATGCAGCTTCCAGATCAGAATGGTTTTTTTCCACAGAGGCACCAGTAGGGTGCTTATATGAATCATGCCTATATGATTTTATCAGAGAAACAATATCTGAAAATCTAGCCAAAGTTCAATTAATTGCAAAAATAAATTGTTTAAAATAATAGTCAAATACATGGAATTTTGCAAGTGACACTTCAACTAAAGCAGTGATATCACCTTTCAACTCCTCTTTAACACAACTGGTATCACAAAGCTCATACGCAAGAACCATTTTTCTTGCTAGTCTTCTTTGGTCCCACACTTGCTCAATATGTGCTGTTCAGTCCCAGATGAATTGCTTTTAGCATGTTAGAACATTGGTATTTCAAATCCTCTTGAGCTGTATGAGGAGAGAATACTTAAGAGAACAAAAGGTAAGGAGAGCTATGAAAATAGGCACTGTACCTAACTGGTGAGATCTTCCATCCCCTAATGGGTATCTCTGGTACCGCGGGATACTGAATGGAGGCAGGAGATGGAATCTTTTCTCCAGCAATGGTTCAAGTCTGCAGGCAGAGGGGTCAGCAGAATGAAACAAACTGTACACTTGGCTGCAGGCTGGGCGGACCTGGCATACTTGGATGACAATGAGACAGAGAAACGGAGTTCAGTATTGCCCCTCTACAATTTTCAAGGAGTCTATACAGAAATGGGGTTAAAATTGTCTTCTTCAAACTACAGACTAGCATACATCTGGCCACAGGAAATTTATCCAAATTGTTTGCTATTTCATATGTAAAGAACACTTCACTGCAAAGGAGTTTACAGACACATCAGGATCTGAGATGCAGGCATACAGCAGATGTGGAGACCAGCCAGAGACATAGACAGAACTAATGATGGAAAAAGAAGTTTAAAAGTCTTGTAAATATGTTATTAGGCATTACAGTTATGATGCTCAGCACTTCAAATATTTACAAGCAAAATGGTTTGATGGGCCTGTTACATCCAGAGGACTTGAATCTAGGTGACAGCAGGAGCAGAAGACAGAAAGCACTGCAGTTTCTGAAGTCACCTTATGGAAGATAATGTACAGAAATGAGGCTGGGCATACTATAATAGTAAAGCAATGTTTGTGAACCTTGCTGACGGTGTGCAGCTGCTGAGCTTTTTGAGCTGCAACTGTAACTACAAATCTGAACCTTACTTACTTGGCTAGTAAGGCATTCTTTTAACTAAATACGCAGCACTGAAGTATAACTTGTATCTGATGGGTGATCACAAGACTGACAAGGTCTGTCAAATGGTCAGTGTAGTCACTTGTCACCACATCACAGATCAAACACACTGAATCGTGCACTTTGAGCAAATCAATTCATTACAGGCTTGTTAAACTTAGTGCCATTTGTATAATACTGTATTACATGTTACAACAGGCAGTTTATTAACTACAAGAATAAAGGAATGACTGAAGTATTTATAAAATATGTTTGGGAATATCATGTCTGTTCCCCATGAACTCCATGCAAGCAAGACATGTTTTCAAACCTGCTGTCCTATACAATAAATCTTAGTTGTTCTTTTGATAGAGTTACTATTTCCTTGTGGTGGTAATAAAAACCTAGTGACATGTATAATGTTTTCCCATAGAAAGCATGTTTGGTACAGCATTGTTCCCATGCAGAAGCCAAACACATGCTTACCTAAAAAGCATGAAGAAAGATGTTAGGGTTTTAATATAAGGTGTCATGGAATATTAGATCTAATGGAGTCTATGTTAAGTGACATCTCTCACCAGAGCACCCACCATGGAATTTAAAAATGATAAAAAATCAAAACACACTACTTAGGTTCTTTCTCATTTTTAAGAGTCACAGTCAAGCTATTTGTACATAAGCGAAACTACACTGAGCAAACTTGATGCTGTACAACTTCCTCTGCTGCAGTCACAGAGAGTCACTAAGAGCTACAGCAGAAAACACTACATTCTTACAGTTTTTTTCCAAGTGCTTTCCACGTTGCTGGAAGGACTTTTAAAAATTCATGTTACAGTGCTTGCTACTATTAATGGCATATAGAGACAAATCTTGATATAGCCTATGTCAGTGTTACCAAGTTCTAAGCTTAAAAGGTTGGTATTTTTTTGTTGTAATAGCAGCACTGCCATACTGAGCAATAGTATGACCAATATTTTATTTTGTTGCCTTCTATGTGAATGTTTGTTCTATAAAAGCACATTAGGTTTCTTCTCAAATTAGTAAGAAATGAACCTTTTATTGATCATAGCAAAAACCGTCTCAAGATGCTTGATGATGAATCACATCTGCCAGGACCACTTCATCACATGCGTTCTGTGCTAAACTGCCTGGGAGACTTCATGTCATGAAGATGTCAATACCCATAGCCTCTCAAGAAAGGCTCTGGGACAAATCTTCCAGTAAGGATATACCTATATACAATCCAGTTCTGACAAGCCATTAACTTTTTTCTTCTTTGGACATGTGCTGTATACTATATTTTGTGTTCACTGAGTCACTCTGAGGACAGTGCAATATCTCTTTAATTTTGGAGGATTTTTGCCACTCAGCTTGAACCATGCAGGTGTTTTGGGGGACATTAATTGAAGCTTTGTGGGTTGTTGTTCCCTCCCCCCCTCCCCCCAGCTCTCTCTGTAAAACATTTTAAGATTGTTTTCAGTGGCAATTACCAAGTTTCCAGCTGCAGGATAACCAAGACCTACTTCTGATGTCACTTGTATGTTGTTCTTTCTAGAAAGGATGACTCTGTGCATCAATCAGCACACCTGGTAGCAGATGAAAAGAAAGTGGGAAATAAGACTACTTATTAAGGACACCATAGAATCTTCTTCCTTTCCCACTACCAAATAAATAGGAGCTTCATGCCACCTTTGTCCCTTTCCCACCATTAAGCCAGTCATATGCAAAAACTGTGGCCTGTGAGATTTTTCCATGAAACATCTTTCCACAGTTCTCCAGAAACCATTACAAAGTACCCTTTTTTCTTAACTTATTCTCAAAGTAGGGTACAAAATTCACCCATCAATGTGATGTGCTATTAAAACTGAATGAATTCTCCCATGTATTCCACTTAATTGCATCACAAGAGAAGCAGAAGGAAAACACCATCAAGACTGCAAAGATCTGAGACTACTTTTGATGGCTTTCTTCAATCTGTATTTTGTTCTTAGTATTTGCCAGAAAAAAATGGAAACAGATCACCTGTGTAAGAGCATTTAAGTGCAGCAGAAATTAAGTTCTATTTAAGGGAAGTCAAATTTTCTTGCAGAGCCCAAGTAATGTGGAATAAATTCTGTGAGGTAAAACACTGCATTGTGTTAGAATTGAAATCATATTTTGGCAAGCCTGTAACCTTGATGTATGTATGTAGGGATCTAGTGCTTACAAAGTAGAGCAGAAAACTGGTTATTATTCTACTGAACTACAGCTTCCTTCCCTAGTGGGTTGTATATTGGTTTATTCTTTCTTTCTCATCATGCCTAATATTAACTGTCAGAACCAAACATAAAGGAAGTGCTTAATGTAATTAAACCAGTTGCCTAATTGCACCTTCTAATACTTCTTGTATAGGAACTTTTTCTGTACATGTCTGCCTTCTGCATATACACAGGAGGCAGACAAAGCCAAGGATGCAAACAAGCAGGGTTATGAAAGTTGTCAGCATAGGGCAAATTATGATATTTAGTGGCAACAAGAGAGCATGTCCCCAGAGTTACCGGTTGTTCTCATACCCCTCTTCAAACTGGCAAAGGAATATAGCACATCATGCTCCAAAGGAGATTACTCCCTACCACTGTAGCACTTAACAGTAGTAGTTCCTAGTAAGAGCAAGTGCAAAACACCCTACCATTACAGCTATCCTAAGATAGGACAACGCCACTTTTGGGTTGTAAGTAAATGCTCATGATATATTTGGAATTCTAAAAAACATTGAAAGTTTCATAGGGTACCAAACCTCTTCCAAGGATAATCAGCATACAGAGAGAGGCAGAATTTAGCAGGGACACACAAAAGATCAGTGCTTTGGAAAATAAAATCTGAGACTAGACAGAGGGAGGCCCACTGAAGAAAGTGCTAGACGGTAACCAAGAAGAACTGTCAAGGAAGCAGTAAGGGACCAATAGAACATCTGACAGAGGAGAATTAAAAGGCATTTGGCAAAGAAATAAAAAATATGAATGAAGATTTGGTTTTAGCCACACTCTTACTAGCATAACGACTCACCTCTGTGAATCCAACATTACTTCTAAAAGGCATGTTTACATGGCCAACAATTACTTCTAAATGTAATTGTCACACTTTTGAATACATAAATGCTTTCATACGCAGCACAGCATTCAAGGGGAGATGTGCCTGGAGAATTACACACAAAACCTGTATCACTTCAGAGCAATCCCTCTTGCAAAAAGCCACAATTCCATTAACTTTTCACACATTTTCAATACACGTGTATAATCCCTTGAAGTGAAATGTGAATTTCATCTATGCCCACCAGGACTGACTGATGGGAGGGCTTATCACACACAGTCAGCTGCTGACAGCCACACCACTGGCTACTCAAAAAGATGTGTCAGAGTCTGCCACTGAGGTACTCTTGTGTCAAACACTGCCAGTATTCTCTACTTACTGTGCAGTACCTGGCATCTGCTAATCAGTATTTGTCCTTAAGGACTCTAAAAAGGTACCTAATGAAACAGATGTGTGCTCTATTTCATGTGTGATTCCAGAGTAAATGTGTCCATTCTGATTCATTAAAAGGAAACCGCAACTTCTTGCAAAAATACTAATTCTAGCTCAAGGAGTTTGAATCCAAGCACACAAATTAATACTGGCAGGTTTTTCCACATGAAGTCCTAGGAAGAAAACGCTGAACTCCCTGCCCCAAGCCCCCAGCAAAACCCCCACCATCTTCAGAGGAAAGCGTTGCTAACCTTGGAAAGAAATCCCCAAGACAGAAAACCAAATTGCAGTGCAGTTTTCAATGCCAGCTATCATCTATGTAATTTTTTTTTTGACAGCTCTTTCACAGAGGCAAAAAGCCTTTGTTTGTGGGAAAATATATCTGCATTTCCATTCTCTTTAGCTGAGCTTTGGTTTTCGTTTATTTGAACAAAACTGAGTACTGCAAATATGATGAATGAAATGCAAACTGGGAGTTTAATTATCCTCTCTTGTAAGGTCATGCAACTTGCTAAAAAAAATTCTACCCGATTTCTAAATGCTAAAGACATGGCTTTGGTCATATTTTTAATTATGACAAGTAAAATAATTCTCAGTTTATACGACATTCCACTTTAATCCCACAATCAAATGTGACTTTGAAAACTCAGTCAAATGACATTACTCAAAAGCCTATAAATGGAGAAGAAAAAAATTGGGAGTCCTGAATTATTGTCTCTTCTCACTATTGCAAGTGTTTTTTCCCCCTCACCTGATAAGTGAACTTATAATTTCCTATAAAGACTGGGCTACCCAAACCTCATACAATGAAAAAGTACACACTGAATTTTGAAAAGTAAAGTAAGCTCTTAGTTTAAAAAAAAAAAAAAAAAAAAAAAAAGGAAAAAGTCTAGATGTATTTAGAAATAAAGCAAACAAATCCTGTATGTTTCTGATTACTAGGCTCTGTTACCAGAAAGAAAAATAATGTCTCACAACCAACACACCTGGGGGCCAAATTTACCCACAAAGCCAGACATGAACAAGATGCAATGCTGACCAAGCACTGATGTTATTTTGGTACCTTTTGCAAGGTCCAACCCTTGATGAGGTGCAAGCTTCATGTTACATGACATGGAATACATGATTAACAGCAGAGCAAAACACACACTACTGTAAATGGGTGAGCAGTGACACCCGCGGAACAAGACTCATCACCTCAGTACCTACCTACATTAACACTCTGATATTTTAAAGGAAGAAACTTACCTCACTCCCCAGTCTTTAAGTAGGCTCCTTTATTTACCTCCTTTCACGTGAGTCTCTTTGTTTACTAAGGTGACTAAGCAGCCTGTATTCTAACCCCAGAAAGACCTTACCATCCAGGCCAGGCAGAACAGTACTCCTCATGGCCAGCACCAAACCAAGCGGCGATCCAAAGAGGAAGAAATCAGACACCTCGAATTCAAATCGTCCCAGGTTTACTTCTGACAGACTGGAATTCACAGGCGGAAAGTCTGGACCATCTTTCAACACACTCGAGTGGATGCTAGGCAAAGAAAATGCAGATTTAACAATAATGAATGGGCATCCAGAGAAAAATTCCATTCCCAAAACAGGCTGCTTCTAAAGATCTAGCACCTGTATCTAGATCCAAGCAATAACTCTCCAACTCTAGATAGATACTGCAGTATAGCAGCCACTTGTCATCATTTCCAGTGCATGATTCAGTAAATTTACCACCTGCAATATGCAAGAGTTTTCTACATTTATTCTACAGAATACTTAATGGTAAGTTACTCACGGACTCTGAAATTTACCTCCCCTCCTTTTCAGCAGTATAGATCTATGTAAACTTATTCTGAAATTTCTATGAATTCTAACCTACTCAGGTTGATAAGGACAATTAATATTAAAAGGTTACAGTCATTAAGTATATAATATGGGTCCGTAAAAAGCATTGTTCTAATCCATTTCCTGAACTCTGAACTAGAATTTCACTATTTTTCAGCTATTTATTGCAAGTTAAAATTAATTATAGACATCTTTAAATCTCTTAAGTGATTTAAATACTTTCATTTACTTTATATGCCATACATGCATCAGGTAAATACAGATCACCTATTCCTCACCGACAGAGAAAAGATTTGTCCCTCATTTAGTTTTGCTGGAGATGAAATAACTACATTCAGAAGCAGAAAAATAGCATATACACCTGCTGTCCAGTTATGAGACAGAGCAGAACATGCCTCCAGCACATGCAAAGCCTGACTGAGAGATGCTGACCATGCTGACTTCAACCAATGCTCTAACTGAAGCCCTTATGAATTATCTGCACACTGTGCTCTGAACCAATGGCCAAGTATGAATCAGAATCCAGACATCCTGAAGACTGGTCCCAGGACACCAGCTCAGTCTAAGATCCTATCTGAGGTTCCTATCTGAGGCATTCCCGTATAACCTGATGTTACTAACTGAAACTCTGGGGACAAAAATTAGGGCCCCTTCAGGGTAGAAATGAAGAAAGCCAAGAATCAAATCCATCATCGGCATAGCAGTTAAGAGTTACTTCTCTGTGCTAAAAGCACTTGGACAAAAAGCACAAGCTGACACACTGAAACGCAACCACAGTGTAGGACAAGGACGTTTCTGTAACTTCACTACTCACGGTGACACAGCCTGTGTTTGTTCAACTATTCTTCAGTAACTTAGCAACAGCATAAAGTTTGAGGGGTCCAGAATTTGGATGGAAGCTAACATGTTTCTGCTTGCTGAAGTACAGCTGCATGTAAAACTTTCAGTTTATATTTATAGATGCATATGAAATAGGAAAAAAACCCAACAAGACCCAAACCACAAAACCCTGTTTTTTTGGTTTTGACTTTTAATTATCCTGTTAATTTTTTGGTTTTGACTTTTAATTATCCTGTTAAGTTTTTGGTTTTGACTTTTAATTATCCTGTGATGCCCCAAGTCTGAAGTGCTTTACACTACACCTACAGGAACATAGAAATAGTACCCCTATGCAAGAACTTAAAAGTGACTGACCAAAAAAATCTTCAGGTGTTGAGTCATGTACAAGCAAAACCCAACCATTCTGTCTCAGACAGAAGACACTGCAACATACCGATATGCCGAAAACCCAATGGTTTGAACATAAAAGCAGAATAGCCGACAAAAGCAAAGTACATTCAGCCAAAGCAAGAAAATAAATTTACCTTAACTGCTACTAACAGAACTGCTATACTTGACAGAAAGCACAGTACTAAGTCTGCACTATGCTTAACTGTAGCAGAACTGAAACTTCAACACAAAATAGGACTTCTCCCTTTGCATCACTCTCAAGGAAATAAAGGAAATAAGACAATGCATAGAGGAAAAAAAACAACTCTGAGAAGTAAAAAATAAAATAGCTTAGTACAGGAAAAACCAATGAGACACGGAATGCTTATGTTCCCATCAAAGCTGCTTTTTAAACATTACTTAGGATCCAGGAAAGCTAATTAAGTTAGATTTCCTCCCCCAGCCTCCTCCTCATTTAAACTAAATATCCAGGCAAGGTTTTTGTTTGTTTTAAGGCTGATTCAAATAGCTCATAGACCATTGGGAACACCTGCAGGAAATATGTCACTCTTTACAGAATAACAGAAAGCCTATAAATGAAGTCAGAGGGATCTTTGGAAAGAAAAACACAACAGAAAATTAGAATTATAAAGCATTCATCCATCTTGATTTCTGTGGGTTGCACTGAAGAAATGGAAGTGCTTGCATTCATTTCTTTCATTCTTGCATTCATTCAACATTCAGTTGTGACAGTTTTAAATATTCAAAACTCTCACAAGTGAATAAAGATTAAATAAAAATCTCTCCATGTGTAAGTTCATACCAGATCCACCGTATCTATGATTTCCTTTGAGAGGTATATAGGGATTTTAAGGAAACCTCCAGAAACAACACAAACAATAAAAATGATTCTGTTGCTCTGGTGCTGTCAGGCTCCATTCAATGACAAGCCTGTTTCTTTTACTCAGTCATCAAATACAAGTTACCTAGACAGGAAAGCATGATGCTGGGTTATAGGATCACAGTCATAGGTGGATGAATCACTCTGTTTCCGAGGCAATGGCTGCCTTGGCTTCTCATCCTCCATGATTCCCGAGATGTCAATATTGCTTTTGCTCAGGCGTTTGCTGCCACCCAGATTGGAGTCCTCTGCTAAGAGGGGATTATCCTTCAGAGAATGAACAGAGCAAAAGGAAGATTTAGACAGTGACCAAAATACGACAGAGCTTATATGAAATGGTTCCATTTGTATAGTTGGCCTCACTTTATCCAAGAAAGGGTTGAATGGGTTAGAGTCTCTGCAGCAGAGAAGACTAAATTTCCTTGTTAAGAGCAGAATTCAAAGTTGTTTTTTCCCTTGTTGCACACAACTCTCCCCCTACTCCTTTACATTTTCTCCACCACTGCTCACTACACCTGTATTCTCAGATGCAGCATTATGCCAGGTATTACACTGCTGAAGTGTCATTGGAACACTCTTCACAATTTGTAATAGCAAGTGAAAACAGACTTTATCATGCTGAGTACTTTTAAGCAATTTGCAAAGACTGTAAAATCCAGCTAGACAACACAGAGAATGTGAGAAAGAGTGCAAGGTTTAACAGATGAGGACTAAGGCACAATGGGTCAAGAGACTTGGCCAAAGTCACACATACAGACTATGGAAAACATGCTGATTGAATCTGTTTCTCTGAATCTATAGAACGAACAAGTTCCCAGGTCATTTATTTCCCATAACCTCACGCAGTACTGGAGCACATCAGCAGCCCTGTGCACATGGGGTGAGATTTCATGCCAAGAAGAGATGTTGAAGAACCTAATCTGTTCCCCACAATCGTGCTGTGAGTTGCAGAAAAATGTAAGACGCAAGCAGCATATGATCTATGAGATGAACCTCCCCACACTGTTGCATCTGTACAGTCTTCCATAACCAAGAGGACCTCCTGGCTTCTGTGACAAGTGAATAATTAATCTTATTCCCAAGAACAGGGAACCCAGGAACTATAGTTAGTGCCAATTCTGGAGCTGTTCATGTGATAGTCTCCTGAAGACTGAGTTGGGAACAAATTCATTTTACACATTACTGCCATTCAATAGCGAAACTCTAAGACCAGGAAAGTCAAAGGAACTATACTCCCTCAAGCCTAATCTAAACTCTTCAGTTTCACCAGTAGCCCTCGCACAATCAACCCCACTATAGGACTGGGATTCGGGAAGACCATTTTCCATTTACTTTGCTTGCAATGCACTGTTGTCAGCGCCACTGCTACCAAAGGCTGACTGCTAGGAACCCAGAGCCATGTTATTAACATTGAGTCATTCTCCTTCCTTCCTGGAAACATTTAGAAGATGTCTCTTTGCTCAAGAGTACTCACATATTCTCAACATAGCTCTCGTACACACATGGCTCTCAAATGAACCAAGCTGGATTGTATCACTGAGCACATTTTTGAGGAGAAATGAACAAAAGAATCAAGAGATGAAACAATTTGGCCAGGGTCACAAAACCAGCAAAGAACAGAGTGTGGGCACCCCATTCAGTGTCAACTCTAATACTGCACCCCCCTTCCCATAGCCACTTGAATCTAAGTACGTAAGATTAGCTGAACTTCAATTTTCTTTCTTAAGTGTTGAACACAATAGTGAAGCTTGCATGTTAGCATTACTTTTTAAGAATGTATTTTCACTATTAAAAAGTCTTTCCTGGCTCACAGTTAGAACTAATACTCTCTTCCTTCCAAATGTAGCACTCCTATAGACACTGTTATGCTCAGTGGTCTATTCACAAATACCCAGGGGACTTGCACTCCTTACCAGGAAGAAGGCTTTCACCAGTCGTTAAAGTTTATTCTTGAACACATGTTAATGCTAGACTACCCCCAGACAGTAGCATAAAGAATTCCAGACCCTCCGTGAACAAATTAAAACCAAATGTATAAAAAGAATGATAAAAGAACCTGGCAGAAACAGGAACCTGCCAGAGATTACTGAGAGGGTGTGTTTGCATCTACAGCTAGGGATACAATAAAGGGCACTTGGTAACCCTACTTTAAAGATTTACAGATAAAGCCTTCAGTAATGATTCTGTGTATCATAAAATTGAAGCTGCAGACTTAAATTTCAGACAGCAATTTTCTGATATATGAGAAAATCCCACACTATCATGGCAATTTACCAAATCCTTAAATTTTCTCTGGTTTATATGGAGCTGATTTCCTCCAGGGAATGAATCTATAGGGGTTCAGCTGGGTGTACTTTCACCTGGATGCTGCTGATGCTTCCTCTCCTGCTATTGTTCCGACTCTCATCAGCTGTATTAGAATTGTAGCAAATGGCATCAAAGCCCAAAATGCCTCCAATGCAGTCACCAATGAGGCACACCTGAGGAAATAAAAATATTTTTTTGGGACATGGAGCAAGTATTTTAGAAGAATCAAAAAGCATCACAGCACTGCAGAGGAGCTGCTGCCTTTACAGCCCTGTTGCTGGGTTTTTTTACACCTGGGTTCCTATTGCAGCTGAAAACACTTTCCCCCCATTCCTTTTATCTCCAGACATATGCTGTATGCCAAGAATATCTGTCCCAGGGACTATTTTGACCCACTGGGAGTGGTTGCTTGCAGCCAGATCCCAGCTTGAAAAGTCCAGCTCACCAAGCAACCAGTCTCACAAAGACTTCAAGCCACTTACATTTCCTTCAGAGTCATACACGGAAGAGAATCTCAACAGATGAAAACCAGATTGATATTCCCCTGTCAGGACAAGGGAATGGAACTTTTAAATGAGGTATTAAGCAGAGATTCACTCTTGCTTCACAGTTAATATAAACATAGAAGCTGCCTTCAAAGTATGGACCTGACAGTTAAAATACATGGAGTAGTAAAATTAGGAATTCAATAGAGTAATTTTACGGCACACTAGAATCTACCTCACAAGCCAATTCCACTGAACACCTCCCCATCCCGAACAAGATGATTCCTTCTCCCTGCTGCCATGCCAGTGTCTGAGGATAAGTAATAGCTGTATTGCTTTTCTCCTTGATAACAACCCCCATGGTTAAAGGTTCCAGCAACCCCCCCTCTCCTATTCTCAAACAGAAACAAATGGCTAGTCTACTGTTCCCAAGTCCAATTAATTTAACAGAAGACATCATCTCTTCTTACAAACCTTAACTTGCTTCTAGCCTTAATTCATCTTGGCTACAACACTAACCTACAATTTTTGGATGACAGCATGCTGTGCATGATTTCTTCAAAGTGATGCATGTTAGGAAAAAAATGAGTGCTTCAAGATGCACTTAGGGAAAAACCTCAAAGTTCTCTTAGTGCACCTCCACATACTGTGCTTTTTTAATTGAGTACATTTCCTGGGATAAAACCATTAAAAATTATCAAAATACATTATGGTAAGATTAAGGTAACATCTCTCATAAGACAATTCTGGTTCTAAAGTTGTATACAATTCAATAGCATGCTGATTTACTCTCAGATTTTCAGAGTTGTACACCGCATAACAACATCCACAAACAACTGAAAATTATATGATACAAGTAATCTTAATAAAATTAACAGCATATTTTGTGCAGGATTAATAGTATATCCTTTAATATACCATTCCATTTCTAATCCTCATTATTATTGGCATTAAGGTAATGGAGTTAACTTGTTCCAGATACATTATAAAACCAGAAAGGCAATCTCTCATCTAATAAACTTACAATACAAGTGGTCAGAAGAGACCAAAATATGAAAGGAAAGATTTACACAGGGTGGGGGTCAGGTGATATGGCATGTATTTCGAAAGTACAGGACTTGATCAGAGGCAGAGTTGAGATTTGCAATGACCAAAGCAAAGCACTGTAGACAGCACAGAGAATTCACTTCCATTTTAACAATGCTGGTAATTGTTGACGGTGAAAATTCTGTGGAGCATACATGGGTCGTGCAGACTTTTCCATTTAAAATATTTACAAGGTTTGTAAAACACACCAAGTAGACTATTTTGTAACTTCTTTACTGTCAATTGTTTTATTATTACTGTGGTGGAGGGAAAAAAATAAATAGTAATAGCTAAATATTGGATTCCTTGTGCTCTTAGTCAGTGATATCCCAACTAGCTGATAGCTATAGCAGGTGTATGAGAAACTCTGTAACAGATTATCATTTGTCTTGTACTGGCATGCTTGTTCAGTGCTTAGCATACCACACCTAACTGCACAACTAAGGTTCTCACGCATTTACCAGAATTCATACCAATACTTGGCAACAGCTTAGGGGTCAAACTAATTGTGGGAGAAGGTATAGCACCTTCTACCGATTGAGTAAGTCCAGGTTAGATAATGCACGGAATTCCAGAAGTGTCTTTCTCATGCTGGACACTGAGAAGGCATTTTGCTTAGATCATCCTATGCTAACATTCATTCATCATGTTCTGCAGTATTGTCCCACACTCATAACTCAAAGACTTCAACACAATGGCTTAAAAACCCCCAGCCTTGTTCTGAAGGAATTTTACTTTGATGTGAGAGAAAACAGTCCTACCTGTCCATTAAAACCAGCCCCATCTGTAGATTTGAGAAATTCATTGTAAACTTGATTGGCTCTACTGATCACCATGGCAACTGCATCCTGGTATTGAGGGGATGAAACAGCCAGCAATGGCAAGGCAGCCAGTGGGATGTGGTCTTCACTGCTGCTGAGACAGCTCTCATCATAGCTGTAGGGATTTAGGCTGGAGAAGGACAGTCTCTCGTCAGGAAAAATGCAAAAGGCAGCACACAGCATTTGAGAATGAACATGTTGCTTATTAACAGAAATGGGTTGGGCTATTGCAGTTCACAATGAGCAAATACAGGAAGAAATCATTTTCTCACAGAATTCAACTGCTTAAAAAAAAAAATCAAGGAGTTACTGCTTTATGTGAATGAGATCATGCTAGAAGGCATTTCTGTAGTTAAGAATACTTGGTGCACTTTTTCTCACATAAAAGTAGACATAATTTAGAAGAGCAAAGAGATTATTCCATTTCAGCTTTTTTTTCCCCCATATAACAACTTACAACATCAAAGATCAGGATCCAATCATCACAATGGAATATTGCTTCCTAGAACACAAGTGTAATAGATTTATTTTTCAAAAGCATGTAAAAACATTTTTCTCAGTGTCTTATCTTTTCAAAAAGATGGAACAAAGCTGCACACAAATCATATGTATGTTTGTATATCATATGTATACGTTTGCATAGTAACACTTTGCAAAAGGGGTGGCTAGACTGAAAATGCAGGCTTAAATTTGATAGGTTGTAAGCTTTATTTCAGTGTACCCTGCAAGTTTCCAGGTAAATCTGCCAGTTGTGTTTTGACTGATTTTTATTGATGAGTGGGGAAAACAATTCAGAGAGCTAAAGATGCAAGGCACTTTAGCGTGTGCCAGAATCTCTTACAGTAAGTTGACTGTCCTTTAGAGATTAAAGGAAAATCAGCTTATCAAAAAAGTATTCAGCTTATCAAAGGTTTATGCAAAGGCACAGGTAGGTAACTTCAATGCTATTTGCATTCACTTGCTTTGGGAACTTGGTGAGCTATCACAATATTAAAAAGCAAGCTGCCTGAAACAGAACTAGTCTATGTGTTTTCTAAAACCTGCATCCTTGAGACTATTACCGGGGTAACGAAGAACAGAAGACCTGCAATGCTCATGCATGGAAGCTGGTCTGTGTTCACGTCCTGAGCCTCACTGACCATTTCCACATTTGTCTCTTGCTGAAGCACTCCAGTGATTTGGCATTTTTCATCCAAAGCAGTGTAACAGCTTCTATGTCCTGGAGCCCAGGTGCTCTGCCAAGCAATGTCAGTGTACCAATAAAACAGCTTCATTTCGCCAGCTGATCAGATCACTCAAGTGCACAGAGATGTAGTTACAAATACTAACTCTCAAAAATGAAAAATGAACCTTAAAAAACTACATGAAAAGGCCTCATTTACTACAACAACTGGCAGATAACACCTCAGAAAGGGAAAGGGAGAAACACAAAAGGAAAAAACTTAAGTGAATGCATATGTTTTCACAATAAAAGTAAAACGCAAACAATATTCACAACAACACAAAACAGAGTCAGTGGGGGAAAAAACCAAGCTAACAGCTATTTATTTTTTGTGGGTAAATGGACATAGATCAAAATGAGGAATTATTGTCTAGACAACTCATCACAATTAACTGGCTTAGAAATGAGAGCCTGGATTTTTCAATTCCAATATCTTTAATATATTTTATTGTAAAGGTTGCAACCGCACAGCCATCTGTTATTACTGTAGACACAACACAAAAGGAAGAAAGCTCCAGACCACTGAAAGACTGTACGAAAGAGATGAAGTTGTTTATACTAGGGGACATACTAAAGATTAGCGCTGAAACTAATAGGTAGAATACCAGCGCTGGAGCTGAGAAGCCTGTCTTATCTTGATGTATTGGCAGGACACTGAGGGAGGCCCTTCCCAAACCACAAGCTTGGAAACACCCACACCTGAAAGGCTGCAGATGGAAAGGGAATTCAGAAGGAAGGAGCTGAAATCACTGAGTGTAAGAGTCTGACAGATAAAGTCACCAGTTTTAGGACCTAACACCTCCCTGAGAAAAGGCAGCAAATGACCAAGCTGCAAGACAGAACTGGCCATCCATGCTGGGTAAGAATAAACCTGACCCACAGGGAAGAAGTGATTGATGGGAGAGTGGCATCTGCCAGCAGGGGTAACTGAGATCGCATCATGGAGATGGGGGGAAGGGGTTATTCAACCCATGGGGGAGGAGGCAGGAAAGGAGGAACAAGGGAATAAAAGCATATTCTGAATGCAGAAAGCATCTGGCTAGATGCAGATCAAGACAAAACACGGATCTCTCCTCTAAACTTTCTCAGGCCAGAAGTCCCTGACCATGGCAGAGGTGAGAAGAAAAAGCAGAGGGGAGACCAACCCCTATGGTGGTACCTACCTGGGTAACTGTCATACAACTGTTTTTGATGTTACGTTTTAGCTACCTGCGCTCCATGCTGACAGTCCCAGGGACCTGCTATTGCTGTTTCTGAATGCCAGCATATGCATTTACCACTTCCACTTTCAGGATAAAAGGTAAACAAGGAATAGAAAATACACATCTCCATACTCTTTCTAATTAAATTATAAAAGTATTTTAAAAATTGATTAGGAAAATGCAACCCCAAGAACTTCCATTACAGGACCCACCACTGCATAAGGAGCAGGCAAGGGGCTGAGCATTCCAAAACTCATCCAACAACACTTTCATCTCATTTGGTTATTCATACACTTAGTTTCCTATTTCAGTGCTTGCTTCCTAAATGTAACTTTTGTTTCGGCCTTTTCCTTCTCTCATTCTCTCCTCACCCCAGTTTGCAATTACTGTTCTCCTGTTTGGCTAATACTGTAATTTAGGAGCTCTCCTCTGAGGTGTGAATCAATGTATGCTCATCAAACCAGATTAAGACTATATGAAAGCTATAAAAAGCCTAACAGTTGATCCACTATGGTATATTTTCTCCCTGAAATGGAAGGAGATGGCTCTCAGCTCATCTAGCTGGAAGAAGAATGTACCCCTCAGTTTTAACCCTTTTCTGTCCTTAGCCGCAACGACAGAGAACTGTGAAGGGAAATCAGTCAAGCATTATAAATTTACACAGGTTGCATAAACAGTGTCTTTCTGATTGATATGAGAGATACAACAAACTGAAAGTGATGGGAGCAGACTGGATTAAACAATATTAAATATTTATGAGATGGAGTGATTTTTCACTGAAAGATCCCTTTCCTTTAAGCCACTATTTACAAGGCAGGGAGGAGAACAGCATATGTGGATTCGGATGAAAAGTCCTGGTGGACTCCCTATGAAGCAAAGAACTCAGCACATGAACACAGCTGAATTCAAACAGAAGGCTGCACTACCTTGGCACACACTATGCCTGCACATTCAGAAAATGGAGAATACATTCAAACCAAGCAAGAAGTCTTGTACTGCTGCTTAGTCAGTCATCTGGCTCACCCTCAATGAAACATTATGGGAATTAAAAAAAAACGCTTCTTCCCCACAGTTTGCTAAATGGAATGTTTGCCACAAATCTGTGTTCCACAACTGCATTCTGGAGTTCTAGCTATGAAAGCTGCTGGCATGAAGCTGCCAAAATGTGAGAGCAGGGAATCATCTCTCTTTTTGTCAGCCCCAAATGGGTACATTACATGCAGCTCCACCCAAGACCATACCAAGGCAATACCAATCTTCTATCAGTGCTGGAAATGACTCTATGGGACATTCAAACATTCAGCTTGGCTGTTTTTCAGTCTGGCTGAATACTGTGTGCTGCAAAAAGAGGGAATACAAAAAACAGAGAAGGAACACAAGAGCTCTGTTCTTTTGGGCTGCCAGCACATGCCTCCCACTCTAACAGCTCTTCTTCCCAATAGTTGAGGCCTGCAGGCACTACATTACAGGATACCTAAGAGGCCCTACTGAGTCCTGTGTTAATGAATGTCCCAAATGGGCAAGAATTACCTCTCAAGCACTCTTTGATGCTTAATTTCCTCTCCTACAATCAGTCCTCTTGCTTGACAGGGCAGTGACTTGGACAGACTCACACCTCCTTTCCTGGTTGTTTCAGTGTATTCTCGGTTGTTGGGAACAATCAGGCGCACCTTCCACAGCCTGGTCTGCACCCTCCCACCTTTTCTTCCTATATGCCTGTCACAGCTTTAAATCCACCTAGTATTTCAGAACTTTAATATATTCCCCATCTCTACTCACTGTCACCTGGACAGCAAGTGTCACCGTTCCTGCATCTCATGATCCAAAACAGGGTTGTAGATCTCCTCAACTCTTCTGCAGATACTCAGTTGCCACAGTAAAGTCTCAGAATAGCTGTTTCCACTCCAGCTTTCCAAGAACATGCCTTAATCACAGTACATTTTTACTCCTGCTTCCCTTGAGCTTTTTTAATATAACCTAGGCTAGAGGCACAATCCAGAAAGCAGAAATCTTCCTGTTTCTTTCTCAGACCTTTCGTAAGGCCTTCGGTTAATGACAGAAAAAAATCCTCTTTATATCACTTTAGCCTTGTTTCTGTTCAACAAGTTGCTGAACAGAACTGAGGCACTGCCACACTGGTTTCTCATTACGGTCAAACAGGAAACTTGTTACAGACCCAGGAACAGTATCCATATCTCCTGATCCCCAAGTAAATAAATAAAATCACATTTCCCCAGATAAATAAAAAAAACCCAAACATATTTCCTGTCCTGAATGAGTTGCTACATGTAATTTTACACATCTCACAGCATTGCCAAAAAAGAGTGCTGTAACTGCCATACATCTTCTGTAATTGTTAAAATTAATAGCAATAATGCTTCTGCAAGGTGACAACAGCTTTCACATCAACATGCACAGGAGAACTTCCGAACCTATCGCTGTTGCTGCACAGTTAACCAGGCAGAGTTATGTTCAAGATGCGACAGCAAAGTAGCAGACCCGCCATCCCTGGAGGGATTTAAAAGACAAGTAGATGTGGCACCTGGAGACATGGTTCAGTGGTGGACTTCACAGTGCTGGGTTAACAGTTGGACTCAATGAACTTAAAGGTCTTTTCCAAGTGAAATGACTCTATGATTCTATGAAATACTAGACCAAGCAGGTCTTGGAGATGCAGTTGCTAACTACTCTAGCTCTGAAAGTTGCATTTAGTATTTCATAGTACTTATTTTTGTATCAAAATATTATCAAAACTTTATACAAAACAATAATTTTCAAATGCAGAAGTGACTACCAAGAACCTCAGAAAGCCACTAGACTTTAATGCCAATGCGATCTGATGAACTATCTCTTCAAGGCAGATGCTAAGAGGCATGTACTACACCATTTTTGTGAGAATTTTCTTAACTACTCCTCCAGAAAACAACTTCCCCTCAAACTCTCCCCAAATTCCAAATCCACACAATCTTTTTTTTTAAGTTAATAAGCAGCTTCCCAAATTGAAATCATTATCTCTGCTTCATATACCAAATAGTGTTTCCTAGCATAACCTGGTCTCAGACAGAAACAGAACCTGACAGCTGGAAATGTTAATGTGAATGTCATGTAGCATAACCATATTACAGCTCAGTGTCATTTAAGTTTGCGGAGTTATGCTAGCTGAGAAATTTACTCATTTTATCAATGACAAGATGTTTGAGGCATTCTTGCCTAGTGCTCTTCATTAAAGAGCAGATCCAGTATCTATTGTAATGCAGTGCTCCCTCCCAGTTGCTCTCTAGAAGCTCTGACATGGGATCTATCTAATTTTATGCAAGTGAAATACCAAATTGATTAAAACAAACCACTCATCTCTTGTGTTCGTAAGGACAATCTTGTGAGTGCCATCTCCATTAACATCAGTTATCAAATGGATCTGCTCGGACAGGAAATTCCATCAAAGTGAACAGACCCTCTCACTATGCACGTAACCAAATCCTAGTTGTACTGTGAAGTGAAGCTTTCATTAACCAAAAGCTTTGTTTCCTAGAGATGCACCATTTGTAGCGCATGTAATTCTGTATATGGCATTCTTATAGATGATGCTCTTTAACCAAGAACACACCTTAAATCAGTCTTGGTTTAGAGATTTATTTCTGTTCTCAATTTCTAGTGCAAAGCAGTTTATCGAAATTGGTCCAAGTTTCTCAGCAGTGCTTCACAACCTCCACTTTATTCCTAAACCAATGTTAGCAATATGAAATTTTTGTTTCTAAACCAGAAAGCATTAAAACTATCAGGAGGATTTTCTGTAACATCCTGTCCCTTTAATGGCCAACTAATAAACAGATGAAATAAGATAGTCAAATGTCAGCTGGCACATCCACAGGCAGATCTAGCTATGTTTCAATTTTAAAATAAGATAGAAATTACTGATTTTTTGGGGTCACGCTGGGGGTGGAGTGGGAGGGTGTGGAAAGTTAACAGTTATCACAGTTCCTTCTGTGCAGATTTCTTCTGGATATTTTTGTTCTGTTGGACACACACGGACACCACTCTGCAGCGCACCAACGGGTTTGGTGGGGTTTTGTAGTTGATTTTATCTAACAGCAGCAGTTTTAGTTTGTTTTTGTTGGTTTTTTTTAGTTTTTCAATTTTTTAAACAAATACATTCACTTAGAACAGGATGAAAGATCATTCCAAGTCTTGCAGTAAGCAAAGGATTAAGAAGGATTTGCAACATTTCATTATGAAAACGACAGGTCACAGAAAGCCATTTGAAACCATACTGCAAAGCCAAACATTAGGAAATGCAAATCAACTTACTTGGAAACAAGAGAGAAAGCTGCTGAACAGATTGCTGGGCAGGGAACAAGCCTGATTAAAATGTGTCCCAAAGCAGCAGGGAAATGGGCTCTGGTGACTTTCTCAAACACAGAACTGAAGGTGTTAATGTCTGCCAGCTTGCTGCTGTGGTCTCCACCTCCAGTGTCTAAGATGTTACCCCCATGTAGGATTAAAATTAGCACATGAGTTTTGCAGTTCTGGTGCTGGACTCCTTCCTGTGAAAAAACAGGGAATAAGATGGGAGGAAGCATTTTTATGGATAAGGTTGGTATACTTGGTGTCAACATTTGCAGTGATTTTTTTCCCCCATACACTGTGATCTTTGCCATCACTAGGGGTGTGTGTGGGGGGGAGGTTGTGCCCTGTGCTCCATTTAATTCAAGCATGTCTTAACCAGGTAGAGCATACTGTGCTTTGCCAGAAAAACCTTGCAACACAGACATAGGTTTCAACAAAGATAATAGGTCAGCTCTGTGTACATCAAAAGCTATTTTAAATACATTGAGACTGGAGAAGAATTCCAAAATCCACAGACAAACAAACATCTGTCTAGGTATGCCCTGAATGAGGCTGCTGCATTTACTGGAAAGCTTCTAACTCAAATCGTTACAGATTCTAAAAAGACAAATTTTTTTGGCAATGAAAACATCCACCTAAAGCAGAAAATATAGTTATCGCAGCCTTTTGAGATTAGCAACTTCTGATTAAAAGGAAAAATGGGGCTAATGTACCCACACATTTACTGAAAGAGCAAAAGATGTCTAATTGCTGACATCCATAAACCTCACAAATATATTTATGAATATGAGAATATACACATAACACAGAAAATAATCAGTGTGCTCCATAGAATAAACAAGATGTTACCTACTTGAGACTGGAAAAACATTTTGAATGTCTCACAACTCCACTTTTTTTTTTTTTTTTTGCTTCTTTACCTCTTGAAATTTATGTGCACTCAAAGAAGAACTCAGTAATACATTAAAAGATCAGGAGATTCTTTTGGTTTTAAATCTTGACTGCCATTTTCTTCTTTGCTTTGGATCATTTTATTTCCTCACCAAATGTGAACACAGACATAAAAATAACAGTAACATTTCTTGTAATTGTCTGAGAATTGTGAATTGCTGGACTGTAGGAGCAGGAATTCTGTTACTATCAATTCATGACTGCTGCTGAGTCTGCTTCACAAAACCTTCAGAGAACTGGGCCGTATTTCCACCTAAATTAATTATGCAATGTCTAAAAAGCTTACAGTGATTTTTAGCGATTGCATGTGCACCTACAGAAAAATGGACAGACACACTAAGCCACCAAATGGGTTGATAATTCTGTAATACAATATGAGAATATTTCTGCATATCTACTTCTTGGAAATCAGCACAGCTTGTTTTAGGGAAACAACCTCACCTCATTGTCCTCGTGTATTTCAATACTGCCTTGCGCTGGGAACCTTTGTTTTCTTAAAGAGGCTCTATATAAATCACCTGAAAGGAAAAGAAACATGATTGATCACATAAAATATTTGGCTGCCTCACTTTCTGCAGACATCATAGAGGGAAGGCACATTTCTAGTTTCAAGACAGAAAGATCTGTTTTCACAGGAAATCCCGAGGACAAACAGGACAATACACAAGGTTTCTTGCAGCCCTGCATACTAGAGGCTCTTCTATTCTTAACAGCAACATTTAGAATAAGATTCAAGTCCCTATACAGAGGTGTGTAGTAGCAGTACGGTTGCCATTGGTCACCTGCACCTTTCTGGAGAGCAGCAGCAGGAGTCATCTCAGTTTCTTCATCACCTCTGCTCATCCCATTCAGGTATCTTAAATAGTCTGGTATGTCTTAAACGGCACTAAGCACCTACACATAGGCAAGTGAATTAAGCCTTCAAAGTTCTCCAAAGTCCTTCAGGATCCAGCTCTTCCACAACCTCTGTGACTACCTGCAAAACTCCCAGAAGTAACTGCAGTGCTTCATTATAAGGATGCTAAATAGGAGTAACAGAGCACAGAGCAAAAGACAGTTTCTCCTCAGAAAACCTTATGACCTGAAAAATAGGAAGTGACATTGCCAAGAAACACAGTGCTTTGCTAATACAACATACTGCAACATCCCACTGAAGGGGAGTCACTTCATCTGAAGTCATGGGGGGCAGCTCTTTAGGGAGGGAAAAAGTGCTCTTCCCTTGTACAGACAGTGATGAAATTCCAGATAAGATGAAAATCCTTCTCTCTCTGTAACACCTCCTCCTCTTCCCTCTCAAGGCTTTGAAACCCTTCTGAATCTCAGCACCAGAAATCTGTAATTTAAAACTTCAGCTGAATACAATGTCAGCCTTAAAATTCTACTCATCTCACATGGGTTAGCTGTCTGGGAGCCCTTATACCCTCCATCACAGATGCAAGTTTTAGGAGTTAATGAGAGAAGACTGTACTAAACAGTAATACCAAAGTAGTTCACTGACAGCTTTCTGAATTAAAACACATTTTCCTCTATTTCTTCCAACACATCAGAAGAATATAAATGCACCACATAATGCTATAGATGAGTCAGTTTACTTTGGGGAAGGAGAGAGGGGGCCATTCTGAGTTCACACTGTGCTTGTGGTTCCACTGCATTTGACGTATGTTCATAGGCAGCTTGCCAGGCCCTAACAGCAGACTGTGATTTTCATCTCACCAAGAACTCTGAGTAAGCAGGGTCTGGCCAAGTTATTCTAAAAGCACTGAATTTAGTCCAAAACACATTTCAGACTCTCTCTACTCTTCTGCATTAGGATTGAGAGCTAATTCTAGCACAGATTCTACCACTATAATTTCTTGTAGCCACTAGAAATTTATTTAACTTCTGTGGCTATATTTCTCTGTATTTATAAGAAAAGTAACTATTCTTGCCTTTCTGGCAGGTAAGGGTTTAAAGGATTAGTCATGAAATACTTGTATAAAACAAAACAACACAACAAAACCCAAAACACTAGAAAACAAACCCAACATTAACAACACACACCCACAGACCATGAACTTCCACCGAATGCAATTGTTTTCTGGAAATCTCTGCAATTTGAAACTGCTTCTGATTAATACACTTCTAGTGTGGTTTCCAAAGGTCTGCTTGAAAGACTCACTTTCTTCCGAAAGTCATCATGTGAAAGCTCACAAGAGAACCAGCACCACAGAAACAATAGTTCTGTGCCACGAAAAAGTATTATTCAGGGCCACGAGACCCCACCTGATAGTGAAGCACAACACTTATCTTCAAGAGAATACTGAAACAAGAAACCCAGGACTCCTCAACCAATGTTCCCAAACCTCTGGTTATTGTCAGATTACTTGTGTACTGTTCCCTTGAAAATCTTGTCCTAAAGATACACTTTTAGAAAGTGGAGAGGGTGGTTTGCCTTTTCCCTAATGCATCAAATGCCAGGTTGCAGGATAGTCCCTTGCTTCGCACACACACACATGCCATAGATAACTGGACATTAGGATTCCAGGCATTGTTTTAATCACAACCTCTATTCTATTATTAAGGTAACCCTCTACCATAAAACTGGGCTGCTTTCAAAACTGCTTTTCACTTTGGTTGAGAAAAAGAAAGAAAAACGCTACTCAAGTTGCAGTATTATTGATGAGAGAAGCACGGCCGGGCAGCTCAGGTGCCGGCAGCACACTAGGTCTGCTTTTCTTTCAACCATAAAAACGTGCACAGCTCATCTCTCATCAGAGCCCTGCCACACTGCCAGAAGTCCAGGCTGCAGTAATGTCAGAGTATACACTGCTCTGCTTTGAAAGTGTGCACCCAGAAGCACAGCGGTACCAGAAAGACACTGAGGCAAAGGAGAGCCAGGGCCAGATGGCTCTGTGCTGATGTGCAGAGATCTTCAGCACTGTGCTGCCCAAAGAACAAACCTGCCTGAAGTCAAAGTAGTCCCACATTGGGGATGCAGGGGGCTGTCTGGCATGTGCAGCATTTCAAGAGATTCGATGACTGTATAATGTGGAAGATAATTGGATTTTGGCTCTGCATAGATTCAGCTTTATTGTTTAGGTTAAATACCAGAGAGTTAAATAAGTGGGGGTCTTCTCTGTCTTGATAAGCTAATGCTCTGTAGGAGACAGAAATGGACAGCATGACCTTCTAGAAAAAAACTACAAAAATTCAATTAGGCATTGAAATGAAACTGATTACAAAGAAATTACGTGGTTTCCTATTTACCGGAAAGGTTTCAATGAGGTAAATAATAGCAAGGTTTTGCTGGACCCAACCTCTCCCTGAGGACATTATCAACATTTTACAGATTTTTCCTGCTGTCCTGATTCATACCATCATTATACCAAGTTTTGCTAATTGTATCATTATGTAAATTACAGTGACAAAAAAGGTACTCAAATCCCATCCGGTCAGAAACCAGCGCCTTATTGTAGTTTACATTGTAACAGCTAGTGATGCAGTCAGGGAAGGTCAGGGTGGGATAAGGTGAAAAACTTCCTGGTTTTTTGTTTTATCTTGGTTTTTAGTTACCCTGCAGATGCATCAGCTACAGAGGCCACCAGGATTCACTAATCTGGCAGAAGGAGAGGAGGTGCAGGAATAGGAGAGCATGCTGAAATCTCAGTCCTCGGGGTCAGCTCCTCTGCAGGCACCCCAACCAACTGATCAGGAATGGGAAGGTGGTGGTAGCGAGCAGTTCCACCTGCTGTCCTCATGTCCAAGTTCATGAAAGCAACCAGGTTTCCAAACACACTGAGAGCTTTCACAAACCCAGCTTTTGTTTTAATGCAAACCACTGAAAATCTCAATCTAGACACAGCTGCTGAGACAGCTCTGGCTCGTATTACTGAGCTGAGCAAATTCTTCATGCTATTTAGTGAACCTGCCCTACTGGCATTGCATTGGTTTCCTTCAGGCTACAAATCGGAAAGCAAATTCCTAGTATCTTTTTTTCCCAGGTGCTTTCTCAGCCCAGCAGCATGGGAGAATGCAACAGTCACAATCAGTTGTTCTTCTAAGGTACAATGACCTCCCACTAAAAGGGTAAATAACTCACCTCTGCAAATGGGAACATCTTTTCCAGAGCTACCATGAGACATGTGGAACTAACTCACCTATCACAAAATGTTACACCTCCCACTCCCCCTGCTCTGCCTGCCAGAAGAGTGTTGAATGTACAATAGCACGGCAATAGAAAAAATAGAAGTAAAAAACCCCAAAACCCAAAAAGAATGATAAAAAAAATTTGCTAAATCACAAAACTATCTTGCAACAAAATCCCACTGAGGACAGAGAGAAAATAAATGTTTGGCATTTGATGGATTTAAGCCACAGCACTTTACCACGCTTGTAAAGGCAGCCTGATATAAAGAAAGAAAATGGTCTAACCTACCATGGGGCAGACTAGTGGAAAAGAACAAACATCTGACTAGGATGTAAGGTTTGGATCAGATTTTTGCTTCAGTGTATGCTCCTTCATGGTACCTAAGTGTGGTGGGTTGACCCACCTGGATGCCTGGTGCCCAGCAAAGTTGCTCTATCGCTCCTGTCCTCAGCTGGATGGGGGAGAGAAAATATAACAAAAGGCTCATGGGTCAAGATAAGGAAAAGGAGATAACTCACCGATGACCACCATGGGCAAATCAGACTTGACTTACGGAAATTAGTTTAATTTATTACCAATCAAATCAGAATAGGGTAGTGAGAAATAAAACCAAATCTTAAAACAAGATTTCTGAGAACATGAGGTACAGTTCAAACCTGTACTAAGAATCAAGCCAGGTCCTCTTCTTTTTAATTTTTTTCCAGACCGTTTCCAACATCCCTAATATTTTGCCATGTTAATTAGGGACGAATTTAGAGTAAAAAACCAATAGAACTTGCTTTAGGTACAAAGCATAAGGTGGTGACAGTCCCCAAAGAAAATTGGTATTTCCATTATCACACTCCCATGAGAAATTATGCCGGGTTTTGCCATCTGCTGTGCTATTACTAGCCATTTATAATGACAAATCCATCATGAGAAATATGTTCACATGCAGGCTGTAACATATGGTTTCTATTAACAAATGATAAAGAATATTGTAATACACTGCAGATGCAGCTTCACAAACTTTCTGTCTGAACAGAACAAAATTTGGAGAAAACAAACAGTAAATAGGAAATGCTGAACAGAGCACTCCATTTCAACCCAGCTGCCTTTTCCATCCTGCCACAAGCTGTCAGTCCTGGCTGGAGTATTCCACTGTACCAAGAAAGAGCAGCAATAGTACAGCCTGCAGTGAAAGGAACATTACTGTGGTCACGAAAAGGATGCATACCCTGGTTGATCAGCTCAACTACTTGTGCTATCATATGCAAACACCTTAGCCATTGTGAAATTTTCCTGCACTAGTACTGAGGTCAACTAAAGATGGAATTCTGTTAAAGGTGGTTCATGTTCATGGATGTGTGATGCTGGGCAGCTCGCAAAGCCAAGATATATCGGCACTGACCTGCATTGCCCACTCCTTGACAGCTGCATTTTTCTTTCACTTGTCAGAAAAATAAGAGGGGGGGTGTGGTGGTGAGAAAATGAGGGGTGAAGAGCAATAAAGCCTGCTGTGTGTATATGGAGACTGAATCACAGCTAATCTCCAAGTGCAATGGCAAGCATTTATTTCCCTGTGGTTGTTCATGCATTTCAGATTTTTCTGGATTCCCTCATACTTAATTTGCATGTGTGAGAGAAAAGTAATTGCTTTGGTAGTCACATTTTCTTGTTATCTTTAAATCAATATGTAAGGTAAGCTAAACATTACCTTCATTTTCTTCCAGCTTCCCAATTGTTTCTATCTGCTCAACAAGGTCATTTGAGTTCCACTGGCTCATGCCTATAAGAATGGCACTTTTTCCTTCCACCATCTCTTCTGTAGGAAGAAAAAGAACAGATTAAATTGCAGTAATGAACCAGACAAAAAAGACAGTGTGAGATGTAGTAACTGAGAGAGAAATAAACACTCATCATGTCTGCTAAAGGGAATACATAACAGGTTAGCATATGCAGGACTCCCCAGGAAAGTTCCCTGCTTACTGGTATGCCCTACAGCATACCTACATGTTTCATATATTGTGTATAGGGAAATCATGCAAAAGAGAAGACTATCTGAATTTTTGCTCTTACCTTGAGCAGTCCCTTAAAAATAAAGTTGATAATAAATCACTTGGAGTGTTGAATATCAAGTAACAGACCCAGTCAGAATTCTCCCCACTCCCCTCCAGAATTTTTTTTTTACTTTCTTTTTTTTACTTTTACTTCAGAACGCTCAAAAGCAGAGGAGAGGCACAAATGGACACACAGGCCAGTTTAAGGCTTTTGAAGCATGCTTTTTCCCCTTTTGTCAAAGCCACCTGTGCTACACAAAGCATTCAGTTTTCATCCAGGGACACAGAGGCATAATGGAATAGCACCAAGTGCACAGCACAGAGAACGGATCCCATCCAGGGAGGGTGCTAGCACATCTAAAGGCAGCTGACTCTTACTCAAAGACCTGGACTCTCCCTGTGGCTGTCACAGAACGTGGGGTTGTGCCTGAACCTGGAAAACCCATTCAGTTTCTCCTTGCCTCCAGTGCCTTGCCAGCAAAAAAGGGATGGCTCCACATCTTTCCTTCCATCCCTTGCCTGATCAAACTCAGAAAAGCTTCTTACCTTGTTCGCACACACATAGGGAAGTTTATATTGGCAGGACATCTGATACAGTATTTTCAGTGATCCACCATTTATGTGAGGAAAATCTGCTAGCACCAAGGCAAAAAAAAAAATAAAATCTAGTCTGTCTGAAGTTTCCACCATGGAAGAATAACTCAGTCCTGCTATGAACTGAGCACTTTCTGTCTAACTTACTGCATGCCCCATGGAAAGCAAGAAACAAAGGAAATTTGGGCAAAAGATAACAGTAAAACATCACTTCTCCCTTTCTCTATGGATTTCACTAAATTAAGTAGCTAGCCTGGGCAGATGAATCAACAGTCAGAACATGTACAGCTGCTCCATCTCAAACACAGGTGCTTGATTCTCTGTTTACAAGGCTGTCAGCCAGAAATGTCTTTGTTTGAGGAACTGGGGTTTGATCCCAGCTGTTTTTCAGAATGCAAAAGCAGCTCATTAATGTTATGTTTTAGTTGTGCCCATTGCTGTGCCCTCTGCCTCCCACTTCAGGCTGTCTCTGAAGTGCAAATTACACATGTAGATGTAGAGTTTGGGATAGCTTCCAAATTCTCCAATAAGGAAATACACTGCTCAACTCCAGCTGCATTGTGTAGGAAGTCCTTTCAGCTGTAAGAATATCAAGCAACAATGAGGACGAGAAGGTCAGAAATACAGGTGAGAAACATTACAGGAAATGTAATGCTGGTTACAGAATAAGGATATCAAGCTAGTTCATTTCTAGGAGGTGAAAACTACAGTCTCTCTCCTGGACAGGTTATCCTCACTCCAGCACAAACTCCTGCTGTTTCTCTGGTGCTATGTTTAATCCAGTGATCATGCCAATTACTTTAGCCCACACATATGATTTCCTCTACCAAAGATAGATGCTCCCTCATCACTCAGTGAGCTTCTGTTAGTTTCTTTTTTAATTCATTATGTATTTAAACTTCAGAGCAAGGCCACTGACAATGCCTGCTCCCAGCATAATGAACAGAAGAACTGAAATCTCAACAATCTCAAACAGGAAAGAGGCTATTTTTCTTTTCTATTTCCAACTTTTCCACTTGATAAAGCTTAAATTTCAACACATCTTAAACAACTTAGGCATGCTGTTCTAACTGAACATCCAACGGGAACAGAGCTCCATCTCTCATTCTCTTCATGCCTAGATGTCTCAAATACACATTTAATTGTGATCCACATAAGCAGTTTATCACATTAAATTATTATCTCTCACTAAAAGTCTGTTATTAGAGGACTAACAACTCAGTAACAGATGCCATTCATAATCTATACATAGCAGCCACTTTTTATTTCAACCAACACTTACAGAAAGGATAGCTACTGTCATCATAAGCATTTCAGACCACACAGACTGCTCCTGACGTTGAGAAATCAAGATTAATTAGCAGAGAGCTACCATAGCCTCTTTCATGAGTAAGAATCTTGAGAAGGCACACACAGAGCCTGGCTTGAAATACATACCACATATCTATTGGTTTCAGCTTCATAGGAACATAGTACTACTGAAGATGGTGCCATACGGCTCATTTAAAGAAGGCAAAACCAACAACAAAAGTTTTTATGCAGATAATAAGCTGGAGAACAAGGGCCATCTGTATTTCACATCACCTCATTTTTAGCAAAGCTGTCAGCAGGCTTTTGAGTATATGTTCTGGGTTCAGCGGTAGCAGTCATTTTTCTCCTCAGTAGCTGGTGCAGTGCTTAATGGACTTAAACCATGACAGTATAACATTTGCTACAGTTACACACTTAGGAAGCAAGGGAAAAAAGCACCCTCACATTCTAGATCAGAAGCCTAATGCACAGATAAAGATGGGATGTTTCTGGTAGATCAGACTTTCATCTGCTAGACTAGTTTAAATCCAGAATAACTGTTGAAGTCAGAGTTCATTTGAACTTAAAGTAGGTCAGAAAGTGGCTACAGGATCTCCTGAGAACAGCAATACTACCAGTTTTTGTTAACTTTGCCTCTTCTGAGGAAGTCCACAAAAAGCCTGAAGGTACTTTAATAATCACTGTCATCAACAGCTTCCTCCTAAGCATCACACTGATTTCCAGCCACCTGTCAGACAAGATTTCTCGTAGTTACAACTGGAAAAGTGAAACCGTAGAAATTAATAGTTTTCTATGACTGAGAAAATCAGTGCCGTACAATAGACCGTGTGTACTCACAGTCCATCTATTCACAGGCATCCAGGACCCAAACAAGTACTTCGAATGACACACTAATAATCTGATTATTACAAATTGTGCCTCTGCAAAACCAGCTTGTTTAGGAAAATAAAATTGCAAAATCAGCATCACAGAAATAAATCAGCAAAGTTATCAGGGAAGTTGCTTCAGAGCTCCCAAACCTTTCAGAGCACAGAGCTGATCCCCCCACAAAAGCGGTTTCATTTTCACTGTCTGCCTCCTACCCTCTTCGTTTTAAAGCAGCTAAAAAGCTCCTGACATAACTCCTTCATGCTGAATTTTATCTCAAGCTCATGCTAGCACAAAACCACAAGTCAGCTGAAAACCATTCCTGCAACAATTCGACCCCCAAAGAAAATTAAAATATGCTGAAATATGAGGTTGAGTGCAAGACAGCAAACAGTTAATGCCAAATACTGCCTTAAAAACACTAGCTGCCACCCGCAATACCACCATGTATCTCCAGACATCAAATAGAATAGAATAGCTAGGGTTGGAAAGGACCTTAAGATCATCAAGTTCCAATAAGCACAGAGCAATGAGACTGAAGCTAATCCTGTAAAAGAAAATTAATTTGCTTAGAAACAGGCCTCATTCAAGAAGAAAAGAATGGTGGGAAGGGAAGGAATTTTCTTTCTGTACCATAAATATCTGCAGAGGGAGAAACTGAGTGACAATCTTAGCCATGAAAATGTTTTTGCATTCAGATATCAGCAGAATATCTGCTAAGTGTGCTTGTTAATGAAGCAACCAAACTACAAATAAAAAGCACACAGAAACCCAAGCCAAGTTTCCCACGGACAGTTGAGTTCTCCACTTTGGTTGAGGTTTTCTTTAAACTAGGAAAGAAGTCAACAAGTATTTGGGGAAGGGGAATCCCTCTCCTTTTGCTAGGATCACAGAATTGTTTGGATTGTAAGAAACATTTAAGGATAATCCAATTCAACCCCTCTTGCCATGAACAGGGACATCTTTCACTAGATCAGGTTGCTCTAAGCCAGAGAGATTGCATCTGAACTTAATCCATTTTACTGCAAAATCCAAAGGACATTCAACAAGTTCATTCCGTCACCCTTCACTGCTTACTTCCAGGTAATACAAGGACAAATGGACAGCTCAGTCTGATCTCAATAGCCTATACTATGAAAAATCCTACAGTTGCATTTCAGTGGCAGAATTAATCCTCTCTTGATAGTTATTCTCTTCAGAAAAGCACTAGGTTTGGCTCCTGCAACCAAAATCAAACAGAGCCCCTACTTCCCACTGCAGGGAGAGGTTGTGTATGCACACAATCTACACAAACTTTACTTCAACTTCAGAACAAAATCTGGCATGTTAAAGAGCATCCCAAGATTCGGGGTCTCATCAGGTGTTGCAGGGAGCATTGCATCCTGCATTCACCTGATTAAATTCACAAATATATGGATATTGCTGCTTCTTGAAAAAGCAAAGGTCCAAGTCACTTCAGTGAAAGTTTTGCCAGAGTAGAAAACCTGGCCACTGGTTTTGAAAGTTGGCCATCAGCAACACAGACACTGATGGCCTTCATCAGGTACTGTAAACAAGTGCACTCCAACTGTAACATTATGCACTACCTGACCTGCAAACAAACTGAGCCCAAGAGACCCCTTGAGGCTGGTTCTGATGCCAGACCCAACTTACTGCAGCCCACTCATCCACCCCAGTACTTCATCCATGTCCTGTAAATTTAGGCTCATTCACAAATCTTTGAGAGATCTGACTGGGGCTTTTTCAGATCTCAGTCTGATAAGGACAATGGTTTCAGCTCATCCCAAAAGGAGCTTAGTTACTTGCTGCAAAATTGGGGAAATAATGGGAAGGAGAGGACAAAAATGTGTACTGACCTCGTGCATCAAAGAATTCATCATCGGAGCTCTCCACTGAGTCTTTGAGAACATTCTGCATGTGCCACTGGGCACCACTGAAGCGGCGTGGGCCAGCTGAAAATACAGAGAGTCCCATTAATCCAAGGGAAAGCTCACCTCTGCTCCAGGCTAAAGAAAAAAACAAACCAAACCAAAACCAAAACCCAACGTTAATAAACAATTTGTGTAGATGCTCATGAGGATTGCTATCGCCAGAGCATGTACTTTAGTCTCAGCAGACAGTCAGAGCTCTCAGGATGGCACAAAAAGTCTGCTTCCACCTAATGAAACTGATTAAAATTAGTTTTTGTTAAAGATAAACCTGCAGCACTTTCAGCCAATGTGGTGACTTGAAAAGAGAAATTCTTCCCTGTTTAATTCACCTGGCTGTTTACTTCCAACAGTCAGCTGGGGAGGTTGTTTCTAAGACATGAAACAGCATGCCCCCAGGACATGGCACTAGCTCTCATTTAAATTCAATTTCACTTCTAAAAGAAGTGTCATCCTATTTGGCTCACAGATTTACAGGCAAACTACTGCATTCTCATTGGACTGTTTTCATCAGACAGCTTTGTTTTGCTGGAGCCTGGGGCTTTTATTTAAAGCTTTCCATTTGAAGACAGAAATGCAAAAACTTGTTAGAGTAGGTACAGTAACAGAGTCATGACAGCTTAGATGGTTGTGATGGATTATCATACTGATACTACTTTGTAATTACTAAACCAGGCCTGCTTAACTATATCAGTTCTTACATCTATAGCAACCCAACACTAGAAAGTAGTAGTGAAATACATTCCTTATATCAACAATAAAGTCTCCCCCAAATCACTAGGGAATCAGGGATCAAATGCACCATATCCATAACAAGACTACAGCTATTGTAGAAAGGACACTCATTCTCAACCAGAATAGTGTCTTTGGTTTTATTTATTTCCCCAAATGATGATACCAGATCTGAAATGCAACATCCTGAGGCCATGTCCACAAAAGCATTCTCCTTCTCTCAGTTGTAAAACAGCAACTCAAGCAGGGGACACATCCTTCTACACTGTTCTGGGGAAAACAAGCCAGTAGGTTACAGCCTTCTGCTCTGCTTTTACTCCACCTATAGCTGACTAATCAGAAAAATAACTGAAAGGTGATAGGAGGAAGCAAATTTTAGCTGGCCAAGATGAGAGTAAAAATAACAACCAGTCAATAGCATTTTAATAGCTTAAAAAAACCCCAACAACCAAATCCACAAAAAAACAACAACAACCAAAACAATTCAATTGGTTATTAAGGAGTCAGTGTCCATTACAAGAACACAGTGTCTATTGGGAATGTGTCCAGTGATATTTGGCAGCTACCAGAGAATGCATACAGATCATTACTGTCACTCTTACAGATTTCTGGAACATTTTACTAATGACAAAGAACAACAAAGCAAATTGTTCCTTACCAAACATCACCTTGCTCTCCTACCATTCAAATATCTAGTATTCCAAATACTAGATAGAATTCTAAAATTTCAAAGAACAAGAATGTAAAGTACCACAAAAAAGCCAGTGACAGATGGGAAAGGGAGGATTTACAAAATTCAGTCTTTGGATAGGAGCCCATACACCAGAAAAGAGTGGAAGGAGGGAATAATCTGCCTCACCTTTTGAGATCTTAAAAACAAAGTATAATACTATTAGTAGAAAAAAACTTGAGTAAATTACTCTTTTTCAGCCATGTGTAGAATATCAGGTTCCTTGATCACAGGCCTTAAGATCTATGAGCAGCCAGAAGGAAGGCAGTAAACTAGGAAATTTATGAATAACCTATAAATGAGAGACAGGTCCACAGAACAGGAGAGCAAGAGTGAGACAGGGAACAGTGAGAAGGCAAAGGACTGCCCCGAACATCTTAAGGTGTTCATGATTTTCCTCTGCAAGGAAACAGCTTCTCAGCTACTCTGGTCAAACAAGTACCTATAACTGATGCTGAATTTCTGTGCTATGGACAGTTCTGCCAAGCCTAAAAACCGAGGAGTCTGGTTTTCTGGTATTTTGAGCATTGAGTGCACAAGAAGCCAGTGGGCTACATTTGCAGAAACAAAAATACCACAACAAAAAATACCCTCTTAGGCAGCAGATAATTTGTTTTGGAAAGATATTTAGGGGCTTGGCTTTTAGAAGTTAGCTTCTCTTCACTTTTTAAAGCTGTATAACTGCATGTCTCTAGTCAGCCAGCACAAATGCGGGTATCCAAAGCCAGCACCACTGGGAATAAAACAAACAAAAGCAAACCAGAAGAAATAAGTATTTTGCTTTTTTTTTTCATAGTTATTTGCAGGAATTGTCTTATGATTTGAGAGATTCTCCAATTATTGTTTTGTCAGTCAGCTATATTTCCCACGGATTGAAATCCCATTCTATGTGGTCTTGGGCTTCCATGATTCTCCAGCAAAAGCTTAAGATTTAAGATCAGAAGGACCCACTCATTCTTCTTTTTCTTCTTTCCTTTTCCAGATATCCAGCTCCCTTGCAAAATCCACCTTCAAATAACAAACACTAAAAGTTACAGCATTAATCCTACACCTGTAACACATGGGCCAGTTCCTTCCATTTCATGGTATATGCCTCCTTGCCTCAATTTTGATTTGGTGCCTCTGCTGAAACAGCCACCTCTTCTGGGAACAACCTGTCTGCTACTGTTCTTACCTAACAGATTTTGAGACATTTCTATGATAGAACCAGTAAATAACATCAAAATCACTACAAAAATCACTGAAGAGTATCCAATAATAACAAAGGCATTTTCAGCATGGTTTTCTTAATTGAATAAAATTTATTCAGATAAAGACATAAATATTCTGCGTACCAGAACTGAACTAGAATTTAGAATTAATTGATTCAGAACACAAGCTGTTTATCAAGGAATTCTCCTGGCACACAGAAAAAGGTGTGAGTTCATCTGGTCCCACCTAGAGCAAGTTGCCCAGGACCATGTGCAGGCAGCTTTTGAGTATCTCCAAGGAGGGAGACCCCACAACCTCTCTGGGAAACCTGTGCAGTGCGCAGTCACCCTCACAGTAGACAAATAAAAATGTTTCCTGAGGTTCGGAGGGAACCTCCTGTGTTTCAGTTTGTGCCCGCTGCTTCTTGTCCTGTAACTGTACACCACCAAAAAGAAGCTGGCTCCATCTTCCTTACAGCCTCCCTTCAGTTATTTGTTTAGCTAGTACTAACAAATGATGAGCAGTACTCATCAATGTTTCTTCTCTTGTATTTGAGGTGTTTGGTCAGTGGTCTTGTATTGCTGTCTCCTCAACTCTCCATTTCTAAAACTATCTTCCCAGTACACTACACTCAAAAGCAATACACTTCCAAATTCTATAGATTAACATTAAGTAAAGGTATCATGGCTGATACCCATTACTACCTTTCCTAGCTGCTGCAAAGTGTATTCAATCGGGAAAGCAGAGAACATTCTTTACAATGATGAATATCTTTCTAGAGGCCAGACATTGTGTTTAAATCCCCACAGGGTACAGAAACCTGTTTGCTACCGAGGCCACGTTTGACAGTCTCATTAAAGAGAGAACCCTAAACAAAAGCTTTTCAAGTATGTTTCTTCTAACTGAAGCCAGTGGTACTAATACCTGCTCATCTCAGGCTTTTGCCTCTGTAGTTATTTCTGTTAAAGAAAACCTCTGTAACACACAATGTTTTCAAAGGCTGCAATTTTTTAAACCATCATACCATTACAGAAGAGCAATTTCAAACCGTTACTTGCCACAATAATGCACATATTTAAATTGTTTGTTAACTGGGGGGGGCATCTTGATTCTGTGGTCAATGAGTTGAGGGTCCCCATCTTCCCCTGCCAGAATTACCTTTCCCCCACTTACTGCTTAATTTGGCTGGGCTCATTTCTTGCAGTAAACATCCACTCATCTCACAGATTTTGTGGCGGTACCTCCTTTTTGGAGTTTCTGCTCTCAACAAAGTATTTGCTGGTGCTTAACAGAGCATACAAAAATGCTTATTACCTGAATTAACTATTAACAAATCACTGTTCTTAAAGATAAGCTACTAGCAATGCATTTCACTTTATTAACCATTCAGTAGCAGGGAAGTAGAACATCTTAAGTGCATGTAAATGAAACTATGCTGTAGACATTCCGACCTGAGAGATAAAAATACTCCCTGTGATGACACACCATGCACTCTGATCAGAAGGAATGCATAGAAGAGAATGCCAATAAGCTCCTACTGCCACAACTGTGAAGACTGCATCTGGGAGCAGGCCAAGTTTCTGCACGTTGTCAATACCTCATTTACAGGCAGTTCTGCAACACCGCGCCCTGCCACAGAAAGGTGTAGGTTCAGTCATTTTAGTAAGTCACTGAAGGCTGAATCCCACTGTGCACAAATAACCTGAGCAAGAGCCTGCAAGGTAAAAGCCCGACTTTCTTCTCTGGAGAGAAGCATTAAACTTCCATAACCCTGTTACAGACTTAAGGAAGCATGTACGCCAAAGGGATCACTGCACTCCTGTCTGAAGGGTGTGACATGAGCAACAACAAAAGGAATAGTTGCAAGAGTCACAATCTACAGTAAAAACTTCATTCATACGTAAAGAAAAGTCTCACCTATGACCCCAGAAAATCTGTAGCTGGGGATAGTGGTGGATGGCAGGGAAGAAAAGCAGACACCCTTCCAGAAGCAAGTTAAAGGAATTAAAGAAAGATGGCACAAGAATCCATAGAGGAGCAAATCTGTTTCAAAACCAGTGGTATGACAATGAATTGAAGAAAGGATGGTGGCTCAAAGCTGAAGTTACTTAAAGCATTAACATTTCAGCACATCTATTTCCATTTTTCATTTTCACTTCCTCTTTGAATATGTTACCAAAAAATACACTGGGACCCTGTCCATTTCCTAGAGGTACCTGCTGGGTTTTAGGCATCTGACATGCAAAGAGGACACCAATAGCTCTGTGCAGGCTGCTAACTGGTAGTGCATTATCTGGGAAGTCACAAGCATGAAGAGGCACTGTGACTGGAGACACTCAAGGAAAATGAAGAAAACACTTCTTTAGAAAGA